TTTTTCCCCATTTTTTACACATTCTACATCCTATCATGAACAATCTGAATTATGGTGTTTTGGGCAGCATTATCATTAAAATCATTTTATCAAGAGTTGTTTTTCGATTCAATATTATTCATTGACTATATTATGGTTGTCATTATGTCGTACGGGACACGTTGTTGGATTCGCCCTCATAATGATTCCATCGACGAAAAATGTTAATAAATACCCCGATAAATACACCTGAAGGCTAAAGTCCCATTTAGATATGACGAAGCAAAACCTCAGCGGTTTTTCCCCTATGATGACGTAAAGTGTAACATTTCTGTGAGGATGACAATGACAGTTACATTTATACTCATGTCACCCATAATCAGGATATTTGAGAAAACAATTATATATGTACAAATAATATATATTATTTAACCAAGTAGATACATTACGTAGCATTTGACGTTTATCATTTGTGAACATGACTTGTGCACATAAAAAGGACAATTCCAAGGTTTTGTTGCGCGCAGTTGCCATTCACTTGACACGTAAAAAGACCGCGGCGGTTGACCGCGCCATTCTTTATTTGCGGCAGTTTACCGCACCATTCTTTATTTTTTCCGGCGGTTGACCGCGCCATTTCTGAACAAGCGTTGAGGGTGAAAGAGAAGGGAAATTATCCACGTGACACTGTACATGTTATCCCGATCGTAAACAAATTCCAGCTTGTATTTTAAAGAAAATTTCTCATTGAATCAATATAACTAGTTGAAATCATGAAGATACTCAAACAAAAACATATACTCCCAGTGCATGTTAAAATGTTAACAAATTTACACAATTATGATAATCACATTTCGATTTAATTAAAAAAATGATGTATTATGAAAAACGTAGGCGTAGCTGACTGGAGGAGGCTTGGGGCAACAGCCTCAGAACTGAAAAATACGTATTTTATTATCTAGTTCTGTGGCTACAGCCCCTCCCAAACAAATATTAAAACAAACAATTAATCGGGCGCCTCTTCAACTTATATCATTCGGGCAATAAGACAACGGGGCGATTTTATTTGATCTTTATATTATTATCTCGGGCGCTATATTTCGAGGGAAAAGTTTCCATAACACTATTAAAAAGAAAATGTCTCGCTCGCTTGCAAAGTTTAACAATGCATTTTCTTAAATGGACTTTCAGAAACAAAAATGTATTTAAATCTGAGTTAGACTGGGCTTGCGGTCTAAGTCTGGTTTACCGTAGCTTAGACTAGAGTTTGTTGAGTTAAACCGGAGTCCAGAATTCAGACCGGGGAGTTGATCTTCGGGCAAGAGATGTAGGCTAACCCATTTGCTATGTAAACTGAGCACGTACACCCATGCCGAATGAAGATGAATGACGTGTATATCCATGGAACCGGCGCATGTGTAAATATTATGCCCAAAATACACATAGATGTCAAAGATCTGCCAATGGTCAATCTCTATCAGACCAGAGGGAAGGATGCCATGACATTGTAGAATAGGATGATATTAGAAGAATGACCACCCTGCAAGGTCACTGACAGGTGGTTATCTCATCAAATCAGCTCTTTGATTAACATAAGAAAAGGAGGATTATGGGGGATCGATGGTCACCGATTAGGCATTGTTTGCTATAAGTAGTGCAGTGGGGCTTTAATGCTTTTCTTTTCTTTTTTTAGATTAGGTGAACTAAGTATCATCTGACCCTAGGGGCGGATCCAGGATTTTGTAAAAAAAAAAAAAAAAAAAGGGCTATACATGAAAAATTTCTGAAAAAAGACTTTTCGGTGCTCTTTTTCTCCGCAATTCTTTGATAATAATGATTTAAAAATGGTTAATATTGTGGTTATTCGGGGGGGGGGACCCCGAGGAAGAACAGATCAACTTTGTCAGTGGATCTAAAAAGTGTTAATATTGTGGTTATTTTGTGGGATCCCAAGAAAGAACACATCAAATTTGTCAGTGGATCTAAAGCGGGTGTTCCCTTTGAAGAATTCTTTTAATTTTTTTTTTTTACTAGAATGGTCTATGTGAAATATTTTAATGTTTCATTATATGTGTTAGGTTTGAACTTAGATATTTATCATTGCAAATACTCCCAAACTAACCAAACGAAGTGGTATCTTTCGGAGTTCGAATTTGAGCTATTTGAGTTTCAAAAGGAGCGAAGCCCGGTTGTGCCCTCTCCCAAATCCGCCAGGGCCCTACCGTACAATGGTTATCCATATAGGAACAACACTTATAAACCCTGCCAAAAAGGGTTATTATATGAAGCCGTTACCCATCAGTACGTGTTGAATAGCCTATGTCATGTTCATTTTGGTTTTAAATTATTTCGAGTTGATTCATGCGAAATTGATCGAAACAACAGTGAAAGAAAATAATCAAAATCCTTCCTTACTTAGATGTACTAATAAGATTAAAGAAGAATCGGGATTGACAAACCTGGTTTGTAAATAACAAAAGGAGGTTTGGCGGAACAAAAGGAGGTTTGAGCTCAAACCTTGGTCTGAGCTCAAACCTTGCTTTGTGAATTCGGGCCAAAGAGTTTAACATTTCGTTATTTCAGTATTCAGACGTGACCTGTTTATCAGAAGAAATCGCCCCTATCCTCGAAAGTTAAATTGTGCCTCGTACACATCAATTGCTTCGTTGTTTAAACTGATGCAATGTAACTAGGCTTTCACAGAATCTTGTTTTAATCGACAAAATAACCTTTAATTATTTGTAAAAGCCTACTAACTTCTTGTCTCATTATTTATGCAAATTTCAAAGTAAAATACCCAATTTTCAGGGTTTCAGAACTTACATTGGCTATAATAAAGATCTTGAATATCGTATTGCAAAAAAGAAAAACAAACTGCCCTTGCACTTAAAAAAATGGAAGTTTGTCTTATAATCCTGTTTTATAATGTTGTAAATGTTGTAAATTTACTATTCGTGAGGTTTTGATCTGCGTTTTACTGCTTTTTTGTAATGTTTTTATAATAACTTGTAAATACTGTGATTATTTTTTGATTGTTCAATAAAACACACAAAGAAAAAAAAGAAAAAAAAAACTTCTTGTCTCATGATATCTAAGTTCTCTCTGCTCACTTGTCCACTGCGCCATTTCACGCGCATAAGGGGCAAAAGGTGTTCATTACGAATAGCGATCGAAAACTCAAAGGTTACTTAACCCAAATGCAAGAAAAAAAACATTCATGATGATAAATATCAAAGAAATTGACAATAGACTTTCATAAAAATAGATAACATCGCTAATAAACGTTATACATAATGTATCACTCAATAAGAAGGTTACGAATGAAGGCAAGATTGTCATCATCCTAACCAAGAGAAGATCATACATTTTGCTTGTGATAAACATTTCTTTGAGTTTGGGTTAATGTTAACACTTTTTTCTTTCAACTGCCTAATAGTAAATGTCAATAAAGGAGCGATTGTTTTGGAATGAGATAGCAAACACAGAATGACCTTTGACCGACATTCATGCTTCAGTCCAAACTTGATGGTACACGAGGATTTTGACAATACTTGGCAGCACAACTATGAAATTGGTATTATTAGGCAGGGCATTAGTCCTGCTTTACAATAAAAAAAAATATTAAAGGTCACACAGCTTATAACTCTTTAATTAGGAGCTACCAAAGTTGGGTACACTTTTTTCATACGCACTGTTCAAAGATCGGTCGCCTAGGCATTCTTTGATCTCAGTTTGGTAAATATACTGCGGAGTTATCTTCCTCATAGATTTTCAAGGTAAAGAAATGCCATTTATAACACAGTGATCCCCTTTCTTGAACTTTGCCATATTATTTGTTAATCGTTTTACCTAAATTGAAGAAAATAGAGCAATGAATCATGCACATAATGCATACGTAGCTAGTAGAGAGCGGCCGCTCGTTATCGTTACGGAGCGATTTGAGATCATTTCCTTTTTTGATGTCGCCCCCGTAATCGGATTTTTGGTCTATTTTCGGTGTTTCCGGGGCGAAATCGCCCGCCGCCCCCGAGTATTTTTTCCCTGGCAACGATGGTCTAGGAAAATGTATTAAAAAGGTGATTACGTTCTCGGATTCAAATAATCAAGTAGGCAGAAAATCAAATACGCATATCTTGTTTGCAGATAGATTTGTATAAAAATAAACCTTTATTTGCATCGCTTGAACTCGCCTGGTGCTTAACAGCCGAAAAGAATGAATCCACGAAAACATCTTCTCAGGCACACGATACTCCTTTCTTTTTCTCTCCTAATTAAACTATTCATCTCTGTATTCATGCCCCCCCAAAAAAAAAAAAAAAATAAATAAATAAATAAATAAATTTAAAAAAAATATAAAAAAAAAAAAAAAAATTTAAAAAAATAAAAAATTAATAAATAAATAAAAATAAATAAAAAATAAAATAAATAAATTAATTAATTAAATTAAAATAAAAAATAAAATATCAATCAATCAATCAATCAATCAATCAATCTTTCTCTCTCTCTCTAAATCCCCCTATTTCTCTTTGTTTAAGTATCCTTTGTTGTTATCATTTTCTCTTTTTCCCCTTTTTTTTCTTTCTCCCTTTCTATCATGATATTCATAATGATATTGGTATTGGTATCAATGTGCCACACTTCTTACGACTTCATGCACTGTCTGATTAGTATGTATTTATCATCATCACCCACAATTTAAAAAAATATATATTGTTCTTATAGGTCTCTTAACAATCACTTACATTCGGTTTTTAGGTAATTTTTGAAGTATATTTTTAAAGTACATACTTAAGATATTGAGAAATATACTATATCCTCTGCAGAGATTTGTGAAAATGCAGGAATTAAAATATTTCCATTCAAGTATTCTGTACGTGTATACAAATGGATGTGAATTCATTCCCCGTATATCTGTGAGGACCCCCCCCCCCCTAAAAAAAAAAAAATGTTGCAGGTCTATACATGTAAATCGACAACTGTAGAGGAACGGTGAAAATGATTAATACAGTAAAACTGGTGGATGCTGTTATCTGGTCTTTTACTTTATTGTATTTACAAAAATAACTTTTGCTTAATGTAAATTCTTTCTCTTTCTCACAAATTATTAATACTCAGCATATTTTTAATTTCCAGTCACAATTATAGTACACAACAGGATCAGCTTTATCTCGTAAAGCTTACTGTATTTCCAAGTAAAAACTATATATATATATATATTTATTTTATTATTTTGCTTTCTTGTTCCATTACTTCATATTTGAAGATACACAGTAAAGTAAAATATTTATTCTGTTAACTGAGTTAATCAGCCTTATTAATTTTTGTATTCAAAATGGTATCACATAGGTCTTTATCATTCTTGGATCGGTACTTCATATACCAGTAGGATATCATTGTATGTAACTGTAACTGAGTTAGATACCAGCAGGAATATATTCCAACGCATTTTTGTTTGTATTCTATGTTCAATTGAACCTTCTCACTTATACTCTCTATGCTAAACCATATAATCAATATACGTATATATGTACTTGTTATATTTTAAGGTTGTCATTGTACACTTCTGCATTTCTACCATTGACTGCACTTTTATTTCCAATAAACTTTGAATAAAAGTCAATTCAATGATATTCAGAAAATCAAAAGGAAGTAATTATAACATTACAAGATAGAACTTAAAATAATTTAATGTAAAGATTATTAAAATTATGATTGTCATACAGTTAACAACTACATTATTCATGTCCCTTGTAAATTTGATGCATTTTTCGTAACTCAAGAGTTAAAGGTGGACCGGTTGAATGTAGGCCTTTGTTTAATACTTTTAGGTGTAAGCTTAATACTGTAATAGGTCTCATTCGTAAGAAACGTAAATTAGGACAAATCAATTTTAAACAGACATGAAATAATTACAAAACCTGGTAAGGGTATGAATAATTTAGTTGATAACTGTATTTCATTAAACAAACAAAATATTGAATTACCTTCTTTCTGATATCCCTCCTTCATGATGATTTCAGGGCATTTTGGGGGGTAAATGTAACCATCTTCTCATTGTGTGTAGTGGGTTGGAATGAGTTTATTGAATAGACTATTACATAATGTAATCAAATTTAAAACATAAATCTATGTTAAGTGCCATGTTACAAATTATTTCATTCACCTGTTGCAAATAATTGTATTTCAATAGTTAGAATGCGAATTGCAAACATTAATTGTTGCTAGGTAGGACAAGCATTAGGGCCTGTGTACCTAACAATACATAAAGTATGCAATTTGCATTCAGACTATTGGAATACAATTATTTGCAACATGGCACATAACAAAGATTTGTTCATTACATTTGATTACATTACGAAAATGATCTATTGTAGTAATTATCCCTATGTTCGTTATCTGGCTAATCATGGACTATGTAGCTCGAAGCTTGCTGTTTACACTCAAATGCTAATATTCCAATAAAACAGTCCCCTGTGCTAAATGCCTTTGGTTCCCTGACACTTATCCCAGACAAGTACAAGCGTGTGTCAATAAGATAAGCTTACCGGTACATTTAAAGATACAAATTATGCAGATAATTTTTGACACATTTCCGCATTCTTGGTAATTTCTCATTAAAACTGTGATTGCATAGATTTATTGGGTGGAAAACATTTCTTCAGGTCCATACTACTTTTGCAGACATTCAGACGGATTTTGTAGGTCTATTACATTTAATAAAATATACTCTTTGTGCATTCAAGACTGGAAATCACAGAATATAACAATACTGTCCATGTTTCACATGATAGCAAGACATTGACAATACATGGTGTAATTGTAATAGGGTGATATATTTTTATGCAAACTTTCTTTTTTTGGCAAGGAGATCAATTTTCACTGACATTAAATCAGAATAGTCTAAGGCAGTGATGGCCATCTTAACACCATTAATTTACTTAAAACTGTAACAAAATTCTTTTAAATTTCAATTATCATGATATGATCAGATTAATTTAGAACTACAACCAACAACCATTAATGCATGTGAACAAAGCCAGCCTAAATTTAACATTATTCTGGTTTAATCTAAAAGTCTGATTTTTGAGACATTTTTATCGGGATATTGGACAGATAATGAATAATCTGGAGACTTTAAATAAAAGGGTCTTCAAAAAAAATGTAACCCCCAACCCCCATTTCATAAGGGCTCCTCTTTTAAGAGCATGAGCGCATGATTCATATGAATTTTTGTAATCACAGTGTTATGGATATTAATAACAAGATTACATTCTATTCATGATTTCTTTTACTAGTGATGAAACAGGAAACCCTGATATGTCAGTTAATCTCGTATTTATATGCAAAACCTTTTAATTCATCATGTTGAATCTGCCACTAATACATACAAACAAACACCCTCATAATGAATCTACAGCTCACGGGAACATTACAATCCCCACAAGTATTGTTGCATGTAAGATGGCGCTATTTCACTACATGAAACAGGCAAATAAACCAATCTCCTTAACAAAAAATAATCTTGACTGGTGATAAAGATATGTATCATGTACAGTTGTAACTCATACGTTGAAATGTTGGTGTATGACAAATAAATGGATGGGTATGCATTTGGGCCGGTAAATTTTATGCTCATAACACTGTATATAAATTCAAAGAATTGAAAAAATAAGGCACATCTAGTATTACCGGGTATACTGAAATGCTTCCTCAGGGAATTTTCCCACATATAGACATTACATCTATATTAAATTTAAAAAAAATTAAATGAGGCAATTTATTATCTTGAATATAATGTACATAACTGTCTGCAAAATGTAATTCTAACTAAGCTGAAAAAAAAATATGATGAAATTCATCTTCATGGAATTGTCTCAAATGTAGATGTTACATCTACCGGGTATATAAAAATAACCATGATATTCCCAGACCTTATTCTCATCATTTACATAATTGCTGAAAGGAAATTCTAGAATATATTCTTCTAAAGCAAATCTGAATTTTCTGACTCACATTACATGCTCATTCAGATATGAAGTAGTAAACCACAGTACTTTAAAATAAAAAAAAATAACCTGTAAATAAATGGCAACTCATAGTTTCTACATTTACTCACTGAGCTCTGTACTTATGAAATACAAAAAAGTTAAGCATTTTAAACTTACGCCATTATTTAAAAACAAAAACACCACCTCATATCTGAACAAGGATCCATCATGAAATGGAATTGAGAGGTAGATCATTGGTAGTGATTGCAGAGTTGCATCGTGATGCCAAAGGTTCATGTAGAATGCAGAGAATATGGGTGGTAATTAAAGGGGAAGTCCACCCTGATATTAAGTTGGATTATTTAAAAGCAGAAATGTGAGAGGAACAGGTCAGCAAAAGTTTGAGCAAAAACCCATTGAAAAAAAAACAAATATTATGAATTTTTGAAGGTGCAACCAATCAAACACAAATTGGCAACTCTAAGATGTATCTTGCAAGCTCCCCTCCCATTTCCCCTGTAATACAAAAATTAAAAATCTATATCGCCCTTCGGAAAATATTCAATTATACATTCACCCTACATATAATTATTGCATAAATGAGTTTAAACGACACCTGTATGAAACAAATCTTTTCCGTCATCAAAAACTAAGAAAATGAGAACTTATGAAATTTTCTGTACAGAGAAAATTGGGGAGGACCTTGCAAGATACATCACACTGTAGCCAATTTGTGTTTCACTGATGACAACTTCAAAAATTCATAACTTTCCTATTTTTAATTGGAAATTGCTTCAACTTTCACTAAATTGTTTCTCTCATTGTTCTGCTTTTATCAAAACCTACTTAATATCAGGTTGACTTCCCCTGTAAGCCCTACAGTGCCATTGATGGTATTTGCACCTAATTCACACACATCAAAATGGAACAGAATTTAGTCTGGCATTCAAAGAGTTAAGCCCTACCCTAGACTAAGGCTGCTGAAGCACCTCCATCAATAGGCATTGTGATACCATTTATCATTGCACTCATGTCGCTGAGCAGAAAGATAACTGGATTAACAACATCCTCAATTTCTGTAGGAGAGAGAAAAATAAAAGAAGAAAAAAGTAAATTCCTCTAGAATGATATAAACAAATCTATAAAATACCCCTTTTGAGAAGCTCTGCCTGCTTTTGGACTACGAAGTTCACTATTTTCACTTTTCTTTAAGCGGGACTGCATTACTTGTAGCAACTTGCACCCTCTATACAGCCAACAATGCTTAAGTGGTACCTGTTGATCCCCATGATCCCCTTTTTCTTATGTAAATTGAAAGCTGAATTGATGAGATAACCACCTGCCAGTTACCATGCAGGGAAGTCTTATCCCTCCTGGCCAAACTAGTGCAGATATGCTTTAAAGGAAATACTTTTATCATGCCTTTATCCGAATCATTTCATTGTAAACATGTTTGCTACACATCCCCTCTCTGAAATAGTGGAGATCTGTTCTTTCATCACTAATCACAACATTATTTAAATGTTTTTTCTTATTTCAAGCACAAACAAATGGAGAACTGTTTGCATCAATCACAGAGTTGCCAATTTGTTTTTAAACAATCCCACATTGGTAAAGACATTACGGTAATCATTTATTCCAGCAAATCCTGTGTATGTGAACAATAATGCAACACACAAGTTAAACAAATATTCTTTGTCTAAACATGTAGGTAGCTTCATAGTGAAATGCAGTGGCACGAAAAGATGAGTCAAGGACGCAAAGGCCGTGAGAATAAGTGATGTTGGTGAATTAAAATTTCTTATCTGACATACTTGAATGAAAGCTTAGGTAATATAAAGCCAAATTAAGGTAATACATGTATTTACCAGCTCCATATCCTGGCAATGAAGTCGTACCTCTATGTGATAAATTCATGATTTGCAACAATTATGCACCATTTAGCATTGCATTAGTCTTTTGGGGCATCTTTAGTTTATACCCTAAAGAAAACAAGTCAGTGAAATTAGAATACCAAACGATGACTGCTATTAAAGGGAAATCCAACCTTGATAGCAACCTACTCTATAGGAAAGCAGAAAAATCAGAGAAGCATAATGGTATAAATTTGAATCGATAACGTCTCTGTGATGAAGTGGCGTATAACTTCTATCTATTTTAAACTCGCTCTATTCTGTTTCTCTGATCTTTCTGCCTTCATACAAATGAAGCTATTACAAGAGTTGGATTACCCTTTAAAGAGGGTGCGACTTACCTAGGAACCTGCCCAGTGGTATCCTGTTGATCATTGCATCCCTCATCTCACCTTGGTCCCAGAACTTCCTGGCCATAGGAGTCAGTACGACGGTAGGGTTCACACAGTTCACTCGAATCTAAGGCCAAAAGAAATGCATCATAATAATATTATTAAAGTTTTTTTTATATAATGCCTAACTGATTACAAGATAACCGCAGGGCTTGCAGTATTATAATACATTAGTTTTGGGGGGCTGAACTTTTTTGGAAAAGAAGGACAGGACATGCAAGCACTATTTTCTTAGTGAAATCATTTTTAAGGCTATAAAAAGGGACAATTTTCCACAAGACATTGTACAGACTTTCATAAAAACATAAAAGTGTTAATTGAGAAAATGTTTGACTCAATGCATGCATACAATGCTATGAAAGACCAAAACAGAGGTACCTAATTACAGTCTGGATTAAAGTTCCAATTGCGAAAAATCATTTGGAAAAACTATCATTTTAAGCTCTTTACTCCAAAAATTGGAGGAATAAAAAGGAACTTTATTTTTATGTGGCAATTGAAACAGATGCATGCAAGGATCTCTCTTTCTGATACATACTCATATTTGTAAGCTTACAATCTTACAACTATAAAAATAACACCAAAAATTTTAATGTGGAGAAATAAGTTTTACCTTGTGTTTTGCCAGTTCTAAGGCAGCAACCTTTGTGTATGAATCCAAAGCCCCTTTGGATGATGCTGCAAATACAACGGACATAAAAGTAAGTGGGAAGAAACTCACATAAAGATAAAGAAATATGAAATAGTTAAAGATTACATTTATTCAATACCCAATGACAAGTTCTAGCTTTCATCCTCGAGCGTATCAAGTCATTGAGACGAAAAAAATATTAGTGTACAAAACTGATATAAAGTCTTTATCTCCTACTAAAAAAACCGTGATCTAAATGATGTACACATAGTTTTAGTCTGTAAATTTCCTAGAAAAATAGCAATGGACTTCATCATATGCATTGGACCGTTTAAAAACATTTAATCTGCAGTAATGCCAAGCACTTCATACTTCATGTGCATATTTTGCAGATTTCCCTTTTGCTCTACATTATACAGAAACTTACTGACAAATATACATGTGCATCTCTTTTATTAAAAAATCCCATAAGATGCCCTAATCGTATAAAATAGCACAATACGGTATAGAGTGGTGAAGTGTGATGTCATCAAAAATCTATTTTTAGAATTTCTCAATTTTTTCTTCATATACCGAAAGAACACCAAAAATAATGTCCAAATGTAGAAAACCAATTGAATATGTTAAATATTGGCTGAGTTATGACCATCCGAATGAATATATGTCCTATGGGAACTCAGTGTTATATGCTCTGGCTCCTAACCATTAGGAGCCAGAGCATATAACACTGAGTTCCTATGGGGAGTATCTTTATTCAGATGGTCATATCTCAGCCAATATTTAACATATTCAATTGGTTTTCGACATTTGGACATTATTTTTTATGTTCGTTCGGAAAATGAAGAAAAAATTGAGAAATTCTAAAAATAGATTTTTATGACGTCACAGCTTCGGTACTCTATACAATGTATCTCACCATATACAGCATGGTTGGTGAGTCCCTGTAGACTGGCAATGCTAGAAAGATTCACTATGGAACCACCCTCACCTTTTGCGATCATTCCTTTTGCTACAATCTATTTTTTTTTTTTTTAAGGAGAGATATAAGTGGAAAAGGGATTTTCAAAATGAAAACAGTATTCAGCTGGAAAACCTCTGAAGGAATGTACTCAATTTCATCTTCATGCAAGTATTGAGGTAAATCTACATTTTGTATGAGAGTTAAGCCCACCGCACACTATACGATCTGACAACAATCCGATTTTCGAAGAATTTTCAATAGCATTTGATACAAACATTCAAACATGTAAAATATCAATGACCAACAATCTGCATAGTCATATTATCAAGAAAATCAAAATTTAAAGGGATTTCATGCTTTCTTGGAAGAAAAAGCTTAATCTGCACAGAATTATATAGCGACATCAAACCAACAGTGCGATTATCTACGATTTGAAGCCGATTCACTTTTTATTTTGACGAGAAGAATTTGATGCACTAAAATTTCAGTTTTTAGGTTTCTTATCATTATTTACAAGCTAAATCAGGAATATTATGTTTGTTTCAATTTCTCATCTCATGCAATTGCCATTTCTTTGAAAATCGGATCGCATGACGATCGTGTAGTGTGCGGTTGGTATTAGGGGAAAATCTATAGTGTGGATTAAGATGTGGAGTTGAGTGAGAGTCCATTTTCTCCAATGTCAGATCTGCTGATAAGGAAAGATTTAGTATTCATTGTACCATTGAGTACATACTTTGTGGGGGTTTTTGTGGCTTTGTTTCATACATGTATATACATATACCAATATCATAATTTTTGTAATCGGCTTTGCAATTGATAGACCTGTGATCTTTGCAAAACCCACCATATTTAAATTTGTTTGTGTAAACTATACTTGTTACTTTCTCTTCTAATGTTATTGTCATTGTGATTTTTCTTTTTATTCAATTTATATGAAAATAAAATAAATTGAATCTATTTGAATTTAAGTGAGTTGAATTGAATTGTATATACACGTACCTAGACAGAATTGAAATTATAAAGGAAAGAATTATATCATTATGATAAGCTTGGTTTTCATCCTTCCATGTTAATATGCTGCAAAATGAATGAATAGGGGGGGGGGAGAAATCATGCAGGATAAAGGGAGAGAAAAGGAGACAAGTTATAAAGTCACATTTATAAAAAACAATTTTCATGTAAACTTTGCTAATAGTTTCTCTGTTATTTCCTAACCGTCTATTCCCAGTCCACCCCGTTTCTCTCTGAAATTCTCTGCAAATTTGTACATCTTAAATATTGGAAAAAAACACTGTAAATAAATTCATGCATTCAAACATTCATTATAATGATGCACTTAAAAGTAAAACATGCCAAATTATTCATTAGTCGAACTCACCTTTGTGATTTGAAGAATCGCTCGATGATTTATCATCATAACACTAAAAACAAAAAGATATAAAGAAGCATTATCATTCCATGAATTGTAAAATTTCATAGTAATCATTTTTTTAAAGATGAATTAGTCCCTTTCTTATAGTAAAACTAAATCAGTAACTCTTTTTACTCCTAACTATAGCAAACTATATAGAAAGGTACACTTTTCTAAAAAATGAACAAACAATGAAAGGATATTGAGACTAAAATGCATGCAACTATGAGGGTGAGTGATGAATAAGGCCTTTTGTCAAAGATTGGGTTGAACAAAGAACATTAGTCTGAGGTCAAAGTTATCCTCTCGTTAAACAGGAGTTTAGACCGAGGGTTAGGGCCCTGTCTTATAAAGAGTTGATATCATCACAACTGTGTATATAAGAGATAGGATACTGCAAACTTGTGATTGATTAAAGGACTTGCAATTGATTTTGATCAATCGCAATTCTTTCTAAGACGGGTTCCAGATTTAGCTGAATAAGTAGCATATAGACCACAAAACAGTATTGAAAAGTTTTAACAAATTACTTAGACTAGATGGAACTTCGACTGCGCGCAGTTGAAATGATGCCTCCGTCATAGAGCAATTTACAAACCAAAACAGAAGAAATTTTTCAAATTCAAGTTCAATTGTAATCCATTAACAGGTTCTCAGAATATTGTGATTACAAGCAATTTCTCATATACATATATGACCCTTTGATCTTTGACCTCATGACCCTAACATCTACTCAGTTCATTGGCTCTCAAGATCGGTTCTTCAGATAACGCGATCACGAGAACGGGACGGACGGACGGACAACCCGAAAACATAATGCCTCCGGCTACTTCGTAACGGAGGCATAAACAGGGAACACTGCAGAAAATTCCCATTTTGGCCCTTAAAGGAATCGTTTAACAATATTAAATCTGAGATCCATGGCCCTACGTGTTATCACTGTCAGTGATATGGTCTAATATTGAAGCTTTAAAAACACTGCGCTTCAAAATGATCAAAAATTGCCTCAACAAAGTAAAAATCTTTGAGTGACCAGTTTTACCATACTAATTTTCCCCAATAGACTGTAGTGTTCTGAAAACCTTTTGGCAAACGCAAAATTTTATTTCGATTTTCAATCATAAATATCTTGATAATCAGACAGGCGATCAGCTTGTAAAAGTCATGGGGTTCCTGACTGACCTAAAGATTTAGAATTGTCATTGCAGCATGAGCTAAATCCAGGATTTTGTTTCAGAATCTGAGGCAAAGTTACCCAATCCCTTTAACAGACAAAATATGAAGGAGCCTTACTTGTCATAGGCCTCTGCCGAGACCTCTAGGCAGGACTCTCCACTGGAGACGCCAGCACTGTTAACAAGGAGGTCAAAAGGAGGTAAGGGTGATAGTACTTCATTGGTCTTATCCCAGTCGTGCACATCCAAACATATTGTCTCAATGCCAGGCACCTGCACAAACAATGATCAGGGGACAGACAGTGAAATGCAATTAGAATACAGTGGAAAGTGGAAACATATCAGAAATCATAATTATAATCATAGTGACAAATGTAATTGAAGGTTCCTAGAACTGCAAAGGTAACTTTTTTTTCTAGTAGGGAAATAAATCCGAGGTCATAACCGTATAAAAATATCTACTGGGGTTAAATCATTTAACTTATTACTTAAAAAGAAAAACATCAACATACATTTTTTTTTTTTTTTTCAGGATATTTTGTTGTTTTGTTAATACTTTATTATTCTTTGTTAGATGTTTTTCTTATTAATCTGACTCAAGGTTACAGAAGTAGGCAATTTGTTAATACTTTATTATTATTTGTTAGATGTTTTTCTTAGAGATCTGACTTAAGGTTACAAAAGTAGACAGGTCCTTTTCTGCAAAACTTGTTTGAAATTTGTTACTTATTTCTTGGGATGAGAACTTCAAACATTATGCACCTCTTGCTTCAATGTGTCCAAATCGGCCTGTGACCTAGTTAGAGCAGTCACCGATGCTCCACACTTCGCTAGTGCCACTGCAATTCCTCTACCGATTCCTGCATGAAAGTCAGGGACATGAACATAGCAAAGGTCAGATCATATACATACATTATGTAACATGCATTTATGAGTGGATTGTTTTGGCACAAGACTACAAGTTGATTCACTTAGTGCTACAAACTAACACTATAGACTAGGGCCTTCAGCAATGTAGGCCCTTTTGAAACGGGAACTAACCCCAATGAATAAGTGTAGATATTCTGTAAAATGAGACGAATTCCTGCCTTTTGATGTGCACTAAATCTTACAAGTTACAAACATGTACTTTTGGTGAAAAATATATAATATCAATAGGGTAACAATTGTAACTCATTTATTTAAAAATACTAAAAATAGCATTTGAAAAATCTATTTTAATTATGTGAAACCTTCACCCCAGAACAGCACCAACTTTTTGTATACAATTTGCATTCTGGCAATTGGAGTACAAAGGATAATAGCAGGTGGATGAAATGATTCAACAACACAAACTGGTAGAGAAGCATCCATAAATTTGAATACATTTAGTTGATAAACGACTCCACATAGTATGGCATGCAATCAAGAAAATGGCGATGCCCATGTCGATCTTGCTGAAAAGCTACTTTTTTTCTTGCTTTATCATTGCTTTCTCATGCACTTTGGTGGGGAATCTTGTAGATTGATGGCCGATGGACAAGTATGCAATAAATCTCTCAAAACAACCAAAGTTATTCTGTGAGGTTATGCTATTAAGCAAATATTAATCGACTACGAGGGTAATGGTGCAAACTATCATCGCCAAGGTGATCTCGGGGCTACTATCTTCCCGAGCCGCAAGGCAAGGGAAGATGGTAGCCCCGAGATCACAGAGGCGATGATAGTTTGTAGCCATTGCCCGAGTAAAGGAGGTTAATATTTGTTTTATATCCCACATCGGCAATAAGGTATATTTAAAGTGAATTTTACATAATAATAATAACTTATTCTGCAGACAGTTTAGCTTCAGCTAGATTTTACAAAGCGCAACATGCATACATATAATACAGTCGATGCGCGCTCCTTTGACATTGACATTGACTTTGACATTTCGCGTAACCTACTTTGCTATGCGTATTCAATGGGCAAGGGTGGGCAAGTGTGGTAGCAGCAAAAAATTACTTTACAATAAGTATTATATACCTCACTTAAATAATCCAGCAATCTGACTGGTCGAAATTGCATTCATAAACTTTAACTGTTCCCGAAAATTCCCGGTAACCATGGTTAAAAAACAGTTCAAAATCCCAATAACCATGGTTATTGGGAAAATAGGTCAGTCTCCATGGTTACCCCATAGGTTTACATGTTAAAAAATGGTCTGAGCGATCGAGGATACCATACGTGTGCGAAGAATTGGTCGGTAATTTCAATACAATTGAATCTCGATCGATCTTACCGACAATTTTATCTTGCATTGTTGACATGAAGACGAAAATAAACTTCCAAAAACAAAAAAACAACATCTGCCGATAGATCTTGATCTAAGTTCGTGCCAATATGCATTGCAAAAGTAAAAGAAGGGCCCGTTTAATGGAGCAGCGGCGAAGCATCGACCACGCGAGGCCGTTTTCAATTCATTTTAATGTATATATTAAAAAAAACTACTGTTCATGGTGATATAGCGCGCTGGCCGAGCGGTTTGAGGCGCTGACTCTAGTAACATCACCTTTGGTACGCAAGAGTTCGAATCCCATCTTCGACAAAAGTTTTTTTTTCTTTTCTTTTTTTTTTCTTTTTTTTTTGGCATATAAAAGTATTAATGACTGCTTTAATATTCGAGAAATAGTTGTTTTTATACGCTCTCGGGAAGGTTAGAATTGGGCTATTCCCCTCGGCACGCCTCGGGTAATAGCACAATTCTAACCTTCCCTTGAGCGTATAAAAACAACTATTTCTCTCAAAGCAGTCATTAATACTATACTATCTAAGGTAGATAGTACTTATCTATACCTTTTTCGTGCTCTGTACAATCGCAATGCAAACAACTATACATGAGGGATATAACATTTATTATCATGATCATCTTTCATCATTATATTAGGCCTACAATTATCATCATCATTATATGGCTGATATATTATCATCGTTAATTAATCGTACATGATTATTATCATCATCATTCATCTTCATCATCATCATCATCATCATCATCATCACCACCACCACCACCACCACCACCACCACCACCACCACCATCACCACCACCTACATCATCATCACAGCACCACTCATAAACTTATGATGCGCGAGGTTATCTAGCATCGCATCAACACATTAGCATTGACCAAATAGCACATCGCGCTCTCAGTCTCACACTCAGATTTCCAATAGAAATAGCAACTTCAATACAAGTGTATCGGACTGAAATGAAAAATTAAGTGTATAACTCTCATCTCAAAACAGAATTCTGAACAGCAGAACACAAATCACATATAGTCGGACGGTTCACTTACCTTTTCCTGCACCGGTAACAAGGGCCCTCTTATTTTTAAAACAAATTTCCATGCTTTTTAATGATTTGTTATGCTTTTTCTTCCGGCAAAGGAGGGGTAACAGACGCCCAATCTGACTGCAATGTCTTTATGCTTTGCTGGAGTGGGTATCGGGGTAGTTCTAGCGACCAATAAGAGAACCGGTCGGTGACACTGAACTGCTACTAGGCCTATACTGAATATACTGTGCGGAAAATCCGTACAGTTCAGTGGGTGCAGGCTTAATGGTCGCTAGTTTTAAGGAGCGCACTATGTGTTGCTGGTGCTCCGGCGTCTGCTGCTATCTGGGCCGAATATCGACTGCATATGGTTGACAACACAAAATATACATCTTTTATGTTCCATTCACAAGACAATCTCTTTTTACTATCTCTAATGATGGCATCCCAAAGGGAATTATATCTATAACATTTATTAAAACACAGATAAATGTCAGTCACGGACAAGTCGATCCAAGATGGGTTTTGATCACGTCTCATACGTATCAGCATTTACCAGATCAGTGAACAGAAATAACCATGCATGGACTACAATTTGAGATCAGCATTGCTATTTATTGTTCATGCTGCAAATCAACAAGGATATTTATTCATTCTAAGAAACAGGAATTTAAATGCAATAATTTACTGTTCTACCAGAATAGTCTTGCCAATTGAAATAAATTATGTACCACTCATCTTTTAGCAAGTTATTTAAGTCATTACAAATATTTTGAAAATTATTGAATGAAAGCACTTTTATTATTATTAACCAAATTTTGTGAAATAATAAAATATCAGCCATGAATTATTTGTTTTTGTTGAGTTTGGTATATTGTCACTAGTACACCTGAAATAGGAACTTCTTTCTTTACCTTGCCAACTTTGGGAAATGTAAACCTGTGATGATACGTCAATAAGTCATTTTGAATATAATTGAATGATATTTATAATATGTTGTGAATTCAATAAAATATTGGTCATGTATTATTTGTTTCGTATTCACTTTAAAATATCGCCCCATATGAAAAAGTCGGTCCTTGTCAAAATATAATCATGTTCACGATTTAAATTTTGATTACAATAAACTATGGGTCATGTATTATATTTGATTTGCATTCATTCTGTATTGTCTTTGATGGTTCTTTTAATTTGCTATCAATGCAGAGTTGTGAAAGACGATAACTGCAACACAGATCCATATGCTTTATCATCTCTTTATTATAATTAAAGATACACTCTACACAAAGCAAATGAGAAAGATACTCAGATGTGAATGATATAACAGCATTCAGAGCATTTCCTTATATGCCTATATCCACTCTACTCTTTGATATCAGCCAAAGATTAATGGTGAATTTTGTCAATACATAACTGCTAACAAGAACAGTGCATTTCATTTTCCATCTATCCTGATGATATGGTCTTGCTCTTGTTTAATGTAAATGTATAATGTATCAAAGATCAATAGTTTATCTCAAATACATAAACACAACCACAACTAGTAGTAGTAGTAAAATGGTTTTTTTATTAGACAACTTCAAAATAGTAGCCTGAAAGCTAAATTACATTGCAAGTTTTACATGTATTAAAAAGCATTTCAACAAACTTAGATATAGACAAGTACACATAATACACAGTCGGGTAGATCATAACTAATTACATATTCCCTACTTGCAAACAAATTGATGAAACAAATAAAATAGATTCGGCATTATTTTTTTTCTTCTGTAATCATTGTTAAGTGAGGAATATTCATATTTTAAATATAAATTGAGGATGATTAATTGAGTTATAACAAGTAAGTACTGAAGATTTGTTTAATTTCAAACCGTAATGCACATTGAATGTCTATAAAGCTACACAATATATAAGGATTTATCATAGAAACATGATTAAACAATTACCGAAAGTGAGAGAAAAGGTTAGGGAGAGAACGATGTTGAGAGAGAGAGTCAAGTACGTTAGAAAGAAAAACAGGAAGACATGCGGAAGATGGGAGAGGGAGAGAGAGATAGGGAGGGAGTGGAATGAGAAGAATGGAACAGTTGGAACTGTGAAGACATGGAGAACCGGAATAATGATGAAAGTAAGACGACAAGGAAAAGGCGATTAGAAAGAAATTACAAAGTAAATTACAAAGTTTCCCTTACAGAAAAACAGTACAATTTACCAATTATGCATTACTAAGATAATAACAGAATATATGCGTAAAAACTTTAAATATGTAAAGACATAGAATGTACATGGGAACGTGCGTAACTATAAGAGAGATATTCACTAAACCATTTTGATTTATATTGACACCACAATATTTCTCTAGGCACACTTGAGATTGTAGTTTAACAGTACTGAAAAATCTGGATATAACAAAGTGGTTGGGATCAATGAATTGTGTTTTTTACCTTGTAACATGAGACATTGTGCCAACTCAGATCTTGTTCCATGTACATCAGACTTCCTCTATATACTCAACATCAATACTACATCAACACTAGTTTATTTTTAATCAATGCTGAGACAACAGTTTTCTTTCTAATATCAAGCATTATTAAAAGTGTACCACTCATCAAACATGTTCTTGATGTAAGAGATATCACGTGACTATGCTGTATTCAAAATATGAGCTTCAAGTATTACTTCCTCCTACTTCCCAGAGAGATACAGTCAAACCTGTCTATAGCGACCACCCAAGGGAAACACAAAGAGTGGCCTTTGTTGACAGGTGGTCTTTGTAGACAGGTTCTAGCTTTAATACGTGTTTCAATGAGAAACCACTTTCAAAGGAAACAAAAAATGTGGTCCTTGTAGACAGGTGGTCTTTGTAGACAGGTGGTCACTAAAGCAGGTTTGACTGTATTACATTTTTTTACAAAAATAACTTAAAGTAGACTAGTCAATGCATGTGTAAATGTTTGCATGAAATAGGGTGCACATAAAGTCAAAGTGTGGAGGGTTCTCGTCTTTGTGACAATATATATTCTGTTTACGTGATCTACAAGTTGAGACTATAATGTTTATATTGAGAGAGGGCATATATATAGACACACCCTCCAATATGGCTGAATAAACATGCAGTCAGGCAAAAGTAAATTGACACAGGAGATCACAGTTTGAGATGTTATTATTTATGACTTCCTCACTTCATATAGCAACCAAAATGACACTGTCTTCACATTCATTAACCATTAAACAATAGAATGCCAGCCGAGGTTAGTTTTTTTAAAGTTGATTTTATATATATTAGCTAAACAAAATATTTCAGGTGAGATAGGTATACTTTGATGGTTAATCTATTAAAGTAAAAAGTCCATTCCACGTCAAATCGATTTGTTTTCTTCATCTAAATACAATATTTCTTTAAACAAACTTGATATCAATGATTTTGGGTTTATCAAAGATCTTATGGGCTAAGTGCTGGTATCTCCTTGGCTTAATGGTGTGAATACATGTATTTCAGGACAGACCCAAGTTATTATCTTATTGATTTGATTTATCAATACTAAAAACATTACATTTCATTTGATAAGCTTGGTATTGAAGCTTAAGGCCCGTCTGTACTAGTTTGGCCAGGAGGGATTAGACCTCCCAGAGAGGTCACTGACAGGTGGTTATCTCATCAAATCAGCTCTCATTGAACATAAGAAAAAAAGGGTCATGGGGGACCAACGGCCACCGCCATTGTTTTCTATATAGAGGAAGCCAGTAGCTACAAGTAGTGCAGTGGGGCTTTAATGGTTAATCTAAAAACGAATCAAAAGCATATAAATTTTAAATTTTTCATCCATTCCAAGACCACAATCATTTTCTTGGTGACCTTTGTATCAAATATTAATGGATTATCTAACTGGCAAGTCTAAGTTAATTTGCTGCCCCATACATTGAAACTAAAACAATTATTGAAATCAAAAGAATAATTTCCTTGAAATTCAGTTCGATCCAAACTCTAATAGGGCTATTAACTTGACATGATTATCAGAAGAACTAAAAATTTATTTTAGTTAATTACATGTACATATGAGACCAAATAGAACACATCTGCAAGCAGATATAAAACCATGACCACAGCAACATTGATTTGATTTGTCATCTATTCAGAGACCACTAACTTTCGCTTTGATATACAAGATAAATGGGTAATCTAATAGTAAAGTGGCAGAACCACATTCCTCCCAACATGATTTGTCATCTACTCTAAAACAATGGTCTTCTTTTGATGATACATTGATGGTGAATCTAAAAACAAAATCACATCATCTGATATTCAACTCATATCCTGCCATAAGGCCACATGCACGCAACCGTTATGGTGCTTTGTACACGCGAGCACGCTATCGATTGGCTGCTTAATTCACGAGGGCGAGCCACAGCTTAGCTGCTTTATGCATGCATGCTCACATTCGTAATAGCAGTTATTGTTCATGCTCATTGTACTGTGCTGAGTGCTTTGAACGCACTATTGATCGCACCATCCGATTATCAGATTATCTCAAAATAAACTTGGCACAGGGGGGATTTGTGGCTTGGCACAATGGGGGTTTACCTCTTTGGCACTGGGCTGTATTCATTATGGCAGGATAAGAGTTAATCTATACTGAGATTACAATCTTTCTCTGGGTGAGCTTGATGTCATCCGGTGATAAGTTCTCCTTGAGAAAGGTATCCAGGCGGAGTAGCATCTCTTCCGTCTTCGTCTCCATCTCCTTGCAACCCACCTCAACTGGGTCGTCATCTAGTATGAGGGTGATTCAAAATGTCAAGAAATATTTAAAAAGGTAGGCTCAAAAAGGATATCAGCTCCACAGACATGTTTTGATTTTTTAGTACAGCTGTAAAATCATATGACCATTTAATGATGTTAGTCATACCAGAAAGATACAGTAGTCTATAGTCATAGCAAGAGATATTAATTTTTTGAGAAATAAATGATTAATGTCATATGCCATATGGGATACATTGCATGTAATCACAGTGCTATACTGCCGAGTTTGCTGTTGGTGTGCTTTTTTCTTTTTCTTTTTTTAGTCACAAATGACCTCTAAGAAATGCTTCATACCTGCAGTGACAAATCATGAATCTATTTATGAGAGGAGGGCACTTGTCTCACATGTGGAGAAAATTGCAAGGGGGTTTAGTAGAATGTGGTGGTGGTTATTTTACCCGACTACTAAGAAAGTTTAAATGCCTGTTATTAAGCAACCACAGGATCGACGGCTTTAGGTCATCTTTTGTGCATTCTTCTGGGTTTCGAGGAGCACACGCAGCCCTTTGCTATGCCACTGACGATGCCCTATTGAGCATCCTTGTTCCCTTTCATCCCAATCCTGTCACGGCAAACGCCTAACCTACCCTCAATACAATGCTTCTTCTCCTCCTTCTCTTCCTCCTTGCTCTTCTGCCTCGTGTTTTGCTGCCGCGTCAGCCCGACAAACTTCTTGAAGCGGCCCATCATGAAGTCGATGATCTCCAGCTCGTTGCCTGATTTGGCGTTCTCCTGTCTGACCCTGGTGAAAGCCTCGTTGATGATGGACAGGAACATGTTGAGGCAGATGAAGATGACGATGATCACGTAGCAGAAGAAGAACAGCGGACCGAGGTGACGGCTAGTCTGCACCATCTCCGCAAACTTGAACTTTCCTATAATAATAATAATAATATTCTGTTTTTATATAGCGCTCAATATATTGATCCAACGATGTGCCTAAGCGCTTAACAGATATATTATTACCCCGGTCATCGGATTCAGGCTTACCCGCATCCTACCAGGTACCCATTTAACACCTGGGTGGAGGTGTATATCTTGCCAAATAATATTAGTGCCGTGTCACGATTCGAACCCTCGACCTTGGCATCTCCATGAAGACATTGTCAAAATCAATATGACAACATAGGAGAAGAAGACAATGAAACTATAGACCAATCTCTGATTTCAGGAAAAGCATGCACACTATATTTATATATTTCGTACAAACCATGAAACCGGTGCAACTGATATTAAAGTGCTGAATAAAGTAATACCCATCCATGGAATCGAATGATTAGTGATTCTTTGCAACATAGCTCAACAAAGACATTAGCATGCTACTCCCCAAAGATATGTACCAGGTATTATCAGGTAAGAATCTATTATTAAAGAGGGCGTGCTTTTCCCGAAATGTCTAAGATAAAAGGCAGAGAAAGAGAGAGAGAGAGAGAGAGAGAGTGACCAGCTGAGATTATTTAGACATATTAAAATAATTAAAGAAATTGTTAAGTGGTGAGTATAGTGGAATGCTACAAAAAGGAGGAAAGAAAGATAGCCACATCAAAGATGAATTGATAGTACATTACAGAGACGATGAAAGAGTGGTCAATCTATATAAAGTGACGGGGGAGGGGGGGCAACGCTATGCCCTGACTGACCCTACAGAACACAAAAAAACACAAGTAATTAATGATGAAGACATCTCCCTACCTAGCATCGTTGAGAAGAGGGTGACAATGGTGGATCCAAAGGTACTGAAGCCGATCAGGTACGGGCTGTACATGTTGAAGGCCATGGAGCTAAAAGCCATGAAGACGATACCAAACACGATCAGGTAGTAGAGGATCTCCTGGCCAGCGTTCTTCAGGGTCAGGGACAGGATCAGCAGGCGACGGTTGAATCTAAAGAGCTTCATGAACTTGATGTTGGCAATGAAGACAACTAGGGCGGTCATGTAGCGGTACAGCTAGTGGTTAATTAAAGGAAAGGTTGCATGGATTGATCATAATTAAGCTACATTGTACATGGACTTATTCTTTATCTAGAGTACGAGATATCCATTCATTCCATTGTTGATGGGTTTTAGCTTTATTCTACTGCAATTGGACCGGTAGGTAAAAACAGAATTCAACATTCTAATTCAAATGCAACCAAACTCATTTTGATAACTTCAAGGTTATCACATCAATTGGTGGAAAATGTAATAATTTCCTATACAAGAAATTTACTGAACAATAACCCATGACAAAAAAGTTAGAAATATCATAAAAAGACAACAAAATCTCCTTTATATTATGGGAAAACAGAATTATAAGTTAATATCTACAACTTGAATTGCCAAAATGACGTTGACGGTTGTGGTACTTACAGAGTCCCAATGGGAGACATACTGGAAATTCAAGAAGCTGTCAGGGTCAGTCCGGTACTGCGCCATAAGCTGTCGACCGATGAACAACCGGTACAGGTAGAAAGTGATCGCGCAGTACGCCATGACCAGGGTCGTGACCTCCAACATGTTCCAGAAGCTTCTGAAATACTCTCTCTTCTTTTTGATGAAGAGTTTGATCTCCTTGTAGGTGAAGTAGAGGAGGAACAGGACGTAGGTGACCTCACCGGCTAGGACAAAATAGGCAAAGTTGCCCTGGTAGCGGTCAAGCCGGATGGTGCGGAAGTTCACGTATGGGAATGCACCTATATATGAAATGATTGATTGAAAACATACTAGACTGTCACAATGTAAGCAAAATATTTTTTAAATGAATCACTTGTTGTAAATGCATTTGGCATTGCAAACAAAAAGACAAAACAGTAATGAAATTCTCAGTATATTATATTCTTGGAGTATATGATTCAGTTGGCACAACAAACTACCAGTATATCAATACTTACAAAATGGTACATGGCATAGAAATTTGATTGAAAACATACTGGACTGTCACAATGTAAAGTTTTTTAAAAATTAAACGAATCTTTTGTTGTAAATGCATTTGCATTGCAATAAAACAGATAGAAGAGTAATACAATTTTCAGGATATTATATTCTTGAAGTATATGCTTCAGTTGGCACAACAAACTATGTCAATACTTACAAAATGGTACAGCCATGGTGTAGAAACTTGGTGGACCAATCCATAAAAAGCTTTTCATAAAGTAGTCTCAATATCTCATCATAAACCAATATTTCTTCCAAATCAAATCAACTCTGTATGAAAACACATTTTGGTAAATAATAATTGTTGAAAAAGACGCAAAGAATGAAATACATGAACGGTACCGAGTTACCTGCAACCAGCAAAGATCCATATTTAAGAACAACAGGAAAACAATTTGTTTAATCATTCTTTTAGTAGAGTACTCCAGTTGACCCCTTAAAGGAAGTTTAAATTTAATACACTGAGTGATTCATCATACTTACCCCCTTGTGATGGAAATTCAACCAGTAGAAAAGAAATGCAGTACATATTGTTGATAGGGTTATAGGTGACAAACTCAAAGAAAACAGCCCTTGTGTACTGGTCCACCCAAAATGAATCACGTAGGTACTGCATCTGGGCTGCAGAACAAGAAATCAGAACACTTTCTGAATCCAAATACTTGCTTTTTACATACCTTATACTACATGAAAATTACAGAAAAGGTGAGATGGGTTGGGTTGAGTTTGGTTGATAGCAAAGAATATTGGGCCATTTGAATATTGGGTTTAACTTGAACATGTCTGTGTATCAGAAGTACTACATACCCAGTGAACAGCATTAAAACGTACAGTTGAGCACTGATTGTGTTATTACATTGTGAAAGAAAGTCTTGAAAATTTTTTGAAAAATGTTGATTATGTAGCCCATTATAATAAGGCAATGGCTCAATTTTGCTGAAATTCACACATAATGAAAGGCAGTGCACACTTTAATGGATACATAACAAGACACATGCTGTATCAAACTTCCATCAAAGCTTTAAACTAGTTCTCATCATATTATAATAAATATGAGGGCATTTCGAGATAAATCCTTTTGATATTTAAATGATATTATACAGGAAAGAATGGAAAATTTCAAAAACAGTTTGTCTTCCTTATAATTAAAGACCAATACCTGTGGGTTCTCAAGGGGGATTTTTCAACACCATTTGGATGTTTACCTGATAATCACCCAGAGTGGACTTCACTTTCATAACTAACAGGTCTTTTGTAATGCCCTCCAACCTCCATCAACCGCCCCATTAGGGAATCTTATCTTATTTATAAATTTTGATCACCCTCAAGATTTGAAGGCAAGTTGAAGAAATATCTGGCAGTCAGTTTCAGCTATCTGTCAAGACCAGTGCCCTGTAGAGTTGCGATTGATTCCAATCAACAACAACTTATAATTAATAGAAACTGTGTACTTAAAGGTAAAGACCAGTATTGGAAACGCCCCAATTTCAAAAAATGAAATGGAAGCTCTTATTACCAATCATGTGAAAGAATATGTTTTGACTAATACATGATGATAAAAAATTTGCCGGGAAACCGCCTACTAATTCATTTTTTGGTAAATTTGTTTCTCTCATGGTCTGTGAGAGATATAGGGTAGTCCCATATACATCTTTCTGTGCATAGTGCTTGTAACTTTACAAAGAAAGGGCCAAATTTCTTATCATTTTGATGATTCCAGAACCTTGCAGATGCTAGATGCTAGATGATCAACCTTTTCTGATCGATTCCACAACATTTCTTTCACAATGCAATCGCATGACCATAACTGGTCTTTACCTTTAAGAGATAGGAGTTGCAATCAATTTGAGTCAATCGCAACTTTTTATAAAATGAGGCCCTGTACATACATTCATTGGTAATTCAGTCAGTGTTAAACTAGTCGGAATACACCTGGAAACAAGATGACTATATGACTTTAAAGTCTTCTTCATTAGCTGTGATTGAATTATTTAATTTACCCATAGCAGTAGTAGGATTTGTGGGTATCTCAGCCAGATAGCCTCCTCCCTTGTAGGTTGCTTGTTTTCCAAGGTAAGGGAATGAATCAATCTCGGTCCAGTCGTAATGCTTCCAAACACAACCCTCAGTAGTTGTGTAGTCCATAGGATCTAAATGTAGATAATAGTAAGAAAAGAGGCAGAATATCCAGCTTTGATTCTCTTTCTTCCTTCTTCTTCTTCTTCTTCTTCTTATTATTATTATTATTATCATTATTTTTTTTTTTGCCCGTTCACTGCGTCTCATTCATGAATTATTCCAGCTACCCCACTACCCACCCACCTACCCACATACCTACTAACTACATACCCACCTAACCACCTACCCGTCTACCCACACACCCCCTACCCACATACCTACCTAACCGGCTACCCGCCTAACCAGCTACCCCCAATACCCACCCACCTACCCACATACCTAACTAACCACCTACCCACCAAACCACCTACCCCACTACCCACCCACCCACCTACCCACATACCTACCTAACCACCTACCCACCTACCTCTCCCACTACCTACTCACCTACCCACCAACTTACCTAACCACCTACCCACCTAACCAGCTATCCCACTACCCACCCACCTACCCACATACCTACCTAACCACCTTCCCACCTAACCAACTACCCACCCACCCACCTACCCACATACCTACCTAACCACCTACCCACCTACCTCTCCCACTACCTACTCACCTACCCACCAACTTACCTAACCACCTACCCACCTAACCAGCTATCCCACTACCCACCCACCTACCCACATATCTACCTAACCACCTACCAACCTACCTCTCCCACTACCCACCAACTTACCTAACCAGCTATCCCACTACCCACCTACCCACCCACCCACCTACCCACATACCTACCTAACCACCTTCCCACCTAACCAACTACCCACCCACCCACCTTCCCACATATCTACCTAACCACCTACCAACCTACCTCTCCCACTACCCACCCATCTACCCACCAACTTACCTAACCACCTACCCACATACCTACCTAACCAGCTATCCCACTACCCACCCACCCACCTACCCACATATCTATCTAACCACCTACCAACCTACCTCTCCCACTACCTACTCACCTACCCACCAACTTACCTAACCACCTAACCACCTAACCAACTACTCCACTACCCACCCACCTACCCACATACCTACCTAACCACCTTCCCACCAAACCAACTACCCCACTACCCACCCACCTACCCACATACCTACCTAACCACCTTCCCACCAAACCAACTACCACACTATCCACCCACCCACCTACCCACATATCTACCTAACCACCTACCAACCTACCTCTCCCGCTACCTACAAGCCTGTCCACCTACGTGCCCACTTACCAAACTACCTGCCCACCTACCTACACACATACCCACCTACCCCACTTCCCACCCACCTACCCGACTACCCACATACCTACCAAACCACCTACCCACCCACCTACCCAACATCCCACCTACATGCCCATCCACCTACCCACCTTCCCACATATCCACCTACCTACCCTCATACGCACCTTCCTTCCTACCTACCTACCCACATACTCACTTACCCACCTAAACACCTACCCACGTACCTACCTACCTATCAATCTACATATCTCTCTTTTTTCATCACAAACCTGATTCATTAACTGGTTTCCATCCCGGAGCAAGGTCTTCATCCTCATCATCAGCGAATGAATAGGTGCGTTTACACTGTATGTTAGAGCTTTGTATCTTCTCTGGTAGGTCACAAGATTCTGCAAACAAATACAATATTTGCAGGTAATTCAATTTAGGGAAATGTCTGAAAAGAGTCTAATCATGCCATATTTATATGTAAATGTACAAACATACAACTGTGTGTAGTTCATGTGTTTCTTGCATATCATCTTTGATTTATGTTCATGCACAGTTCTTCAATGATTTTTGTAACAACGTATTATAATCCCCCAAACCAGCTTCTGCTCAATAACTCCATCACAACCATTGTCTTTATCACTGTAATCATCATCATCATCATCACACTTGCATCATCACCATCATCATCACTACCATTATCATTATCGCCAACAAGATTGACACTAACACTGTCATCATCGTCATCCCTACCACCATTGTCATCCCTACCATCATAATCATTACCATCATCATCATCATTCTCACCACCATTATCATCTTCATCCCCATGACTCACCTTGTTTAACTCTAAGCTGTCTCATCCTGGCCATTCCCACTAGATTCATCTGCTTCCCAGAGACCAGCCTCTGCTTGATGCCTTGGATGTCTTCCTTCCCGTTATACCATGTCTCATCATCATCATCATCGTCATCATCATCATTGTCATCATCATCATCGCCATCATCATCATCACCATCATCATCATCCTCATCATCCCCATCATCATCCCCATCATCATCATCATCCCCATCATCTCCATCACTCACCTTGTTTAACTCTAAGCTGTCTCATCCTGGCCATTCCCACTAGATTCATCTGCTTCCCAGAGACCAGCCTCTGCTTGATACCTTGGATGTCTTCCTTCCCGTTATACCACGTCTCATCATCATCATCATCGTCATCATCATCATCGTCATCATCATCGCCATCATCATCATCACCATCATCATCATCCTCATCATCCCCATCATCATCCCCATCATCATCATCATCCCCATCATCTCCATCACTCACCTTGTTTAACTCTAAGCTGTCTCAGCCTTGCCATTCCCACCAGATTCATCTGCTTCCCAGAGACCAACCTCTGCTTGATACCCTGGATGTCCTCCTTCCCGTTATACCATGTCTCAGAGAAGAGAGATGGGATGAAAACATTCTCTGTGTAGTTCCAGAACTGTTCTCGTGTTTGAATCTGTTGAAGAAGCAGAAATTGGTCTTTAATGGTTTATTTATTGAATGTTCAACTCATCATTGGTACTAATTACTACATGATTTTCTTCCCTAAAGACATGGTCACATCACCTAAAAGCAGCCTGCTCGGCATCTGTGTGGCGAGTTTTGAGCAAATTTCGACCAGGCACCGAGCGGCGGCCGCACAGGCACCGCTTGTTTTTAGGGCATCGCTCGGTCGCTGCTGAAGTTTTAGCAGCCAGTTAAAATTTGGGCAGCGTCTGCTCACTTTCACTCGCCACCCAAAGTATGCTCAGTGCCCGGTCACCGCTGGGAGATCAGTCGGTCACTGGGCAGCGAGTTCAAAATCGGTCAGCAACCTGATGCTGTGTAAGCAATCCTTGCACTTAAACATTTGTTATACTTTCAGTATATTAAAGTATATTCATACATGACATATTTACAGTTTATGCACTATCTAATGTATTCTAAGCCAGATATAACTCGAAACAAAATAAATTGCAAATACTAAGAAAATGAAATTGGAACCATCTCCCATGCCTAAACATCTGACTCTGGACTTATACCAGAACCGCCCTTGGCTTTTACCGAACACAATTTTTTGAGCTATGAAAACAATTTCTGGCCAAACTGGCTACCATATGAAAAATATACATGTCGGTCAATCACATGGCACAGAGCTGAAGTGATATTCACACCTACAATTAACCACTAATTCATTCACACCCTTACCAATTTTTGTAATTTTTTATGAAGCATGTAAGAAAAACTTAATTGTCCCACTTTATTTTTATCGACAATGTGGCTTAATAAAGCTAACACCTAAAATATTCAACAAAGGCCCCTACCGGTATTCAACCATTGTTAAGTTACACACAAAAAAAAACATCAAATTTATAAGGACTATAAATAATTTAGTTAACTGTACCTTGGTAAACTTCATAAGGCCATGGTAGTGGGCTTCAACGAAGGCATCTTTCATAGACTTGTTGACGTAGAATGCCTGAGGGTCCCTGTCACCAAATGCTATCAGCATCACGATGTTAAGGAACAGGATGTAGAGAATGATTTCACGAATGATGCTCTTCATTTTGATCTCTTTGAATCTAGGATGGAAATGAGAGAGAAAATGTATTTGTGAAAAAGAACTGGCTACTGGATCTATTAGAACTTTTGTAAATGTTTTCTAAATTCCTGAAAAATGACGATCACCATTTTGATTTCTTTATCAAAATCTAAGTGTAAAGTCAACAAGAGGATGGAAATTATATTTTGGAATATTAAACATCTATGTAACTCTACAGTAGGCTTGCGGGTGCACAATGTGAGAGAGGGAGAGGGAGGATTGAGGAGTCCTGAAAAAGACTCTCTGTAATCTTTCTTGAGGGTGTGTAGTCCTGAAAAGGACTGTTGGTGTAGTCTTGAAAAAGACTGTAGGTTATCTTTCTTAGCTTATAGTTCTAAGGAGAACTATAGTGCTTGGAGAGGATGAGTGATCAATGTTTCGAACAGGTTGACTATCCGTCGTCAGGAGTGGAGAATAGCTGGCGTGCGTGAGCTTAAGTCACCGGGGTGTGGACGTGGGGTAATTACTAACACAAAGGCTTTCCTCATCCTGCCAGGTCTCCATTTCTCTCCTGGGTATGAAGTTGCAAATGTAGATTAATGCCTTGCCAAAGAACATTAGTGCCGTGTCTGGGATAGAACCCACAGCCTTTGCATTTCAAGTCAAGTGCTTAAAGGGAGTCACTCGTCAGTTTCCATGTGCAGGAGGCCATAATTCGCTGACTCCAGGATTGGTGGTAATACCATTAATGGGAGGACAAATATGCACACAGCAAACCCGTTGGCCAGTCAAGAATTCCCTCCTAATCTCTCAAAAAATACTAGAGAATCTTCGGGTGACGAAAAAGCAAAACGTTACATAAGGTCTAATGGTCATAAAACTGAAGGCTTACCCTGGTGATTGACAACACCTGTTATTGGGTAAACACCCGAACAGTGTCGATTTCCCCATGAGAGCTGACTACTGAGTGTCTTTAAACCACTCGACTAAGACACCTCTATGAAAGCAGTCTGACATATCTTACCTCAACTCCCTCGCAGCAGCTAGCTCGTCACGATTGGGAGGGGAAATCCCCGGCGGGATGCCCTGCGAGGGGTCTATTCCACCCCCCTCATGTAACCACTCCTCATCGTCTCCTAGAGGAGGTACATCATCCTCCTCCTTCTCTGGCTTCTTAAAGAGGAGAGAGAGGAAGAATGCCAGAAAGAGAACCTGAAGGAAAGTGGGAGAAAATAACATTAAAGATTTCAATGATACTGGATACAAACCCATTTTCGAGCTGAAAAGTATTGGGTGATTTTTATATAAATTTGTATGGAGTTTATGGAATTACATACATTTATATAATTTGATATTGATAGATATAAATCTACATTCCTTTCTAAAAAAAAAAAGATATTTGTTCTTAATTTTGAAAGGAATGGGTCATACAGTACTTCTATACATCTCACATAATACAGAGAATTACAAGTGAAACACATTTTGGAGTTACACGTAACAATTACATGTACAATTGATATATTTACCAATTGAAAAACAGTTTCAATCTAAAGAAAAATGCAATTTTTCAATATGGTTTAAACCTGGATATTCTGAGGCTTTGTTTATCTTTTATTTTTATAAAAAGAAATAATATTTATCCCCTACATTTTCACATCTACCAAAGATCATTATTACTCTCTCTATTAACATCTACAAAAGATGGTATCTTACTACTGTCTGACCACTCACTTTCAGAGGCTGAGTGAAGAAGACATCTTGGATCAGAGATATACACATTGATACAAGCCATTCTGTCGCCTTGGTCTTGCCGAACTGACCAGCCACCTCGATGGTCAGCCAGAATGCCACACCCACCGACGTCACCAGCAAGGCCCATCCAAAATAAAGGCATTGCCATGGCAACTCAAACTTCTTCTTCTTTCTCCTCAGTGGCTTTGCCTGCATCGTCTTGTATCCTGCTTCCGTCGCGAGAGCAGGGATACGGGTAACGGGAGATGGGGTGCGGTCACTTAGATTTGAGGAGTCGAAGGAAAAGGACCTCTGATCCCGGGACTTTATTTGGTCCAGCTGGATTTGAGAAGGAGAGCTAACCCGATGGGTACCCGCTCCCTGGACCTGGGCGGAGATGGTCGGTGGAGGGGGCGTCGCCTGACCCCTCTCTAGCAGGTCCAGCTGCTGCCGGAGCTCTCTGGAGCCCATACTGGAGGCAAAGGAGAGGCGGGATGCAATGTCCCTCCTGCCTGCAGAAGACACTCGAGGCTGTTTCCTCTTCATGCAGCAAATCTGTTTTTGTATTGGGATAGTGAGTGCAAATATAGTAACACTTTGAAAGTTCAGACAGGTACATGTACTCAAACTTTTCTTTCTTTTAAATATGACAAGTGGTTGTTCCAATGTCACAATATGATTTATATACGAAATATGAGTTACGATGTCATATTTATTTCTATAAAGAGTATCAATCTTATACCCTATCCACTCCTGCCTCTCAATTAGGAATTTAATTTTGTATTTACACCTTTAATGTTGATTTCACATGAAGATGTTCCTCATTACCATCTTCTTATGTTTGATTTTCATGCACCTTCTTTCCTTCTCCACACACCTCTCTTTTTCTATTTCTTTCCAATTATTATTCTAAAATGTACTCCTCTCTCTCTGTCTCTTTCTCTCATCTCTAATCCAATATCTCTGCCTCGTTCTTCTATCATTTACAGTCAGTGTATATCAATATCCCAGCCAGCCAGAGCAAGGTAATCATTTCTCTTCCTACCCTTGCATGCTTCGGCGGAGGTCTTGACAGCCTGAAGATCTGTACCACAAGGATGTTTGCTGGGAACACCATCAGGCTGCTGATGACACCGATGACAACCTCACCCGTAGAGAAGCTGATAGGACCGAGGCTATACACCGTCTGGGTGCCACTGCCGGTAAAATCAACCTGCAGGAAGGAGGTTGAGAAAAAAAATGACAGGATGACAGTTAGCAGGGATGCCAGTCAGTTTTACTCAATGGGCCTGAAAAAAGCCAGAACACGTTAAAGCCCCATATGTGCTGTACAATATAAAGCCTGAAAAACCCTGAAATGGAAAGTTGTCAGGGCCTGAAATCAGGCAAAAAAAAATAAAGATAATTGAATTCACAAAATAAATAATTGAACAACTGCCGTCAGTCAAAATTAAAATCACATCTTTGCCCAGGGTGAAACTGACTGGACCGATAATGTCTACGGTACCATCTGTTTGCCACTGCCAGTAAAATCAAACTAGACTAATATGGGTACATGAGAATATTTTTACAGTGGTAAGATTACACATTTTAATGCATATATTAAACCTTCTGTGTCATCAAGTGATTTTAACAAGTTCCTAAAATTGACATTCAAGCACTAAATTTTCACTTTATCATGCCTGTTTCATGGTAAAATCTTGGTATTTCATAATATTTCATGTAAATACACTTTACAATGGCGACACTTTTTTTCATTTCAGGCAGAAAAACAAAGCCATTCTTAGTTGTTACACAAAGATGATTGCCAAGACTTCCAATAAAATCAACTCGAAGGCAACATCAGCACCCTCGTATATTACCTATATAATCATGTATGTAATACATGTAGGTCATTATACGGTTAATGAATTTCAAAAGGTGATGTACAGGGCTCTTAAAGTTACTTTACATTGTTGTTTTAGAGTATTTGTGGTTATGTTATCACTCATTGGTATCCTATAGTGATTTTTATCTCAAAAACTCTTCTTCCCCTTTAAACCAAGTACATGCAGCTACAGGATTTTCCTTACATTATAGAAGAAGATATTGGCCATCATGGCTGAGAAGAGCAGGGAGAGACAGCAGGACACACGCTGGACCCTGGTGAAGCGGCTCTTGACCGGTCTGGAGAAGACCGAGAACCACAGATGACCGTCACTCAGGTTCTTTCTGGTCTTGGTGGAGAAGAGATGGGTGAAGCTGGTCAGCTCACTCCGGCCGGCCACTGGAATCACACGGTCAATCTGTTTCAGGGGAGATAAAAGATGACCATATCAATGTACCAAATAACAATTATAAACATCTCCATATTTGTAATTGTTATTATCTCTTAAAATTCTACCATATTATTTTAAGCACATAGAGATCCTTTTTGAGTATCATGTGCTTTATAAGAATCTACTTATTATTTTCATTACATTTGTACTGAAGGTAATATGTTTTGTTGGAACACATGTGAATTAAAGTCTAAAGAAAAAGATGAAATTTCAGTTAATAAGCTTGTGTCCTTTCACTTTTCTATTTGCTAAATTTGTTTGGGAATTTCAGACCAGTCTAAGAGTACTTGACAAAAATGTGGCATAAGCAAGATCTTTTGAGAGGCACATAAATGTCTTGCATGACACTACCAAAGCTTACTGTTTGCTTTGAAGTAATAAAGCTCGAATCTGCATTCAGAACTTAACCCTGACTGTGCCATAGAGTTTCGAAAAATGGTCCAGAAATGTTTTCATCAGACAATTCTAAACTTAACAATAACCTTTCTTCATCTTATAAGGCAAATCTATTATCTATGCTTAATCTATTATCATAATATATGGACTAGTTTTGAATTTCAGGGAAGAAAGACCTCCTTTTGTTTGTCCAAATATTCTAGATAAATTTAGAAGATCAACAGTTGGATGCAACTTCATTACCTACCTCACTGAAAGAGTTAATCCAAAGCAAAAGTAGTAAAAGAGAATATGGGTACACTACAGCTAAGAACAAAATTATTTAAAACCCTTGTAAATTTGATGTTTTTTGCATTTTTCGTAACTCAAGAATGAAAGGTAGACTGATTGAATTAAGGTCTTTGTTGAACACTATGAGATATAAGCTTTAAAGCTTATCTGCCGTAGTATACAGGAGGGATTAGACTGCCCTGCAAGGTCACTGGACAGGTGGTTATCTCATCAACTCAGCTCTCAGTTAACATACGAAAAAGAGGATCATGGGGGACCAATGGTCACCGATTAGGCATTGTTTGTTATATAGAGGGCGCAAGTAGCTACAAGTAGTGCAGTGGGCCTTTAATACGTCACATTCTGATGAAATTTTAATTGGGAAATATCATTTTTTCACATACTATAAACGCTGTTATTTTCGTGCGATTCATTTTACGCACTTAGCGACCCCTAAACATAGTACATAGTTCTTAAATTCACGTTAAATGCAATTCAGCCTGTTCAAGACATGCATAAGAAGTCGTGCTTATATTTTCCGCAAGTTTTTTCAAATTCGCGCTTGTCGATCTTAGCGCAAAATCCGCAAAAAATTAGTGTACTGCGAATATTTCTACTTTAACGGTACTTGAAAAAATTACAAAACTTGGTAAGGATATGAATAATTTAGTTGTTAATTGTATTTTTGAAGACACTTACTGCCCCATCATCCTCTTCCACGGCCCACCACCTGTTAGCCATGAAGTAGAACATCTTGTTGGTGTTTAAGTCCTTGACAGAGAGATGAGAGAGGAACCAGCTGGGGTTCTTCCCGCCGTTGTCATGCCAGATCCTCACATGCTCGAGGTCTCCGAAGGACCTGGGGGACGTCAGCAGGAAGGAGTCGATGCCTCCGCTCTGGAGGACCTTGCGCTTTGGGTCGTGGAGGGTGCGGACGCCGCTGTCGTTGTGGTCCCCGGTGATGATGACATGGACTCGTGCAGTGGTGCCTAATATATACCATGTAGTAGAAAGCAACTTGCCATATTAAGGTAGCTTAACTTTCGCTTTTTTGGAAGATTGTATTCAAATTAACCGATAATTTGTTTAATTTTTAAATCTTTTTAAGCAAAAAATTCTTTCAATAGGTCATGAAATAGAGAGAAGAGAAATAAATCTTGTCAATCTTATTTTAAACCTTGCTCAGTTTATTATCTATAGAAACTATATTAGAGAATGTTTTGGAAGTGAAAAGCACAGGATTTTGGAAGTGAAAAGCACAGGAAAAGCATAGGTATGTTTAATAAAAGAATTAAAGGTAGAAATTTGCACCTGTCTTGATATGAAATGTAATCAACAGAAATTTGATACAATGAAGTAACAAAAATGTTTTTATTATTTTGGTAAGTGATTATGTCACATTAGTTTCATTTTTTGGTACTATATATGATATGTTACAGTTGCATGAATTCTGTATATAAACACTGTTGCAAATAGCTGTTATCTTATGATATGAACAAATAAAGTCCCTCAAAACAGAATAAATATTTAAAAAACTAAGGTAGCTTAGCATAATGTGTTTACAGGTAAAACTGTAAGTTTTTTTTCTTCTAATAGAGCACTGCATCTTTAAAAAGGGGCCACATCTTCCCACTCAACATTATTTGGAATCTAACTAGCTGGGCGGGCATGCATGCACAAGAAGAAGTTATTCTGACACTCGTGTACGTCTGTTTTGGTTATAAAGATCCCATATAAGGAAATGAGGAATATTGCCAAGTGAGGAAAAACGGCTACAAAGACAGAAGGAATGAAATTTATTATATGTCAGTGAGCATTTTCAGTGTGAATCTATTTTCTTAAAAATACTTTCTTGCAATGATCATTACTATAAAATACATAATCATGTAGTAACAACATTTTCTCAATATAGATTAAAAAATTGCTTACAAGAATATTGCAAAAACATTATGCAAAACTTTAAGGATATTCTTTCTCAAAAAAGTGCTTACAAAAATATTGCAAAAACATTATGCAAAACTATAAGGATATTCTTTCTTAACTTGTCCTAAACCATGGAAATCTAAGCCCATGAAACTCTACATGAAAACCGTTTAAAATCCATCATCAAAAGGTTTAGGGATGTACACTACCACGACTATTCCAATAATTTAGTCTAGATTCATGTTCTAGGGGTGACATACAAACCTGCATCCGACTTTACACCAGTGAACACTGTGACCTCATAGTGACACTTATCATGAGGTTTGTTTCCAATCAGTGGGGTCACTCCAGCCTGACAAGGAGAATAAAAGAGTAACTGTAATTTAGTATCCAACCATCAGCCAGGAGTCAAGAAACCTGTCAAATCATTAAAAGATCTATTTAATTTCTGTTTGTTTTAAATAATGAAGTTATCACTTTCAAATGAATATATGGATAAAAGGCCATTTGTGGATCTGAAATACTTTTTTCCAATTCAGTGAACTTGGAATTCTACTAAATCTAAGTCGTACTAATGTACATGTGCCTGCATGTGTTTACAAACTTCTTCAAACGAATGAAAGTTTTTTCTACAATCATCTTTAGGGCAATGAAAGTGACAAATAATCAAATTTTACATGATAAGAATTTAAAGAACAAACTGAGCAGACATACAAAATACAGGCCAAAGGGTACCATTTGGTAGATGAAGATGCAACACATCGTAATAGCAGCGAATGCTGACTAGGTTGCTTACAACTCATGGTATTAGCCCAAAGGCCCACCAGGGGTCTGTTTCACAAAGCCTTTTTTCAATGACAAATGACAAAAATCAGTGACAAATCTGCTGATAACCAATCAGGAGCAAGGATTTCAGTAGCTTATAACAAAATTGTCATTTGTCACTGATGACAAGTTTTGTGAAACGCCCCCCCCAGGTTGATGACGTACATGAAGGCAAAGACAAGAGACTACTACAAGCTCCATAAAACTAAAAATATTGATTTTCATTTGAAAGACAACATACCTTCAGTAGATCTCTTTTGTCAGCTTTCCTTGCCCAGAGAAGGACCACCAGGTAGATGCAGAGGCAACACATCATGAAGGCAAATACCACTGGATTCTCATGGAGCTTGGTGAAGGCTGACTGAGAGAGGTCGATCCTGTTCATGGGTATCTGGAATCCTGCACCAAACATGGTCAGATGGTTGCAGAGGCAAGACGTATGGGTAGCATTACTGGACGGGCTGACCTACATGTTCATGTATGAAAAGGAAAATGGGATTCATTTATTTGGGTTTTTATAACTTCCCTTTTTCCATTATTGTTTAATATTTTAATGTACTTACTGTATGTATATTCTAGTGACATATTTTGCAAGTTATTAACAGTACTTTTTGCAAATGTATGTGTGTTTGTAATGTGATTTTTATGGAAATGAATAAACCGAATTGAATTGAATTAAATTGAATTTTAAGATGTAGGATATTTCTTCTTTCACATTATCAGTGGGTTATTAGTAGCTTGGTGAAGGCACACTAGGAGAGGTCAATCCGGTTCATGGGTATCTGGTAGCCTGCACTGACCTTGGTCAGATGGTCAATCAATCAATCAATCAATCAATCAACCAATCATTAAATCAATCAATCAATTATCCAATCAATCAATCAACCAACACTCAATAATTCAATCATATCATTTCCTCTACTCTAAACAATCAACAACTAAAGCAACTTCTGAATTAATCAATTGTGTAGAGGTGTCGTGATCGAGTGGATACGTTGCCGGACTGTCGATCACAATGTATGCGGATCAAGTCCCGCCTCGGTACTAATGTCCTTTGGCATGACATTAATCTACATTTGCCACACTCAACCCAGGTGATGTAAATGGGTACCTGGCAGGAATGAATTCCTTGAAATGCTGGAGCGCGGTAATGGCAGCTAGGCTAAAGTCGGGGTAATAATACATGCGCCTCGGAATAGAGTTTCTAGATAGATGGCGCTATAGAAATGCCTATTATTATAATTATTATTATTATTAATCAAAAAGTAAATCAATCAGCTAGTTTCAATACTGACCAGACATCCATCTTTCTTCCAAGCAGCTTCGCTATCCCTTTCCTTGATATAAGAACAGCTGTGCAGTGTGGGGCTGAACGAATAGTGTTTGAATTCAAACGTAGCATTGGGAGTTCTGGCATAGGTCGCGTTCCATTCCACTTCATTGGCTAGCTCTCTCACTCCAACATTTACTGATGCGTATGTACCGTTACCCAGTATCCTATTAAAAATCAATGATAAAACACAAAATAGATGAAACAGATCATTTTTATTACTATTTTCATCCCCTGCTTGATTTAAGCTTGGGTGCTTTCATATCTAGAGTAGATATACCATTCCAAGGAGGTGTTTCACAAAGATCCTAAGTCAAACTTATCTCTAAGCTGGACTTAACAAGTATGGAAGCCGCTAGCATCTTTGAAAATATTTTGTAAAAGTTATTTTAAAAGGCATAAAATGTTGATTCAAATCATTCATATTTTCTATTATCAAGAAGATTTCATGTTCTTGATGTGGAATTTATGAAAAGTCTAAAATAATTGAATTTTTGCTTTTGAATATATTTTATTTGAAGGCTACAAATGGCTCTCTATAATGTTTAAGTCCAACTTAGAGTTAAGTTCGATTTAGGATTTTTGTGAAACACCCCCCTGATGTGCATAAACATCTAATTGAAGAATATTCATAATACCGGTACAATGATAATGAAATGTCATTTTACCCATTAAAATACTTGTAGTAAACAAGAATACTTTGAAGACTGGCAGCAAGTCAACAAGACATCCCAATCGAGGAACTTGGGAATGCAGGATAAATACCACATCAACTGGCACTGATTCAACGTCAGCTTGGTTTTAAAAGCGAGCAATCACGTGCCTTCACTGTGCTTTGTCTAATAATAATAATATACTATTCCGCTTTTATATAACTCTTAATACATCTACGATGTCTCTAAGCACTTTACAGATATACTATTACCCCGGTCATTGGATTCAATGCTTGCCCGCACACACTGTGTGCACAATCTCCACTCCCTGGGGAGTATTCCAGCCAGGCGTTACTTGACACTCAAACACTGTTTGACCAAAAATGATGGTCGCAACCTACAGGCAGAAGCAGATTGATAATACTTACTCATTCATGACGTCGTTATCGATGAAGCATCTTGTGTTTCCTTCCACGGATATGAAGTCAGTTTTATTCCAGGGATCAACCAGAGTACTGTTATATAACGGGTAGTCTGACAGCGTGACAGACTGGGCCAAGGTACAGTTCCATGCATTACTTCCTATCAAAATGATGAAATTCATCGAGTTTTATTTACTGCATACAACACTGTGATTCAGAGTATATTTAAGGCCCCACTGCACTACTTATAGCTACTTGCGCCCTCTATATAGCAAACAATGCCTAATCAGTGACCGCTGGTCCCCCAATGATCCACTTTTTCTTATGTTAATTGAGAGCTGATTTGACGAGTTAACCACCTGTCAGTGAACATGCAGGGAGGTCTAATCCCTCCTGGCCAAACTAGTGCAGATAGGTTTTAGAAGGTGCAAAAGGTGTGCCATAAATTTTAAAGATATGCTAATTAATGCCCGCAATTAAATGAATAACACTACTGAGAAGAAGATGTAGTCATTACAATTTCACAACATGTTTCTTATAAAAACATACAGTGCATATGCACATGAATCACCACTTCTGCTGTTTTTTATCTTAATCTTTAAAAAAATGCAGAATGATGTGGGAGATCGAAAATGGAATTCATCAAATACAAAAAGTAAAGATGCATGTAATTGGCAAGACCTATGTCTCAAGTTCAAAAGACATTACAAGAAGGAGATAACAAATAGATGAACAATGCATGTAACTGTGCACATTGGATAATGAATGTAGATTACAATGTTGCTCTATTTTTCCCTGGATAAGTTATGATTTTCAATAATACCTATTTCTGGCAGCCCAGTAGTTGTTATCATTACAATGAGAGTACAGTTGTAAGTATAGTTTGTCTCCATCCCTGTGAAACCCATGCACTTCACTTCAAACTCGGCTCCATTTGAAAATGGGATATCTGAATTGTAAAAAAACAAAAACAAGATAGCATGAGGAATTACTAGAACGTTAATAAGATCATATTCAAAAGCAGTTTCAAAAGCAAAGGTTATCTGCATGTTGAAAACTCATCACGTCTTGTATGCTCATAAGTTAAACAATGCACATTGTGGGAACTCAGTACCCCCAAAAAACTAATGTCTGTAAAGTATTTTACTTCTGAAGTGGGGAAATCAGAAACAACAAAAAGAAAACTAATATCATCAATCAACCATTTTAAGAAGCTTTCATATTCCCTTCCTTATATAAGCCCTGCCAAACCCTTTAACCCTATTTCTACAGCACCCCCATCCATGGAACACGAACGTTCTGCTGTGCTGTGATTTTTTTTTTATTCCTGGGGTGCTGTAGAAATAGGGTTAAATGTGAAGGAAAACAAATTAAAGGTAATTCAAAATACAAGTCACAGTAATAAAAGGCTAACTTGAGATTTGTTTACAGTCAGTGATTACATTTTTCTTACATGGTAGAAGCTGTCTAAATCCCAAGCTATCATCAGGATCAAACTGTAAAGTGACAAAAGACGCCATATACACTTCATGTATACCTAACAGCCTTTTTAAAAGATTTGGACCCCGTCTTACAAAGAGTTACAATTGATCCAAATCAATCGCAAGTCCTTAAATCAATCGCAAGTTTGCAGTCTCCTATCTCTTATGTACATAGTTGTGATTGATATCAATTGCAAATAAGTTGCGATTGATATCAACTCTTTGTAAGACAGGGCCCTGACCAATAAAAATAAATGAATCTTACCAACAGTATGAAGAGCGATGGGACCTCCCACTCCATACGTTTGACTGAAGGATGTCAATGTCTCGTTATCCAAGGTTATGGTAGGTCCATTGATGCGAGGGATCGTGATGGTGATCGGTTGCATGGTGTTCTTGACCTCAATGACACCATTGGTGGAACTGTCAATGAACTGGAAGGATACCGTCTTGCTGTTGATTTCAGCTGCTCCGTTGGCGAAGGGTCGCATGTTGGGTTGGTACATCACAGCCTGAAATGGAAATAAGTAGCAAAATTTGAATAAAACACATTGCCAGAGTGGTTCATGACTCTATTTATTGTTAGAATAAACATTTTTGAGGAATCAAACGGGAGACTTTAATGTCTTTAAAGTTTTATTTCCTTATGAAAATACATATTGGTTTCTAATATTTTATTTTCATGAAATTGCTGGTTAATTCTAATAGATCTTGAACTTCTTTCTCTTGTGGCAACCCTACGGATGTCTTGCAGCACCCGTTTGAAAAATGCTGCCTGAGACAAGACATTTTATCCAGTTGCGGTCTCTCTCCACCCAGGTCTTAATAGGATTCACTGTGCACTAATATCTGCTACCAGAGCTCAAACTAGGATAATAATGTGGTATTAGCTATTTAGGACTGCCAACTGGTTTCTTATTATTTATCATTGATTCATGAAATCAAGTCTAAGTGACATTTGCTCTTTCAGTGGCAAAGAGGGTGCGTAATGAGTTAATGCACATGTACACCGGTACATACAATTTGCGATAGTAAATGAAAACATTTGTATTGAAGACTCCGGTTCTTTGAAAATGTTGACTCAAACCGTTGTGTCTCGTTTGTGGGCAATCATTACCTTGAATTCAATTCCTCCTGTTGTAGCACTGGTATCAAACATGTTTTGAGCGGGTGGAAAATCAAGATTGCAGCCAGGCTCCACTTCAAAGTTACCTGAAATAGTTGCACAATATGAAGAATGAAAGATGTCTCTAGGAATGAACTTCACTTTAACAATTGCATATTCAGACATCTTCCATAAATTAAAATAATTTAAACAGAGCAAGTGGGAAATCAAGATTGCAGCCATGCTCCACTATAAAGTTCCCAGAAATAATTGAACAATATGACAAAAACAAGCTGTCTCTTGGAGTAGACTTCACTTGAAATAATTGCATATTCAAACATCTTCAATAAATTTAAATAATTTCAATAGAGCAGGTAGGAAATCAAGATTGCAGCCAAGCTCCACTTCAAAGTTCCCAAAATTTTATATGAAGAATAAAAGCTGCCTTTTTAGAGTGAACTTCACTTATATTATTTGCATAATACTTACAGACATCTTTAATAAATTCATAGAGACCAGAAAATAAGTTTACAAAGCCTATCACATACAATAACATACACTGAATAATAATTGTCAGATGAGAGCCAGAAGGGGGCCCCAACTCATATAATCTTGAAATAATGAGTTTAGTTTTTTGGCAGCAACCGACAATATGCACTGTACCCGTTTGCTATTAACTACAAGAAACGGTGAGTGAATTCACACCTAAATGTTCATTCCATGCACGATACATGTACATGAATATATACAGTTAACAACTATATTATTCATACCCTTTTACAGAGTTTTGAAATGTTTTAAGTATGTGAAAAACTGATTTGTCCCAATTTATGTTTCTCCAGATTGTATTTTAGAGCTTTCATCTAAAAGTATTCAACAAAGGGCCTTAATGATCAACCAGTCCATGTATCTCCCCTTCTTGAGTTACAAAAAACATCAAATTTACAAAGGGTATGAATAATTTAATTGTTAATTGTACATACACTTTAGAAACTCTTGCTGGTGAATGACTGAAGATAAGAAAAAGCATGACGATGTAAAAACCCTACAGTACAGTCCCACTTGAACATTTTACAAGCAACTTTAAAAAGTGTACATGTTGGTGGTATCACATAAAAAAGTGCTGCAAGGTCAACTTCTTGATCCTGAAATTTTAATACCTTCGACATCTTCGCTTTCCGTTTTCTGAACTTTGACCCTGATGTTGCCTGCATCCACGGTAACAGGTCCCTCTCCGGTGATCACATTGTTGCTCAGGACCTCGGATACCTTGTCAACGACGGATACAGACCTGACAAGGGTGTTCATTACAGCCGAGTTCTGGAATGAAGTACAAAAGAAAGCAGAAATAGGACTGAAAGTCATCAATACCCCCAACAAATGTGTCAGCACTGTCAATGTCATGACCTTTCCCATCAAGAAAAGTATTAGTAATGCTATGACATCTACATTTCAGTCGAGAGCATACACTTTCATTAGACTTCTTTCAACACTGGGAGTAATTTGCTTCAAATATGTAACAGCATGGAGTACAATAACAAATATAGCACTTAGTTTTCTGTCAGTTGCTATGGCAACATGAGCAGTCTTTTGCCATTGGTTTTGATTCAGAAATATAACCATTAATTCTTAAGTCTTGACACTTGTGACAATAAACTGCCCCCCCCCCCCCCTCCCCAACCCCTAGAAAAGGAGATGGTAAATGGGGAGAAAAGAAGACTTAATACGACAAAGGCCTCCATATCAATTCAATAATGGTTTTATTTGACAATTCCTTGCAGCCACAGATTAAATTCTGTATGTGCATGTTCACAACAATGTCTTAATATCAGTTATAACACATTAAAATATGAATTTGCATATATGTTCACTCACCTTCAGCATTGTAACAGAATCTTGTTCGCTTTCTGTATGATCCACTGAATCTATGGCAGCATCTACCACATTATCTGTCACATGGGAAATGAGAAACATATGATAAATAAACATGTATGTAACAAGTGTCAACAAAACAGCTGTAATTGTTACACTACTGAAACCCAAATCCTTTCCCAATATTCACATGTATTTTTCTCTCTATCTCTCTGTTTCTCCATCTCCCTTCTCTCCCTTTAACTCTTCTATTCTTCCCTCTCTTCTTTGTCTTACTTTGTTTTTGTATTTTTACTTTTGCTTTCTCTTTTCACATTTCTAACTCTCTCCCTACCTCTTGCACTAATGTACATGTATGAATAAGAATGTCTTACCACAGACTTTAAGAAGTAAGGATGCTGATATTTGAAGTCTCTCCACAGCAGTTTCTCAATCTCTCTCACTTTCTCTCTGTCCCTCTGTCTCCCTTTGCTTTTCTCACTCCCCTCTCTTCTTTTTCTTATTTTTAATTTTGCTTTCTTTTTTCACATTTCTCTCTCTCTCTCTCTTCCTCTTCCACTGTTGTATGAATAACAATCGGTCTTACCACAGACTTTAAGGAGTAAGGATGCCGATATTTGAAGTCTCTCCACAGCAGTTCGATCTTCCTCCTGAATACCAACCAATGCACCTGTCAATCTCTCTGTGGCACCTAAGGCTCCCTCCTAGATGATTTGGATGACGTAGAATAAAATGTTATCTATCAAGTTCAACAAAACTCACTTTTAATGTTGAAAACATCTTTGGGATTTAAAAAAAAATCATGCAGTAGGGTAACAGTTTATGTCATACATACATGTACAAATTGTATTATATATAAGGATAATTATTCTAGCCTGTGTAATATATGACTGGTACACAGAAACTAATGTGTGATCACTGCATACTGATATCAGAATGGAACATTAATCAATGGAGTGATTTTTCATCACCATCATCATCATCAACATGATTTTCATTATTATCATCACCATCAACATCATCATCATCATCATCATCATCATCATCAACATCATCATCTCCATCACCATTATCACCATCATCATCAACATCATCATCATCATCACTCATTATCACCATCATCATCATCATCATCATCACCATTATCACTCATTATCACCATCATCATCACCATCATCATCATCATCACTCATTATCACCACCATCATCATCATCATCATCATCACCATCACCACCATCATCATCATTATCACATCATCATCATCAACATCATCATCATTATCATCATCATCACCCATTATCATCCCCATCATCATCAACATCATCATCATTATCATCATCTCCATCACCATTATCACCATCACCATCATCATCACCATCATCATCATCATCATCATCATCACCATTATCACCATCATCACCATCATCATCTCCATTATCACCATCATCATCACCATTATCACCATCATCATCATCATTATCGTCATCATCATCATCCTGATCATCATCATCATCCTAATCATCCTCATGATAATCATCATCACTTATCATCATCATCATCATCACTATTACATGTACATCGCCATTATCAATCTTTCCTTCTCCCTCCATCTTCATCTTCTCCAGTTCTCCTTTTTTTCTCTGCTTTCCTTCATCTACTACTAATTTCCCTTTTTATTTCTTCTCCTTATCACTTTCTTCTTCCCCAAACATCCCATCCACTCATGAATAGAATTACCTGTGTTGTGGTGGAGACCTCACTTGACACAGCAGTTGCTAGGTTCAGTACGGATGAGATCTGGTCCACATCATCGACAGAGATAGAAGATGAGGCAGCAGGCTCTAGAATAGTCACCATCTTCTCCCTTATCTGAACAAATCCAAGTTAGCAAATAGTATAATAATTATCATTATGATAATAAAAATAACATGCTTCATTTATATATAGTGTATTACATAATATTTTTCAAGGCACTTTACATGAGATATAATGCTAATAATCATGAAATATATTACATGCACACAATTACACCACCTCCTCCTCCTAAAATTGACCACATGTATTATGAATGCAACAGATTATTTTGCCGTTGCCATACTAATTACTCACCCCCATCTTGATTTCTGAACTCAGGGCACTATTTGATGATGTCTCATCAGGCTGAGTTGATCCAGATGATGAATCTATGTATATAACACATGTAAACATTCTTTATGTCATACTAGTAGTACCATATTGGGCTCACATTCATTAAACCTTAATAACCTTATATAGTTGTCAACTAACAATGTACAATACCCTGTGTAATTAGTTGACAACTAGCTTAGTAATGTTTATGAATGTGGGCCAGATCACATAGACACCAGGGGGGCGTTTCTCAAAGATTCTAAGTAAAACTGAACTCTAAGTTGGACTTAAACATTATGGAGAGCCGTTTGTAGCCTTAAAATAAAATATATTCAAAAGCCCCAAAAGAGTATTTTATACTTTTCATACATTCCACATCAAGAACAAGAAAATCTCCTTGATTCTAGAAAATATGAATGATTTAAATCCACATTTTACACTTTTTAAATAACTTTTACAAAATATTTTCAAAGATGCTAACAGCTTTCCGTAATTGTTAAGTCCAACTTAGAGATAAGTTCAACTTAGGATCTTTGTGAAACACCCCCCAGAACACTGAACATATGACATCAACACCTTCATAAATGTCATCAACATCGTCAACACCTTCAACTTCATAACTTCCATTATCACATCCATAATCGCCAGCATCACCACCATCACCCCCATCATTACTAATGTTATATCACCATCTTTTTAAACACACTTAGGCCTACCTGTATTAAGGATGTCTGAGATGACCCTAGCATAACTGGTAGCATAGTCAGAGTATCCCGTAGATGCTTCTGAAACCACCTTCATAAATGTCATCAAAATCGTCACCACCATCAACTTCCTCACATCCATAATCACCACCATCATCACTAATGTCATCACCATCTTTTCCTATAGTGATGTTCATGAATTTCTAAGCACACTTCTATGGGCCTACCTGTATTAAGGATGTCTGAGATGACCCTAGCATAACTGGTAGCGTAGTCAGAGTATCCCGTAGATGCTTCTGAAACCATGCTGTTTGTCAGGTCGGTAAGGGTGTCGGCCAGATCACCAGACAATGCCTCATTGAACGGATGTACCTAAAATATAGGATGATTATCAAACTATTCAGCAATTAGCATACTATTACTAGAATTAAAATATCTGCACACCCTTGATTGAATTTTCATATTTGAATGGTAAAACAAGTCAGAGAATTTAAACCAAGTGTCAAAGCGAGTTGCAAAAGTGTAGATCTGAAAATGCATTACATAATAATGCATTGCATAATAATGGATTGCCATCACTACCACTAATATTATGACAACTATTTTGTACAGCCCTATCTTTGCCCTTTCTCATTTGTTTTTATTATCTTTTTCTTATTTTAATTTCCTCTCACAAGGATCTCCTTCTCATATATTCTGATGAATCTTTTTATTAATTTTACTTGTCCATGCTTTACAAAAAAAATATATTAGACCCCGTTCTCACTCACTTCGTTGGAGCGCTCTGGAGCGCTCTAACTAAGACCCGTTCCTCAGGAGCAGTTCTTAGGTGAGTGAGAACGGTCAAAGTGGTCCAGGAAGTGGACTTCTGGACCGCTCCAGAAGACCACCTTCCGAGGTGGTCTTGAGGAGCGGGTCTTATTAGGAGCGGTTTGGAGCGCTCTAACGTGCAATGTGAACGGAAAGCGTACTTTGAACTGAAGTGAGCTAGTGACCTTCGATGCGAAACATGTAGTACGGTACATACGGTTTGTATTCCGCGCGCGAAAAAATTGATCTGCTGACCTGAGCTGCCATAGCAACAAGACCACTTTGACTCGTGGAGCGGTTTGAGCCATTAAAAACTGCTCGGAGTGTGTACGCTCGCAAACCGTTCCTCAAGACCCGTTCCTCTGGAGCGGTTTAACTAAGACCACTTTCAAAGTGAGTGAGAACGGGGTCTGAGTCTACCTTCAAAACCATGTAATTAGTTACATCGATCCTCTTGAAATGTGTTCTCACTACAAAGAGTTTGTAGCTCATTTCTACTCTAAATTAGTACAACATTAAATCTTTTTCTGAAATTCTATCAACTTACTTGTTGTCCTAGATGCTTATTTTACTACAGTCCATTAATCCTTCATGTAGATGTTGCATTAACTGTACAGTTCCAATCCATTTTCATGAAGGATATACATATACATGTATCCCCCCCCCCCTTCTCTCTTTAACATTCTATTTAATCAGATGTTATCTATTACCTTAAAGCCCCACTGCATACTTATAGCTACTTGGGCCCTCTATATAGCAAACAATGCCTAATCGGTGACCATTAATCCTCCCTTTAATCCTCTTTTTCTTATGCTAAGTGAGAGCTGATTTAATGAGATAACCACCTGTCAGTGACCTTGCAGGGTGGTCTAATCCCTCCTGTAAACTAGTACAGATGGGCTTTAAGGAACCAATTCTCACCCTGATTTCCATGTTGGAATCCAAGGCATAGGTTCCATAGATATCACTGATCTGCACTTTGACATCAACAATGTAGTCATAGCCGGATAATCCAGTGGAGAAGAATAGATCTGAAGAGGCAGGGCTCGTTCCTGTATATGAGCAATTGAGCATCAATTTGATGTGAAATTATTGATTTTTATGTCACTAGGAACAGGTACCGATTCATGTTGGAAGCCATATCTTAACCATCCTCTTCCTCCTCCTCATCATCATCAATATCCTCTTCCTCCTCCTCTTCCTCCTGCTCTTCCTCCTTCCATTCCCCTGCTGAGCTCCTCCTGCTCCTTCTTATCTTCTTCCTCCTCATTTTCATCACCATCATTTCCGTCACCGTCACCACGATCATCATCCCCATTCTTATCTCACCACCTACCAGAGTAAATCAGAGGCCAGACGTCACTGGTATCCTGGGTACTCAGAGACACCGTCTCCGCGACACCCCTGACCTTCGCCCTTACAGCATAGAGCAGAGGTAAGCAGTCTTGATCTGTCACCATCCAATCCTGACAGGCAAAGGAGTACTTGGTCACCGCCACGGTGCCTTCCAGAGGAGTGATGGAGCAGGTGCCACCGTACGGAGGAGCATTGATGTCAAGGGTCATTGACATATCCGCTGAAAGATGGTAACATTCATTAAAGATATAAAGTGCCAATTGACATTCCGATTAAAATCTCTACCCACATTTGGAGGTTCAATTTTACACGGCAGTATAAAGAAGTATGAATGTAAATATCATGGATATATTTTACTGAGAATTTAAAGATAAATGAAAATTCATTCAAATACTTCCAAGTTCAATTGAGCCTGAATCTTTTCAAGCTAAATTCACAAGCCTAAGTGTGAATAAGCAATTGTTTGAGTTTGATTTTGATTAGACAAAACAAATAGAAAAACAAAATCAAGTGTTCACCCTTTCACAAGCCTTGTGAAGCTCTTGATTATGAACATTTTTCACAGTCAACTCAAACATGATTTAGCTCTAAAACGGTGAAAATGGAAACGCACTGAAGTAATATGACGCTTACCTTTGATATTGAAAGTAGGTGAGTAGGAGGCCATTAGACTTATCTCATATTGCTTGCCTTCCTCTAAGAATCCACTCTTGATGGCCAACAAATGGTCAGCCGAGGTCGTGGTCTGGTTGGACAGCGAAGTATAGGGCAGCCATGCATCTGGAGACAACAACTGCTTCATGTTGTTCTGGTATACTGACAGATCCCATCTACAGTTGATAAAAAAAAAAATTAAAAAAGAGTTTTTTTTTTTTTGGGGGGGGGTGGTCTTTTGCTGTGGATAAAACAGGCCCTGCAGATATACCAATATATCTGGGCTATACAAGGTAGATTCCTGAGCTCATTTAACTTTCAGGTTTAAATCCGTTCATTACCACAATATGAATCAAAGCACACACAACAGAGACAAGCATATGAATACCAAATGGGGAATAGAATAAAGAAGCAATACAAATCAAAAGGTGGGGGAATTCCAGATGGCTCCACAAACATATTCAAACCATGTTTCCTATCTTGTGCAATTCTACATGTATATACCTTTTGGGAGGTGCTGCCTACTAGGATGTATCTCTACCCTGGTCTATCTTGCCTATTTGTTCCAACAACAGTCTCCATGAGTAAGCGTTTAGTGAAGCGTGCTCTGTTCATTCTGGAAACATGACCGAACCAGGTCAGTTGGGCTTTAGTAATGCCAGCAAGGATTCACTTCAGTGGAATTTGCGATTTGTTTCTACAGTATTATCATCAAATACATGAGCATAATCTCATAAATTAATGACTTACTTGTAGTAGACAGTTTGGTTGACAACGATATCAGCAGCTGGAGACAAGACTACTCCCATGACCCATCGGTTCTGAGGGTTGATCTTGTCCCTGCAGTTGGCTTTACACCTGAATACATGCATGAATGAAACAAGATTGTAGCATATCAAAGGAATACTCTCTCTCTCTGATCACAATGCCTGAATCTAAATCCCCCCACCCCAGGTCAAAAAAGCTTTTCTGTTTGCAGGATTCGGTGTTGCATGAGCGTGATTTTCTCACAGTGAGATTAAAGTATGTCATTGTTCTGTTCATATTGATGAATGTTTCATACGTGTTGTAAATTGTAGGTTTATTTGTAATTTTTTGTTTTGTTTAATATGTAACTGTTCATCTAATAAAATTTTGTTTGTTATACCTAGAGACTTTGGTTGTAAGAGCTTTATAAGCACCCTTTTTATAATACCAGCTGAGAGTTCTTTTTCAATTTAGCATTTTCGAGCTTTCATGGGCTAAATCACCCACCACTCCAGTGTATTGTTTTTGCTGCCCTCCTTTCCCCCCCCCCCCCCCTCAACAAAAAAAATGATAATACAATTTCCCTTTACTGATGCCTGTTTTACATATTTCTAGGTATAATGAGATCTTTATCCCTGTTAGGAAAAGTTACTCCAATTATTCTTCACCTTCATTAAAATCTTTCCTGATCCACTTTTCAACAGGAACAGCAAAATATGAGTTCAAAGAAAATGTCATTTATTGTTATTTAAGTGGTTTGGATGTACATTTAGTAAACAGTGTCATTTTTAAAGCCTACCGGTATATATAATTTTGGTAAGTCATCCAAACCTTTTATTTTTCAGAATTCTATGATGCTTATAGTTGATAAATAGCAAGAATTTATATTTCTTGGTGATATTGTGCTTTAGTATACCATGAAGCTAATTAACATGCATGTACAGTGAACTAAACTCCTATTTTCATTTTTTGGTGTTGATTCTTTTTGAAGACCCAAACATGCAACATAAACAAGCATTGAACATACTTCAGATAGACATCAGGTATGAAGCCATCCACTACGTAGAGGGTTTGAAGAGCAGTGGCACTCCTGGATCCATCAGACACATAGAGCTTGAACTCGTACTCCATGTTGGGGTAGAGGTAGTGTGTATCCACAGTGAAGATTCCTGACCGGACTGATAGCAGACCTATGTATGGAAATAATTGGATAGATTCATGATTATCCTGTCTTGCAAGATCATTCTAAAAACAATATCGAAACCCTACCGAGTACGGTATCTTAGTCTGAGCATTGTTAAATCATTGAATACAGAGTCCAGGGGGGCGTTTCACAAAACTTGTCATCAGTGACAGATGACAGTTTTTGTTATAAGCTACTGAAATCCTTGCTTCTGATTGGTTATCAACAGATTTGTCACTGATTTTTGTAATTTTTCATTGGAAAAAGGCTTTTTGAAACGGGTCCCAGGTTAACTCAGGATTAAAACCAGCAACATGTATGACACATATTGAAGGACAATGGAATTGTTTCCAAGGGGTTACGATAGTAAAAGGCAAATTGTGCTTATACTTTGCTTTACTTTGCAAATTATAACGTATACCTATTTTTTAATCACTGAACTTTTATTAGAAATACAGGTTATACTTTATAAGAATATTTACATATGATTTGCAAAAGGAAGCTGCAGAACTTTAACACAGCACATACATGTAAATGTGTTTACAGGTATAATTATCTGCAGAGTATCTAAATGAGAAACTCAGATTCATGAACACTGATCACTGACTCACCTCCCGGCAAAGATGCATTAGAAGGTCCTCCATTACGTCCAAAGCACCCTCCAACATCAGATGCTTCCTTCTCAAAGTCAGGATTGACCACACTGTCAGACCGGAGCATGGAGAAGTCCTCATTCCACTGCTGAAAGGTCTCAAGATCGTTGATGATTGTGCCATTGGCGAGGGTGTACCTCTTCCTTCTGCACTGCCACGTGAACGTCCATCCCAAGTGATCCTGTGGGTCCTTGTCAGGGTCAGAGGATAATGAACCATCCACATAGAAACTCTGTGTTGTCAAGGCCTCCGTGACTGGATCATCCACCTGGTAGGACACGATCCGTTGATCACCCCCGTTGATCTTTGCCACAAGATCACTGGCAGCAATCGATGCATTCGTGGTGGCAATGGTCGCCAATCCAGGCTCATCCTGGATTGATACAGTGACAGATATCACATGGTTCCCAGGAGTGAGTGTGCGAGCAGGGATCACAATCTTTGACAGTGTAGCACCTTCTGAAGCAACAGAAGAAGGAAGTGCCACTTCCTCTAGAGTGCCATTGTCCCAAAGAAAGAACACCTGCCACATGTAGTAAACCAGGTTGGACGATGTACAGTTGATTGATAATGTTGTCTGGACGCTAAGTCTTTGAGATACCAGGTTGGAGAGTTCACCAGTATGTCCAAAAGTGACGACCGGAGGATGGCATCCAGGACTCCTGATAACCTGTTCAATGGAAGTTTGTTCTTGTGATACAGTGTTTTGAACAAGGACCTTCACAGTGAATGCCCCTGTGGCACCAAATTCATTGTACACATCAATAGATGTCTGGTCATCATTCCACATTTGCGTCAGATCGAGTATCTGAAGTGGCCTGTCATCGAGGGTGCTTGCCAAGCGGAAATCCATAGTGGCACAACTAGAATCACCAGCTCCTGCCAAATACGATGGTCTTGATGACAGGTCTTGAAAGTCCAACAAGACACATGCTTCTGTAGGTAGACTTGAGAAACGGAGTGTGAACAACAACGTTTTATTGGCAACATCGATACCTGGTCCTTCAACAGAAAGACCAGACACTTTGGACTGAGCAACCACTGTAACGGAATTCTCTACCCAACTGACAGCATTGGAAACGTTGACTGAAACCAGGTAGGAACCTGGCCTTTTGAACTTCCAGAAGTTGCGAGGGGACTCCCCTTTCCAATAACTAGGCGGAAGCTCAAGGAGAGCAGAGTCATTGTCAGTTCCAAAAGACCATTCATAGAATAAGTTTGTACCACCTGTTGTAACAACTTGGACTACAACTGCAGCATCAAGAGGTACATGGTCACCACCGGTTCCAAAGGCAGTCTCATCCATGGCTTCGTCGGTGACATCCCCACTGGTGAAGAAGAAATCAACCCTTGGGTTGGACACTTCCTCGAACACTTCAACAGGGATCTCGCATTCCTGAAAGACTGCAGAAGAGTTGAATACAAACGTGACGTTGAATGCTCCAGGGGCCGTGAACGACTTCCAGACAGTAACAAGATGGGTGGCTGTGCTGGTGTCCAAAGATGGGGAGTTTTCAAAGGTCAAATGAAGTTCCCGCTCTCCAACACCATCATCAAAGTCTGCAAGGTACACAACATCATCAGGCACAGAGAAGTTTTTTGCACGAAAGAGAAGGAATGGTACCTGGACGATCTGATATGGTGGGGCAGAAATCCCGAAGGGACTGTCATTGACAACAGAAAACATTGCTGGAATGACAGAGAGAGTGATGGTTTCTTCAGCCATACTCATGCTGTTTTTCACACTAAGGATGACCTCAAAATCCTGTGTCCAACAAGCTGAAAATACATGGCTGAACTTCATCTGAAGTTCATTGGTAATGTTGCTAGACTGGATGATTGAACCGTCCCCAAAGTCAACAGTGTAGATCAAATCTGTTCCGGCTACAAGGGCAATGGTAAAATTGACCGTCTCACCAGACCAAACTGTTAGACTGTTGACATTAAATGTTGCATTCTGTATCCGAGAACCAGCAATGATTTCCCCTGTCGATGTAACATAGCTCACATTGTTGAAGAGGAAGTACTCATACAAAAAAATTCCACTTGAAAAGAAGGGAATTTGGAAAGTCACTGGAAAAGGGCTATCTTCTGATACTGCAAAGTCAAGTGTACTTGATGAATTGTCGGCTGTATTGATCAGAGTGACATTCAATTTAACTTCCACAGGTTGCAGAGCAGGTAGGCCTTCGTAATCTATTGTTACAACAGCATACCCCATCTGAGAAGCATTGAGATTGACCTGTTCTTGGACATTGATGATCAGGGTATAGACTGGAGCCATTACAACGACCATCTCAACGACACTATCCTGGCTGATCTCGTTCTTTGCTGTAACAACTAAAGATAACCTCCCTTGTACAGGGAACTGATGTACTGTTGTCTGGCATGAAGAGTTAGTGGACAAACGATCAGTAGTTCCTGTCAGGTTTGTCCCATCCGAGATCTGGATGATATACTTAACAGAGCTTCCCTGATCTCCATAGACGCAGATGGGTACATCTTGGTCGCGCTCTACCAGGTTATCCACCTGGACCCTCAAGTTTTCAATCTTCATCTCGACTGTGAAATTCACTGACGATTCATACACTGGAGAGAATTCATTGCTCACTTGCACTCTGAGGTTGTAGGTCCCGAGCTCCAAGTCCGACACCTTCAGGACACATCTGGCCCTGCGGTCAAGCACTAGCCAATCAAAACAGGTGCTTGTGATGTTGGCATCGTTTAAAGAGATATTGACAATGATTCCTCTGCCATCTATAATCTCAATATCAATGATCATATCTTCATCGTGTGCCACAAATCGATCTTCTCCTACTTCACTGAAATTGGCAGTTACATTGATGATTGGACTCTCTGTGATAGCCTCAAGAATGTACAAGTCAAGTAATAGAGTGTCATTGCCAAATGCATTCTGGGATACTATGGAAACTGGTAGCATGCACGATGACGATGAAAAAATACTCAATGTTGCACCCCAATCTGGAAATCAAAATAAGTAAGGAAAATCAAAACAAATCATATTGTTAGTTTATACTCTCTACCCAGAAATATTGGGTAATTCTATGTTAAAATATCAAATGAAACACTGTCATTTTTACTTACTCCATAAAAGTGTACAACATAGGAATGGCTGAAGGTATTGAGTTTTCTGATTTTCTTTAAATTCTGTATGTCTGAATGTATTTTAAACTCAAGTTGATGATATATATATATATATATATATATAGGATTTTATTGAAAACAAAAACCAAGAGCAAACAGTCCAAAGACTGACATCTGTCTTGGGTACAAAATAAAATTTAAATCAAATATACATAATAAAATAGCAGTAATTAATAAATACATAAGTTAAAATATCAAAACTATCATCACTAAACATTGCCAAAAAAGCATTTATTTACCTTCATGTTTGAGAGTGATGTTGATGAGATCCCCACAGATCCCCACAGAAGCAGATGCTACAGTGACCTCTGATGACCCTTCCCAAACTGCCATGGAAACCTCAGAAGCATTCCCTAGACTAACTTCGTAAGTGACATTGGTAGCTGTAAAGAAATGAATGGAATTAATACAGGAAGGAGTATATATTTCAAGATTAAATTTGCACTACATGATAACAAATCAAATTTGTTTGTACACTGTGCAGTTAATAAATTTCAGAACATGAGCATTTCAAAATAATCAAAGAGAACTCTTTGTTTTGTCCAGTTGGTGCTTATTCAAAAGTAGATATTATATTTTTGTATGTTTTCATGATTCTTAATCAGATCAATATGCATATATGTGTACGATCTGATTCAAATTCAAACTTCAGGGGGTGTTTCACAAAGACCTTAAGTCAAAGTTATCTAAGTTGGACTTAAATATTATGAACAGCAATTTTTTTAGCCTTAAAATAAAATAAATTCAAAAGCAAAAGTTAAAGTATTTTAGACTTTCTATAAATTCCACATCAAGAACATGAAATCTCCTTGATGATAGAAAATATGAATGATTTGAATCAACATTTTATGCCTTTTAAAACAACTTTTACAAAATATTTTCAAAGATGCTAATGGCTTTCCATAATTGTTAGGTCCAACTTAAAGCGAAGTTTAACTTAGGATCTTTGTGAAACACCCCTCATGTCTCTAAATTTTAAGACCAATGATATAAAAGCCTTGCACATTCTTCAGTGAAAAAAATAAATTTGCATAGAGTTCAATGCAAAACAAATTTTAGAGTGTTATTTTTATGCAGGCAAGCTTGAAAAGTAGCCCCCGAAAAATAAATATTAATTTTTTCCCTGACATTCTTTAAGAATTTTATGATACAGAGATGAGAAAGGGGTTACCAGTAAGCTTTGAATTAAGTCCCCAAAAATGATACTCATTTCAGAGTGTCTTCTGGTATTCCAACATACTTTCTTCTACCACTTGTCTGTTGCTATGAAGCCCAATAATTTAGAAAGATTGATCTCTGTTGCTGTCTGACACAGATACGGTAGACAAACTAAGTGTCCATGACAGACTAAGTGGTCTGTTTTTTTCTTCTTCCATAAAGAGAGATTCCTCACATCCCTCTGGTAAATCTAAAACATGTTGCAATACTTGCAGTTTTTCAGACAATTTTTGAAACATTGAAAGAAATCTACATGTGTGTACAATGGTAATCCATTCCTTGCCATGATTAATACAAGAAGGTGCATACAGCAACTTAGCTCTGTGATGAAGAAGAGCTGACATGGAAAAAATAAGCTGAGTACTGCAGGTACATCTAAATTTAACAATAGCCAAACCAAAATGAGCTCATATAAACAAGGAAGTATTTTTATAGGAAACAGAAGTATTTTATACAGTGACCTCTGGAGATTAGTAAAGGGGAATTCCCATCCCTGGGTGTAGGGCCTTTCCCTTTTTTCACTTACCTTCATAGTTGACATGCCATGACAAAGACACATCTCCTGATACTTTAAGAGAACCATCATCATCATATTCTTGAGAAGAACCTGTGTCATTCAGAGTGATGTTGGGCAATGGAGGATTGTGGGTCACAAGGAAGGTTGTCTGATTGATGGAGATAAAAAATCTTAAAATGTACAAAAAGTCTTCCAGCTTTTTAAACGAACATATACAAATCATCTTTTAAATTAATGTTAATTTGCCTTCTCCCTTCCTCTCCCATTCCTTTTCCCCGCCCATTTTGTTTTTGTTATTGTAGTTGCTGTTGTTGAATAAAAGAGTAAATAAGAAAGATGTCCCCTTGAAATTGTTCTTATCCATTTCTGTTCAGAGATTGTTATGATTACAATTAATGGTGTGTCAAAGTAGAGTGGAATATCATAGAAGATCTTTTAATTCTTTATCTTTTAATTCATTTGTAATCATTAAAAAGGAAAGAATGGTCATTTCAACCATGCCACTCAATACATAATCAATAATTCCATTCCTAACATGCAAATGCAAATGCAAAACAACTGTAAAATCATGTATGCACATCTAAACATACATACCGTACAGTATGCCCTTGCTTATAGGCTCTTACAAAGAACATGAATATTCTTCCAATTCATCAGGGGTGATAGTGGGCACTTTTTTAACAAAAAATTAAAGGGTTCAGAGAAAAAATGGCATCTAACAACATTTCCCCCTTTTGAGTAAGAAAATTGGAAAGAATCAGAGAAAAAAATCAGGTGATTATCATTATGCTATTGGTACAAATATTTTTCCTTGGTTAAAACTTACCATCAAAATGCCAGAACCTTGGGGGGTCTTCCCCTCTACGGTGACATTGTACAGTCCAGGCTCAGTCCAGGTGTGGTACACCACGTTGCATAGGTTCATCAAGGTCTCTTCACCATCTCCAAAGCTCCAATAAAACTTGTCCAGTTGTATGTCAAAGATGGCCTCAAGAAAGATGTTATCACCAACCAAGCCTTTGATATGAATGACATTTACAGGGATGTGACAATTACTATACATAAACCTTCTTTCTGTCAACCCCACAGTATCATAATCATATGAAATATCATAATACCATTCTGATGAATATTAGAAACTCATTATCTACAGAATTGCATCCCCATAATCATCATCATCACCACCACCACCATGAAGATAAAGGTCTGATGAAAGTACAGCATTTAATACCAAATCTGCATGTTAGGTCATTGTGTAATACTTGCAATGCAAATTTGTCACTTTCAATTTTACTTCAAAGCAATGAAATAATGAGTATGTAACAATGATATTCCATTTTCCACCTCTGTATCTACATTCTTCTTCATACACTGCCATATACATTAATCTCCAACAGCAATACGATAAGACTAATATACATGATATGTATAAGCAGTACAAAGAAAGAGAAATATAATGAGAATTACTCACCATAAGGTGGTGTGACAATTTCTATCCCTGGGTACGGTGCCGGAGCCAGAGCGGACATCATCTTCTCTCCTAGAGGGTTTGTCAAGGTCACGTTCACCCAGGAGGTATCCCACATCCCGATGTTGGTGTTCCTGACCCAGATACGAGATGGCAGCACCACCAAAGCCCTCCACTGATGTTCCCCAGGCACAGACGTGACACCATCATACTCCAAGATGCTATCCCCTGTGAGTCTGCCGTTGACAGGGGACAACTCCCGGTCCGCTGCTGTTGCCCGCCTGACGATCGCTGCCGACTTGGGGATCAGCGCCAGGAGGTCTCCTCTGCGGACTTCTAACCTGTCCTGCTCGTCCAGAGACACAAAGTATCTTCCGAGGGACGGAAGGGTCACGTTAAAACTGATCACCGATCTGTAGGTTGTCAGGAGAGTCGGTAGAGTGGCATCAGGAGTGGGGTTAATGCATGCTCTCTTTGTGAAGCTGAAACCTCCTTGGTTCTGGCAGCTGTAGCTTGTAGACACTGGCAGAACTGCTCCATCAGGTTTTGTATTGTTCTCGCATTTCATGCTCTCATTTGCCAGTGGGCGAAAAACCTGTATGAATTCAATATCATAATTCATATCATCACTGTGCTAAACACTTTTTCATTGTCAAAGATCATTTTGTATTTCTTTTTAACTGCCAACAATGAAAACTTGCTTGATTCCAAATTTTCAATTCACATTATTGTCACAATAAGGAGTTACCGGTAAGTCTTTTTCCATTCATTTTCACTAATTCAATACTCATCTGAACATTAATGTCAAATAATATCTGGCTTCAACATTTTTCAAGTACATTTTCTTTTATCAGAAACTGCAAGGGCAAGTCCAAACTATTTTGTCCCACAGGTTACTATATAAGCACATCTAAGATAATAAAATTACCCATAAATTTGTTAAAGGGGAAGTCCACCCTGAAATTAAGTTAGTTTTAATAGGAGTAGAAAAATGAGAGAAACAAGTCAGTGAAAGTTTGAGCAAATTCCGATTAAAAATAAGGAAGTTAGGATTTTTGAAGTTGTGATCAATCAAACACAAATTGGCAACTCTATGACGTATCATGCGAGCTCAACTTTCATTTGCTCAGTACTAAAAAAATCTAAAAATTTCATTTTCCCTCAAGAAAAATTTCAACCATACATGCACCCTTAATATAATAATTGCAAATATGTTTCTATACTCCCCCTGCAAGGAACAAATATATATTCCGTCATCAATAACGAAGAAAACATGATTTTATGGAATATTATGCACAAAGCAAATGAAGGAGAGCTCATATAATAAGTCACAGAGTTGCCAATTTGTATTTGATTGATCACAACTTCAATAATTCATAACTTTCTTATTTTCATTCAGAATTTGCTCAAACTTTCACTCACCTGATTTTCTTATTATTCTGCCTCTATCGAAACAAACTTATTTTGGGGGTGGACTTTCCCTTTAAGTAAATTGCCCTACCAGAGTTTGGATTAGACTGAATTTTGATTAAAGTGATAAAGTGAGAGAGATTTTATGTTAATTTCATATGTTCAAAGCTCTGTTATACTTTGCATTTAGTAACACATGGGACACCAAATAGCAAGTTGTATTTGCCAGTAAACAATTGTCCTATCCCATTAACATACACGTAGCATTTAATTCTTTTCCCTTACAATTACAAAGTGCTTACAATTTGGGCTCCCCTAATCTATGAGCCAATTTTTCTTATAAATTTTGATAGGGTCACTTCAAAATCTTTTGTTTTACCTCAAGGACAACATTTCCTGAAACTTGTACATCGAAATCGAATCCAACCAGCAAGCCATCTTTAAGGACGGGATCCTTGGCCTTAATGTAACGTTCATCCACAGGTACAGGACTCAACGGCTCTCCAAATGATTGAGTAGGAGGTGCAAGAGTCATCTTTGATCGTGTTGTAGAAGAATCATCAGGGGCGAAGGCATTCACTCCAACATACTCAACTTGAGAATCTGAAGAAGATCCATAAATATCATATATCAGAAATTATACAGGTATATCAAAAAAGATACATTCTTTGAAGACATAATAATATTTTATGAGCAGGAGATGCAAGAGTCAACTGTGATCATATCGTAGAAGAATGACCAGGGGCAACGTTATCAACTCCAACATACTTACTTGAGAATCTGAAGTAAGTTCCTAACAGTGCTAATAAACACTAAGATACAATTTTTATTTAAAAAAAGTAAGAATACAATGTCATTCTTTGAAGTAACATGTGTGATATCATTTTCTGAATATATGAATCAAACTTTCTTTGGTTTATTTCTCTACTCTATGTAAATGCAGACTAAGAATGGAAGAGGTTTTGTCATCAAGATTTTTGATACAAATACTGATGATTAAATGAACTGCATTTAAATGTTATTATAGAACATAAATGCAACAGTTATTTTCTGTAATACTTGTGCAGCATAAGATAAAAACTAATAGTATTTAAAATCGAAAGAAGAAAATTGAATTCATTTCATTGCAGAGACAATCAACAAAGATATGCAACAACATTAAATTAAAACCTTCAATATTGGAACATTTTCATGCTAATAACAAAATGTTAAGAAGTAATAGAATCAATGATTGAAAATCATTCTGTAACTAAGATAAGCTTACACAGATGTACCTTTGAACATAGATCTTTCTTCCATTCTATAATATCCATCTTACATTTTTTTAACTGGCTTTTTTTTAGCAGGGAGGAAGGGGTGTCAAGATAAAAGAAAAGTAATCAATAAAAACATAGTCTTGCTGCCTCAATAAAGGTATTAGATCTGTAAATATGCTTGGGTCAAGGACCATCCATCCCATATGTAACTAAATGATAAGCTCTCCCGCAGAAGATAACATCAATAAAATCAATTTCTGGATTGTAAACAGGTACATGTAGGTCCTTCGCTGATTAAAACAATGTATAACCTTTGTCTATATTAATGCTCATTTCAATATACTCATGCTTTGACTAGATATATTTCAAACAAAACCTTTGCTTAAAATATTACATCAATTAATACATGTACATGTACATTTAACAACTAAATTCTTCAGGTTTTGTAATATCTTAAGTATGTAAAAAATCAGTTTGTCCCGAAGTATGTTTCTTGTGAATGTTACATATTATTAGCTTACACTCAATTCCTATCAACAAAGAATTAACTTTTATTTTTTGTGAGGGAATATTTATTTTTACTGGTCATATAACCTTCAATGAATATGTAGATATGCATGACTGATTTCCAATAAGTATCTAACATGAAGCTCAAGACCCAAAGAGCTTATTTTATATTTTAAGTTTAAATAAATTGACATCATCCTTGAGCATTCTTGCATGACTGACAAGTTTTGCAGCTGCTATTTTCTCATCACCTGACACGTTGAAACTATCCAACACCGCATCCTCCTCGAAGTAGGCCGACATCTGCATGCCGCTTCCCATAGCAACGGTGATGTCACAGTCGTAGCTTTGTATCCCCGGGTTACGGTTGGGACAGGCAATAGAGACGTCGCTGATGGGGATGACGATGGACACTGGTTGGACCCAGTCGGTTCCTGGTCCTGCTTGGAGCAGTCTGAAGTGTACGGCATGTATACCTGGTTCCCTGTAAAGAATATTACAGATGTTCGTGTACATGCAACGTAACACAATGGAATGTAGGAGCCTGGGGCCAGTTGCTCAATACAGTGTAAGTCTAACTTCATGGTCATCCCATAGAAACATTTGTTGATTCTATAACACAGCTTTAAGTAGGGTGTCCAAGAGGTTAGATTTATGATGGCTTGGAGAAACTGCCCCTGACTACTAGCAGGTTTGGTGTAAACAGTGTAAACATGTAAATAGTCTAAATTCATTTCCAGTTTTCAAGTTAGCAACGTTCCCTAGCAAGAATCATAAAGGGCTTCACTTCCAATTAGAAACCAACATTTAATAAGCAGACACACAAAAGGAAATGTAACTGTGTACACTGTACATGAAACATACTTTTTTCACTAAATGAGAAAAATATTGCACAACATGCAATCCGTAAACGAATTTGTAAAAGGTAATTTTAGATTATCCTACATGAGAATGTACAAGAAAAAAAACAGACTTGATTATACTGTACCTTTTTACTTCACATACAAGTATGAAAACTAAGGGATTTCTACCGAACAGTCTGAATTGGAAGAATGAATATACCGTGTGAGTCAAAAAAAAGTTTACACTTAAAAATTGCTAATTATTTAAAAAATAAAAAATAAATGATACCAAATGATTCAGGATAAAACAGTCTTTCATAAGAAGTATAATAATTTACTGTTCATAGATGATTTTTAAAATAATTAGCAATTTTCTAGGTGAAAACTTTTTTTGGACTCACACTGTATAGTTCCCCTCGACTTACGTAAAGGTATGTTCAAATTGCATTTCCTCACGCCACTGCCCCTTGTAGAGATACGGATAGTCATCATCAAAGCTGATGTCGATGGTCACTGTCTGGTTGTCGGTTTGGTTCCAGGTGGCAGGGTTGGTGAGGGTGAAGGTCACAGGTTCAAACGCAGGAAATGCTGAATGTTCGATAGGACAAAAATACAGTCAGCCACACCTGTCTTAAAGCCTATCTGCACTAGTTTGGCCAGGAGGGATTAGACCTCCCTGCATGGTCACTGACAGGTGGTTATCTCATCAAATCAGAGATCTCAATTAACATAAGAAAAAGGGGAACATGGAGGACTAATGGTCACCGATTAGGCATTGTTTGCTATATCAGTCAGACCGCAGCGCGCGCGTTAATGAGGCTGAAAGCTGATTTTTATTCAGCGATATCTGGCGATCACATAACATTTACGTCTGCTGAATTTCCATGCGCTTTTCAGTGAGATTTGTAGGGGTGTACATGTAGCTGCGTTTTTGGTCGTTAACTTCATTCAACATGGCAGCATGCAACGGAAAGTCACTCTCGAGATTTTCAGCATCAGTTTGATATGTAATTTGCCATATTTCGCAATTTGTAAACAATAATTTTTCACAACTTTTATTGACGTTATTTTTGTAACATTTCAACTGCTGTTTTGACCCGGGAATTTCACTTTTGGTTCCTGACTGTGGTACAAAATAAATTTGTCCACTTTGAGATTCGTTCGAAAGATGAAAAGTCACTGATCAAAAATATGTCAAAACCTAATTGACGCAAAATCATGTTCTTTTTATAACCATGGTAATTAAGACCCTAAAAACCCGGAAATTACCAATTTGTTCTTTTTATGATAGCGCGAAATTGTGTGATTTCCTACTCGTGCATGCTCGCCGTCTGAGCAATGGCAATGCATAACTGATTATTAAACTCCAGGGAGCTCCGCCGCGCCATCGACTGGCCAAAAAAAATTAGAAAAATGATTAAAAAAGAATAATAGTAAATAAAATTCGTTTTATCTGGCATGAGAGGTATTTGATCTCGGGTCCTTAGATTGTTGTCAAGACGGCTTGCGCGCACGTGTATTACAGGCGCACGCCACAACGCATGGTTACCAAATAGCGGTATTCAGAATGTTAATAAACCAAAGCGAAACATATGTGACGTAGTTGACGTAGTTGACCAATCAGAACTCTCTATTATCACATCGGCAAAGATGACTACTTTTTTTAATTATTCATGAACATGAGCGTGATCTTTTTTGGTTCCTGACTTTGGTACAGCGTAAAATATAATAATTTTGATATCATTGTAAAGAAAAATATTTATGCTTTATGCTGATTATAACATCTTCTTGACGCAAGAATGATTTCTATGTGAAAATCAGCCCTACTCTTTAGATAGATTTATCGTCGAAAAACCCTTTTTTCAAGGCGAAATATCTGTTTCCAAAATATATCTAACATGATTGACATATAAGTATATAGAGAGTGCAACTTCTTATCTTTAAAATAAGACCCATTTCATGAGAAATGAACAATTATAAAGGCAAAAATTGCCGATCGGCAAGACCGTCTGCACTACTCATTACGTATGCAAGACACGTAAATTCTTGCATACGTGCTGAATAAAATAGAGGGTTTTCGCACCGGCTGCGGTCTGACTGTATAGAGGGCAAGTAGTTAAGTAGTGCAGTGGGGCTTTAATAGTGGCCACCTCTCTACAAAGGCCACCTGTCTACAGTGGCCATGCATTTTGTCCCCCTCTAGAAAGAATTGTGTGTTGTAGAAGCTGTATAGAAAGACCACCTGTCTGATCACCTGCCATCTTTCCCTTGGGTAGCCTCAGTAGAAAGGTTTGATGTATCACAATTTTAACAGAAAAATGAATATTTACTATTTTTAAACATGCATGAAACAATAATCCCATGTGTCTATGGTTACCAAATCGCGATTCATTACAATCATCAAATTCTGAATTTGGCAAATTGGTAATCAATTGCTTTTTATTGGGGGGAATCATGATTTGAAAAAGTAATTGTAATTAATTAATCAGCATTGATGAAACTGCCAACCATAGTGATAATATGCATTTTTGCATATTACCAAATTATATGCAATGCTACAGCAACAAAGTAGTAAAATACTTTTGAAGAAAATGCTAGAGTTCTTTTACCAATTTTCATTTTTCAGTTTTCATCAAAATTTGTATAGATGTTTATTTCACCAAAGTTCTAAGAAGGGGATATATAGTGTGTGTCCATATAAATTATTATTAAAGTATAAAGAAATGTTGCATATAGTTTCAAGAGTCATGTTGTTTGGGGAAGGTGATTTAAGATGATCCATTGTTTGACCTTTGAAAAAAAAAAAAAACGTTTTTGTATAGCGCATTATACACATTGGCATAATTGAATGTCTCTATTATATGCTCTTTACAGAACAGAATACAGAGGGAGTGGAAATGGTGCATTGGGTTTAAAACTGTGAGATTATACAAAGGGCTATATAAATATGTTTTCAAATTACTTCTAAACTTTTCTTATGTTCTATATTTCTTAGGTATTCCGGCAAATTATTCCATAAAACTGTGGCTGCATATGAACATGACCTTTTCCCATAATATTTTGTTGTAGTTTGTGGGACATAAAATAAAGACTTTTTACTGCATCCACAACAAGTTCAGAGATATCTTCTCCAAAAAGAAAACAAGAAAGAAATAATTTTACCGCTCTGATTCTGAAGTTCTCGAATCTGGACTCCATCCAGCCTCAAGGGTGCATCGTAAACCGACACCAGTCTGTCTCCTCCGCATGACTGAGAGGGGGACGAGTCACATGACTGGTCACATGATGAGGTGTTGTGGCTGGAGCCAAGCTCATCCAATGGTGAACCCTGCAGACAGAAGCAGGCATTGCCAGACTTCAGGACTGCGTGGCTGGGGGTTTAAAAGATTTTTCATCAAATCATTATTTTGACTGTCTTTTCCAGTTGGGAAAGATACAGTATGTTACGCTGTGTTAAGTTACAAAATCAAAATTACAGTTTGTTACAAATAAATGAATAAATCAACTTAATCAAACTTAAATTGTGCTAAACATGACTTATTTCATAACAAATAGAAGTACAACATCATTTATTTATTTGACATGTTTAGAGAAGACAAAATTCATGGTATGTATTTGAACAGACGGGTTTTTAACAATACTTTGAAAGTGGATGTAGAAGGAGCATTTTGAATGTAGGACAGGAGGCTATTCCACAACTCGGGGGCAGCTACAGAAAGCGCTCTATCCCCGTATCTTGTTCCAGATGCATCTTTCTTATGCCAATACAGTATGTCACTATAAAGCTACGTAAATAATGTAAAACTACCTGTAATTTGTAGAGTCACAGAGGGCGACACACAGGTCAGGGGTCACACCATTCCGGTCATATTCACCGGGATTGATGTAGGGAGTAGGACAGGTGCCATTGAAGCTAGGGATAGGATCATCATAGCAACCAGGAAAAGCTTACAAAAGAAAAAAAAAGTATTAGAAATTTAACTTACAAACAAAAGTGAGTTGATAATACTATATTGTAGGCAAACCGGCCAGGTAAACCTTTATACAAGTCTTATTTATCTTTAAATTAAGTAAATATCACTAAAATCATAAGACATAATAAACAATAAACAGCTAAATTAGTCACACCCTTATCAAGTTTTGTAATTTTGTTGGTATGTGAAAAATAAATTTTTCACATACCAACAAATTTATGTTTCTTGAAAATGTGACAAATAAAAGCTTATATCTAAAAGAGTTCAACAAATGCTTTAATTCAACCAGTACACCTTTTATTCTTGATTTACAAAAAAAACAAAAAAAACAACATCAAATTTACTATGGGTATGAACAATTTAGTTGTTAACTGTAGTTGTAGTTGGTCCCTAAATTTCAGCAGAATATACTGTTGCTCATTTCTTTCAACAATAGAACATTTCTAAGAAAACTGAAGCAGCCCGTGCTGGTGACATCATGTACTCTTGATGATGGTCATCCTGGGGCAAAACTAATGACAATTCAATGATTATGCAATTAATAGGCATTTCATGAGTACAAATCATGAAACTAATTCTAGATATAGAATTGGATTTTTAGTTTTTACTATCATAATATGACCAGGTATATGTACTTATTTATTTAATCAACTTCCAGATCATGATTCATATCAAACTAGCTTTGAAAAAACAAACTCGCTCACCAGCCTCTTGTTCTGTCAATGGGATGAAAATTAGAGATACCTGCGAATAAAAGAAGTTTATTTATTGTGCTATTAAATCAATTTATGATATACAAATTGTAAAACATTTTAACAAAAAATACAAGTTCACAAACCCACATTTTCAAATATGGCTGTTGAAGTTATGAAATTCAATGTCATTAAAAGTACTAACCAAATCTAACACATTGATAAATGATATAGTTCTTAAATACTTACTAATAAAACCCTGTTACAGACTAATAAGAATATGAAACTTGAAACAAAAGCTGGAAACGAAATAGGCATTCTTTATTCTTTATTGAGAGTACATGTGCATGAAGATTTTGCCAAAAAATATATTCCCCTAATTAATAATGGCATTTTAACACTATTTTCATTTTCATGTTTATATGCATGCACATTGCTATATTTTTGTTAGCACAGATCCTCACAAATGAAAATTACATTTTAAATGTACTCATATCAATAGATTTAAATACTTACCACAGCGATAACAAATATATTCCATTTGTTGTCCATCGTGCTATCAGAGTGGTTCAAACACGATTCATCTCATCTTTCTCATCATAAACAGAATACATCCATAACCAAGATGTTTGGTATTTCAGCTTTCTCCAAGTTCATTGATTTACCCTTGAAAAAAATCAATCTCTTTCCATATTTCTTCCAAAATATCCCTCTAATTAATTCTTGATTCATTGTCATTTCCATAGCAAAACACAATAACAAATTGATTGTTGGAAGAGGCAGGGTAGTGATCAATAGTTTCGGTGGCAGCTTTTTAGCAAGGTAGAAAATGATTATTGATTTGAGGAGCTAAGGGGGCTAATTACATGTTTAGTATGATTACCAATATTTCATTTACTCTCTCTTGTTGTCTCTGTTTGTCCATGTGTTTGGACCCCTCCCCACTTCTCTCTCTCTCTCTCTCTCTCTCTCTCTCTCACTCCCTGTCTCTCTGTCTTGTTCTTGTTTTGTGCACTCTGTTCTTCTGTCTCCGTGTCCCCCTTCTCCAACTTCCTATCTCCCTTTCTCTCTCTGTGTCTTGCTCTCTTATTTTTGTGCACTATCTTTCTCTGTCTGTGTCCCCTTCTCTACTTCTCCCCCCCCCCCCCCCCTTTCCCCTCTCTCTCTCTCTCTATCTTTCTCTCTCTCTCTCTCTCTCTCTCTCTCTCTCACACACACACTTGAGAAGTCTTGCTCTGTCTTTTGTGCACCAGCTGTCTCTCTCTCTCTCTCTCTCTCTCACCTTTATTTTAACAATCTTCCATCCAATCTCACATACATATCGTCCCTGTTTTCACGAAGTGACGGTAGTGAGGAAAACCGTCACTTCGTGAAAACAGCGACGATATGCACATTTTAAGCTAAAAAATAATGTCTAAAGCCGAAGTAGGAATTTGTTTTCTGACAGATGAAGCTTTGTGGTGGAATGAAATAATTTTGTTGCATCAATTTGAGGACGAAAATCCAATTAAAAAATTCAGAGACATAAAAATATCTTTCATTAATGCTATAATTGTATTAAAGGCCCACTGCACTACTGGTAGCTACTTGCGCCCTCTATATAACAAACAGTGCCTAATCGGTGACCATTGGTCCCCCATGATCCTCTTTTACTTATGTTAACTGAGAGCTGAGTTGATGATATAACCACCTGTCCAGTGACCTTGCAGAGCGGTCTAATCCCTCCTGTAAACTACGGTAGATAAGCTTTAAAGGGAGCAGTATTCCAATTACCCACCTGTCACTTTGTATTTCATAGCTTTACCGCATTAGTGCTACTTAAAATGCTACTTGAATGATGCAGCAGTTGATTGTCCAAATTAAAATGTATGAAAATATATTTTATTATTAAGTATAAAAAAAACTACCACAAAGTATATAAAGATATTAGAAAGACATGATTACATCATTATTTCTTTAAAAACTCTATTCAAAACTGTGTTATGTAAATAACATATTTTGTCATAGTTTTACATTAATTTAATATGTTCACATAAATTGAATCTTTCAACTATTAGGAGTACTTTAAAAAGCATTAAATGTAAATATGTACATGTATGTTTAACATTTTTTACTCTGGCTACCTAAAAACAACTTGATAATTTAAAAAAAAGAAAGACACATTGTAAGTAAATTATAAGTAAATTTCATGCAAAATTACTATTTTTGTTATTGTGGTAAATAACATTTTGCAATGTAAGACATTCAAATGGCGAATTATTATGTTTTTAATAGATTTTTTAGATTTTTTTTAAATCTAGGACATGTGCAAACAAACTTGTTTGTTTAGCATTATCTGTAAAGTAAACCTATTATTGAGAGTAAAAAAAACAGTAATTTTGGTATAAAAAGATCAAATTGAGGTTCAAAATGGTATTGATTTATATTAAGATTATCAAATCAGCTATAATTTCCTGAATTTGAGAACGCTTTGTTTGTATAGAGAATGTCACTTTACTTGTAATGATCACATTGTTTACAAATATGTCAACTTCTGTTTGTCATATAATGCATTTCATGTGTTAAAGTTGAATTGTGTATGAGGAAACAATGAATTAAACATTTATTACACCATTATAGCATAAAATATTGCAATACAGGCATTGTCCAATACATGAACATTGCTGTTTGAAGACTTTTACTTTTATAACAAACCCTGATAAATGTGGTAAAAAGATAAAAAGAGGTAAATGGATCAACATTGCAACACAAAAGTATTACTTAAACAATACAATGTACCCAAAGTTAGTTAGCTATTAGTCCAAAGATAAAAATTGGTTCAAAATGTAGTCTTAGATAGGGCTACTGTTTAAATGTGCAAATTGACAAACTCTATACCAATCAGTCAGCAATACATACATGATAGAAATGGAGAACTTTCATAATACATACACATACAACATAAGCCATAAAATGTAAAAGTCTACATAATTTGGTGAATGAAATGACCAATGAGAATGTTAAATAGAGCATGCTTTGTTGATGACTTTCTGTAATAAATTCTCAATATATGCGATTACATTATTTATGAGGGAAACAAAATCCAAGAACAATCTCATCAGTAATACTGCAAACAATGAGGTCAGAGATTTATGAGAAAATTTATTGAAAGATTTTAATTACTTTCAATTCGTGGTATTTTCATATCATATGTTATCTTGATTTCTCATTTGTTATTATCATGTAATGAATTTACCATTTTTAACACCAATGTAAATATTTCATTATGTGATACTTTTCATATATCCTGTGTTATCTTGATTCCTCTTGTGTTTTTATAATTATTGTATTGAATTTGGCATTTTTTATATGATTGTTGATATGCTCAGTTTTATTCACTGGACTAAAATGTAAAATAGTGAATCGTAACTGATCTGGTTAATCTAAATTAAGATTATTTGAATAAATAAATCGAATTTAGAAATCATTAATTAAATAGACAAAGAAAGAAAGATTGGAGAAGAAGGCCAGTAGGAAGAATAAACTTCTTGTTGCCTTCGTTTGTTTACGTTTTGAACATAATGAGGCACAGGGCTCTAAAAACCAGACAAGACCCCACATTTACAGCAAATGTGGGCTCAGATATAATGCAGTTCATGAAAGTGACAAAAGTGGGTTAGGGGCAACAGTATGTGATGGGAAATCTAAACCCAATTTTGTGAAAACCATGCCAGATGTCCCATAAGATCAGGTGGAATGTATTAAACCTTCCATCTGTGTCTAGGATTTGTCCACAAACAAATTGAAGGACTGTAAGAGTAGAAATCTGATGTAAAAGCTAAACGGAACCCTGATGACAGCTACACAACAGAAAAGAGTAAACAATTCATCAAATCACGCCGAGAAGGCGAGAAGCTAACTTTGACTGTGAATCAATCAAATCTAGTCCTCAATGTACAAAAGACAAAGGAAATCATTTTTGATTTTCGTCACCAACAGCACGCAACACAGCACAGCCCTCTCCAGGACAGCGTTCACGCTTTTGGGAGAGTAATTCTTCAAGGTTTAAGGTCACTCTTCACATTCTCATGAGCCTATTACTATTCACGGACATCCCATAGAGCAGGTCCCAGAATACAAATGTCTAGGGACAATCATCGACAACAAACTGAATTGGAATTCAAATTCACAAGTACTCGCAGGAAAAGCTAATCAAAGGTTGTATTTCCTAAGGAAATTAAGGGAATTCCGAGTTGACAATACCATCCTGGTACTATTCTACCAAAGTTTGATACAAAGTATCCTTACTTTCAGTCTCATGTGTATGTATGGGAACCTGTCAAATTGAATGTCAAATTGAGCTTTTTGTTTAAATAGTAAGGATTTATCCAAGAGGAAGCAGTGGCTGTGAAGAGGAAATTAAATCAATTGAAGAATCTAAAGGATGAAGAAAAAAAAACTTTTCTTTTAACCGGACAGACTGGCTTACAGCGATGCAGCAGGGATGCTGCCAATTGTCACTGATATATGCACATGATGGAGTGAGCAAGTATATAGTCAACACAGTTATGTCATTGACAACTTAGTTTGATTTGTCATAATGAGTCTTGGACTACCCATTTTCACCTATCATATGTGCACAAATGATCCCATTGATCGAAAATTCAGATACCAGCATCTTCAAACTATCAGACTTACACTTACATGTATTAACATTTGTAGTGACTAAACTCGCTACACCAGTTCGCCAAACCAGATCTGGACGACACGTCCATTTTCCCAAACGATATATTGAAGTTTGTGGTTAGATTTGTTAATGCTTTATCTCACTGGTTAGTGATACATGTATTGTAATAAATATTGTATCATAATAAGTAACGCCTGGCTGGAATGCTCCCCAGGGAGTGGAGATTGTGCATACAGTGTGTGCTGGAAAGCACTCAAATCATATGACCAGGGTAATAGTTGATCTGTAAAGCGCTTAGAGATCGACGTCTGAGATGTATTCAGCGCTATATACAAGCTGAATATTATTATCATTGATATGTAATTATCGTAAGTAAGTGATTTGTCATGACTTCCTTACTAAGGGGGGTTTAATGGAGTGACCAAACTCATTTTTACCTTTTCACATTCATGATATATGCATAGAAGACTTACAGATTCTTGCAAGAAGCTAGAGAACACACTACAATACTGAATGCATTGCTGACTGAATCACTTGATCTCACAGATTCAAACTGACCTAAATAGTTTAAACATGAGTGAAGACACCCATGGAGATCTTCAAATGCAAAATACTGTAAAAGATGTTATTTTTGATGTGCGCTGGGCTGCTCAAACTTGTGTGTACGTGTACTTACATGTACTGAGTCTGTGGGTGTGTATGTGTGTGTGTAGGTATATGCTGACGTGAGAATTTGTGAATATGTCATGCCCATTCATTAATTCTGCTGTGTACTAGCTGATCGGGAAAGTTAGTGATGATGTCACCCCATTCACAAACACAACTACAATCTTAGTAGTACTACTACTAGTACTGTGTGTGCATTGCGTGCATTGTTTCATGGACTTAAGATTTGATTTCTCTTTCAATCAACTGTGTACACCAATGCTGAGGATAACATGGGAGAGACACCCCTGCACGCTGCTGTGAGGGCCGATGCCATTAAAGTCTTCAGGGTGAGTACTGTGAACTTCCAGATTTCTTTTCCATAACAGATTTTTTAATGTTCGCTGCCACATGTTATTTACAGGAATGTGATCATACATGTACAACTTATCGAGGCATATACTTGTAATGTGTCAGTAACCCATAGATATGTTGATGTGCATGTAAAAAGATATAGGCATGTGAATGTATTTGTATATTGGATCCATGATTTTAACAAAATATTCTGCATTTATTTTTCTGATGAACAGCTCCTGATTCAGAACAGGTCTACTCAGATCACATATGAAGGAAGCATACGCAATTTATAAGTTTGAAACTCTCCTTAAAACACGCTCGTTTAAACAGCATTTTTTAATGACTTACAGTTAGGCATTTACAGCACCCATTTCTCTCTTTTACATCTTTCTACTAACCTCAAATGGAAAAGTAAGCCTATTCAAAGAACTTGATGAATTAGAAACATCGATTTTGGTTTTTTCCAGAGCTCTAAATCCCAAGCTCACTATACAGCTACAATGCTCTCCACTTTTGTGTATTTTCTACTCATATGAAGTAATTTGAAATATATTACTTTGAACTATAAAAAGATTACAAAATATCATTTCCAATTTGTGATTAAATACAACCATACATATATGTAAATAGCTGTCTGCTATAAATTCGTCTCTAATTTTTAGAAATCATTACTCACAACCTTTAATACTGGAAGAACGACCTAGTTGCATTAAGTATTAAAGCCTGTTTAAAGGAACATGATGCCTTAAATATGTCTATTTTAATTTTCCACAAGTTCTTTACAAGCTTTCTAACGCTACACATATATCGCTTTCCAATATTGTTAATTTTTTATCTCCTCTATATAATCTTAAGATACATTTTAGTTTCATAACAATAGCACCAATACCCATTCATTATTTAATTGCATCCACACAAATCGAGCATTAAGAAACATGATGTGCTGGCATTGAAACTGGTTGTCTACTATCAAACCCTGTCTACCTCTTAGAAATAAGTACTCACAACCATATTGAATGAACAAACTCACATGAAGAACGAACAAACTCACATGAAGAACAAACAAACTCACATGAAGAACGAACAAACTCACAGGAACAACGAACACCTTATTGGAAGAAATAAGCCTGTTCAAAGAAACTTGACGACTGAGATAGGTCGATCGGTTGGTAGTTGTAGATCAAATACTTGGCCATCTCTTCGGCAGAGCTGAACTGGTGCTGATTCTTCCGTGCTGGATGATAGGATGGAGAAGAAAGCAAGAGGTGAAAAAACATATTGAAATTAACATTCTTAAACAACTCTGTAACATTCCTGCTCGTCACAGCTGAGGGAATCTTTCTGTGACATTTTACGAACCATTCTCCCAAATGAATTTGGAAAAGACTTTTTCTTCATTTAAATTCTGTGCTTCACTGCCGGAAATTGATTAAAATTAATGGAAGTGCCTGGCCACAGTACAAAAGGGTTGATACCTCTCATCCAAGATGCTATGAGAAGTATTGATATTGAATCTTATTACCCATAATCCTAATCTTAATATGTAAGTATAGCACCATTTCTATGGAATTCCCTCCCAAACTCATTACGTCGTATATCCAATACTGAAACATTCATATCTGAACTAAAAACTCATCTCTTCAAATTAGCACATCAATAGTATTTAAGGATAAGTAATGTTATGATTTTTCTTTTTGTAAAAACTTCATTGTTTTCTATATATGTTTTTGTTTCATCTTCCTTTTATGATCGTGTTATATTTTAAATAATTATGTATATTGTAAAATTGTAAAGCGCATTGAAATGTCAACAGACATGAAATGCGCTATAAAAGAACAAATTATTATTATTATTATTAAGTGAACCCAATTACAAAAAAACATATATATATATATTTGAATGGCATGACTAATCACAGCAGCTTTCTACATTCATTTCTACAAATAACAAAATACTGAAGCCTAGTGTAAGCTAAAGAATCACTATGTCTCATCGAACATACCATAAAATCACTATTTATACATAGAAAACTTGTGCACTTTCAAAAATTCCAAGGGGTATGATCAGCACCTACATGTAGATGAAGGGTACAAAATTGAGTGAGCTGTCTAACCATTAAATAAATGACAAAAATGACAAATGAATTGGGGACAAGAACCTTATACCCGAATCTCACAGAACTGTTGGGCACAAGACCGTTAAAGGGATCTGGTAACTTTGTCTTAGATCCTTTAGAAATAATCCTTGATTTAGCTCATGCTGCAATGATAATTAAAAACCTTTAGGTCAGTAAGGAACTCCATGAATATTACAAGCCGATCGCCTGTCTGACTATCACGATATTAATGATTGGAATTACAAATTTTGAAAACCGTTCGCTGAACGGTTTTCATAACACTACAGTCTATTGGGGAAAACGAGTATGGTAAAACCGGTCACTCAAAGATTTTTACTTTTTTGAGGCACTTCTTGATCATTTTGAAGCGCGATTTATTTAGGGCTTCAATATTACACCATATCACAGACACTGGTAACATGATGTAGGACCGTGTATCTCAGATTTAACATTGTTAAACAATCCCTTTAATATACCAGCAAATGAACAAATTCATTGCCCTGTAAAGCCATAAATCAGCTGATTTTGGAGTTGTTTTAAATCTGTTTGGCGATTGGATTGAGGTACTACTAAAGATTGTTATGGCTCCTAATCCTACCTTCTTCTACAAAGAAGTTTGCCAAGAACTGCATGAGCTCCACACATTCTTTGGAGTGACAGGAATTCACTTTCCACTCAAAGGCGTTCTTCTCAGGATGCCACTGGGTGCCGTAGAATGGAAAATCATAGGCTGAAAAAGAAAAACAGAAAGGGTCCATGATTTGCTGTACCGATCTGTAAATATTCAGTTGCGAAACAATGTATGACTGTTTCATTGGCACGCCTAAACAAGAATTATTAACCTCCAATTAAACACAATGATTTATGATATATAATCTTCTAGTGCAAAAGGGTTCTTTGACCTCTAGAACCAAAAATTTATGTCGTTCTGTTTTTCTGCTCATATAAACTCCAGCCAAGTTTGGTAGAAATCATTGCAACGGGCCTCAAATTATCCCCTGAACAAGAAGTGGGACAGATAGAAAGCCGGATGGACAATGAGGTGTATGACTGTATGTGTTTAATTGTCATATAATGAAAGAGGTTTCAACAAACTACATATATCACCTACATGTAGTGTGACCAAAATCTTCTTATCCTAAAAGTGTAATTTTGTGTGAAATACTGCATCATTCATCCAACCAAAATTGATACACTCAAACCTGTCTACAATAGGGAAACACTAAAAATGGTAAAACAGGGTGACCTTTCTACACAGCTGCTACAATGCAATTTTTTCTCCCAGGGGCAGACAATATAATCGACCATTATAGAGAGGATCAACATTACAAAATTAATAAACAAACAATAAACATACACAGTAATTAACAACAACTAAATAATTCATGTTTATACCTTCCACAGTTGAGATGAACTTTACACCATTCAAATCATGGTTGGTGGAAAGAACTTGGAAGAATGATGACAAGGCAGGAAATTTGGTAAAATTCTGTATCAATAAAAAAGAAATTTAATGTGAAATCAACAAACTAATTGGCTCTCCATTCATCAACATCATCATCATCATCACATGCATTATTTAGTTATCATCAAATCCCACTGATAAACTTTTTTGGAAATACAGAAAAATAAACATCAAACTTCCAATGAATCTGTAACAGGGCCAATTCAACCAGGGTTCAACCCAAATATAAATTGAAAAAGCATGCAAGACATGCTCAAAAATTTCAAAAGAGCTTCAGATTTGTGAGAGTTTCTTGCCACAGGTAACTGAATAAAAACTGACAAAGCAATGAATATTTTGCAGTTAGCAACAGTTTTTTTTAATGAAAATTACTCTTGTATGCATTTTCCCCAAAAACCATGATGGCATGAAAGGTCGCCGTACAGGAAGTAGGAGACCTCTAAACTTTCACTCCAAAACCTAATAGCAAAGCTACCCCATGCATACAGATCCTCGTTATCTTGCTCTAGACCACGAAGAAGAAAAGATTTGTGTGGAGCCCTGATTGAGATGTGTATTTAAGGAAGAAACAGACAAGTGGCTTCGGCAAAAATGATAAGACATCACTTTTCTAATATCATGGCCTCTTATAAAGTAAACACTGTCCTGAAGGAAAATTTGGAATACATTATACAGTTGACCTTCTACATACAGTGCTGTACTTCTATAATTCTATAAGTGTTTTGTGAATGACAGAACATGCACTAAATGGACAAATATGTGAGGTACATAGATATCTAAATGCACAAATAATATCTATTTATTACTAAATTTGTTTTAATGCAGGCTGGATTCCCATCCAATATTAAAGCACCTCTGCACTACTTTTAGCTACTTGCGCCCTATATATAGCAAACAATGCCTAAGTGGTGATCGTTGGTCCACTATGATCCCCTTTTTCTTATGTTAATTGAGAGCTGATTTGATGAGATAACCACCTATCAGTGACCATGCAGGGAGGTAGAATCCCTCCTGACCAAACTAGTGCAGATGAGCTTTAAGCAAGGGAGAAAAACGATTTTAATTGTGTTGATGGTGACCGATGGTCCACTATGATCCCCTTTTTCTTATGTTAATTGAGAGCTGATTTGATGAGATAACCACCTATCAGTGACCATGCAGGGAGGTAGAATCCCTCCTGGCCAAACTAGTGCAGATGGGCTTTAAGCAAGGGAGAAAAACAATTTTAATCTATTAATAAATTTCTTTTCTATAATGGCTGGATTCCCATCCCATAAAGAGATGACTACAAAAAAGCTGTTGATTGCAAGTCCTCCAATCAATCACAAATTTGCGAACTCTAATAATCTCTGGAGCAGAGCTGCGGCTGATATCGGCTAGTTATGATCCATTCAATTTCAATTGCAAATGCTGGGGAACATTATGATTTGTATACTTACTGCTGGTGTTACTCCCATGGAATGAGAGTTAAGAGTTGAATTGACAGTAGTCAATGTATGGATGATGCTAGGTGGTGTAGTCTTCTTATTCAGCAATCTACTATCTTCAAAACCTAGAAGCAAACCACATAGATATGATGTTTAATATTGGAACACAAGAATTCCCCCCTCAACATCAAAACAATCATACACAAACATGTACAGTATCATATTTCAAGCATTATGGACCATTTATTTCCATTAGATTAAAGGGGAAGTCTACCCTGATATTAAGTTGGTTTTACCAGAGGCAGAAAAATGAAGGGAACATGTCAGTGTATGTTTGAGTAAATTCTGATTGAATGATAAATTTATGAATTTTTAAACTGGCGATCGATCAAACAAAAATTGGCAACTCTATGATTTATCTTGTGAGGTCCCCTCCCACTCGATCTGTACTACCGGTATACAAAAAATCTGAAATTTTGATTTTCACTCAAGAGGATTTTTAATCATACATTGACCCTAAATATGATTATTGCAAATATGTTTCGATATGACCCCTGTATGGAAAAAAACCTATTCTGTCATCAATAACAAAGAAAATGAAAGTTTATGAAATTTTATGTATAGAGTAAACTGGAGATGAACTTGCAAAATATGTCAGTGTTACCAATATATGTCTTTGATTGATCGCAACTTTTATTATTTTTACTCAGAATTAGCTCCAACTTTCACTGACCTGTTCCTCTTATTTTTCTGTTTCTATTATTACCAAATTAATATCAGGGTGGACTTCCCCTTCAAACACTCTTCTCAATCCTGTTGATATACAATATTATTTTACCTACATGATATTTCAAATGGAGGAAATGAGTAACCAGCGGACCTACAGCCTTTTAAGCCCTCTCCGAGGGACTTGAGTATCAAGAACTCATGCTTCATCAAAGGTCACTACTCACTAGCATAGTCAGAAATTTATTCTCAATATTCTGAGAAATTCTCTTCTCAACCCATGATATCCTTAAGTAATCAGTAGCTGCATCTACACTGCAAGCAAAAATCATTAGATTTTTCTCACATTCTGGTGTTTTACCGGAAGTTGCTAGAAAAATCCACCTCGGGAGTGTGGTTTTGTTAAGCAACGGCAAAAATTTCACTGGTTATTGCAGTTTCAATGTTTGCTTTCAAAAGCGACAAGTAAAGCATGTGCACAACTTCACCAAAAACCAGAGTTATCAAACACTGATGGTTTCTTATGGGTATTTCCAGTTGAGTAAATGGCAGTTTTAAAAAACCTAGTTTTCAAAATGGTTTAGGGGCTTTGTGAATGGGCTGTGTAAAAAAGGCCTTGTGATGCTATTTTAAAGAAGGAATGGGTAACCAGTGGACCTACAACCTTATTCCTATCCAAGGGACTTGGAGAGCAAGGATAAATGCCTCATTAAAGGCCGATAGAAAATAGATAAACCTGAATCAATGACCCCCGACCCCCCCCCCCCCCCTCCCCCAGTTGTGAGACCTCTAATTCAAATCACAACACAACTCATCAATTGCCTTGAGAGAAAAAATATTTTCAAAACCACAACAAAAGATTTTGTTTGTTTATGAGAGCAGATTATAAACCCATCAAATTTATAGTATCACATGGGTTAAATCAACGTTTCACTTCCTTTTTATCTATGGTCAAATTAACCTTGACCTAACAAAGGGCATACCACAATATGACTGACCTTTAACAGTTTATTTTCAACTCGCAAAAAATTTAAATCTAGTCAGCACTTCATTTAATGACCAAAATACTTCCCATAATATGCATATATGTTAAAACAAACTGTCTTTATACCACTTTGAACATGTACCTAGCATTTTATTTCAAATGATCCCCCCCCCCCCCCCCCCACCCAAGAAAAGAAAAGAAACTCCACTTCACTGATCTTTAAAAATGGAGAGGTCCATATTTGTGCATCTTAGGATAATAACTCTAAATGTGATAGAGGTGATTCATGAATAGCTGTTGCCTCCCCTTTGGAATAAAATAGTCCTCCTTGTGTATCACGGAATGTATCGTTGGTGCATAAAATACTGATTACAGAACTTCATTTATAACTCATCAGCATGTTTCCCGTAATTTGTCTCAATAGGTTTGTGACCTTTACCTGCTTATGCACAGATTCTATTTACATCTACAACTGGCAACTACCATCAAATTATCATTATATGATAAGGAAGATAAAGAGCCACTGACAAAGCACACATCACAAGACTAATATATCAACTCAACACTTCCTTTCATTTAGGATAATATTGACCCAATGCAAGGACATAGCATAGAGTGACTGAACTTTATCTCTTTTAATCTTGCAACAGAATAAAATATGAAGCTGAAAACGGTCTCCTTACCCAATGTTTTTATTCAATTTCTTTAATCCTTTGATGCACAATACTTTTTTTCTAGACATCCCGTTAAATGTATCAAATGCAATGACATATAATTCAATAAAATGGCATTGTCACTGCAACATTTTCATTCAGAATTAAGAACAATTATTAGAAAGGAGCATCTTGCAAATATTTCTGACACTTCCTATAACTTTCACCCTCATTAAAGCATGATTTCTGCATTCTATCATATCTGGTTCCAGCTGTACAGTGTAACAAATGTTCGATGCCTTGATGCCTCTTAGCAGTTTCGATACATACTGTATAAAACAAACATGATCGAACTAATAGAATAGAGCATCTTGCAAATATTTTGGGCAATTTCTATGACACTTGCCTTCGGTAAAACACATGGGGTGGTATTCTCGAAAGCGGACTAACTTTAGTCCATGGTTTAATCCACCGACGTAGTATGGATGGCCAATTGTCCACATGGATATATTTTAAATTACTATGATAACATAATTATATCATAGTTATATTGTTGTTTATTCATTATGTTATTACATTTTATTTCAGTGACAGTTTAGTGACAGATTAAATTATTCAAAAACATATTCATATTAACACTTGGCAGATACTTAGGTGGATTAAACCATGGACTAAAGTTAGTACGCTTTCGAGAATACTACCCCATGATTTCTATTATCAATCATACCTGGTTCCAGATGTATGGGGAAACTAACGTTGTGTGCCTCGATGCCTTCTATGAGGACATCTGTCCCTGCAGTCTGAATCATGAGCTCCTCAAATCCAAGGCATATTCCCCAGAGTGGAAAGAAGTCCCCCTGTTTGTTAGCCTAGGGGTGCAACAGACATTTTGAAAATTTGAAAAATTCTTTGTGTGACAAGCTCGCATTGGATAAGCAACAGGCCACACAGCCTCATCAGGCATTTCCAGTGTAAAAAATACCTTGTTCAATTTTTATCAGTCTATTTTGCTAGAAATTTAATCATATTTCACAGCAGTCATAACAATTTGGAGTGTTTTTTTTTTTTCCCTTCTTTATTTTTTTTCCACCTTAGCTTTATTTGTTTAAAAATTCCAAGCTATTTGGGAGCCTTCCTGGGCTGAATTGCTCATTTCCACCAAGTCGTTTTCTTTTCACTTTATAATACCACTTGCAACATGAACAAAGTTTGAGCTACTTTTATTGCTTGTAACATTGAGCCATATCCTACTTGCCTTGTTTTAGCTTTATATGCCCATCTCACTGGCCCTATAACTGACAACTCTAAGAGCCTGTCACATTTACTCTACAAGGGTCTGAATATGCAATACTTGTTTTGTATTCATCACACTGAAAAAATACTTTCATTTAATAACATAAGCTCCATTTTTTTCATTTTTCATTTTATTTTGGTGGGATACGTGTGTGTGTGTACTAGGTTTCTAGATGTTTCATTCTTAACAATGGCTTGAGCATATTTCCTCAACCAACTCTTCTGCAAGTTTAAATATGAGTGACACTACCAAAAAAAGGAGATGTGTAAAGTTATAAAATGTATTCAGTTTCAATCAAATAATGATAGTTAAGAACTGAGGTACGTTCCCTTTGGGAATTTCTCGCAGAATCTCACCTGAACTGCTAGATGATAGAGAATATGCGCTGCACCGGAATAACCTACTCTCGAGACATCATCCACAATATCAGCCCCTCCTCCTGGAAACAATATTCTGACGAGAAAAGTATTTTTGAAAAAGTTTAAGAAAAAGGTAAAAGCGAATGAGAGTATCATAGAAAGAAAAGGAAAAAGACTCAAGCTCACAATAACAAATATTTTGAGCTGATTTTACGATAAGAAGAAAGTTGACATTTACAGCAAATGCAAAATAAAGTACTTTGGTTGAAAATGATGCCTGCAGCTTACGAAGTCACTTGAGTAATTTGCTTATTTGTAAAGGATATAAATTTTGTGGGGTACTATTTCTTAAATCAGTAAGTTTGATTGATTCTGTGGAAGTGATGCCATCATTAATCGAATCTGACTTGATTTATCGATCCATGAATTACCATCACTCCCCATTTGTTATTGACTTTATTTTTTGCCTTTACTTTTAGCAGGACACTAACACCTCAGTTACACTGACATGATCCATGTTACACTGACATGATCCATGTTACACCTACCTATAAACCGACAACAGACTGAACTCAAAATTACAAGCCCAAATGGCCAACTTATCAATCGGTTTGTTGGTGTGACTGCATGAGCTCATCTTCTTCTTCTTCTGGAAATCTTTAAAGGGCTATGCAGCCTATCACGAAGATGAACTAAAGATTACAAGAGGTGTGAGGAAGACAAATAATTATATCGGGATAAGGGGCATTAAAAGCCTCAGGAGTAGCCTCCATGGAAGTTCTTTGGACTGTCAGCGTACACTACATTTGCTGGAAGGCTGATTGATTCTTACCCATTAACTGACTTGAAAATGTTGCCATAGTATTCATCGGTCTGATTGACAAGGATGGGGACCACTCTAGCGCCGGCAGACTCTAGATACTTTATGTAGGATGCAGCAATGTAAGACGAGCCATACTTCTTTATCGACGATGAACTGCCTTGTGCCAGGACACCTGTACGAGGTTTTGAAAAGCAAAGAAAAATTGTATTTCTGATATTTGCAAGCTTTTTTTTCAACTGACTGGTACATCTTTAATCTGAAAGATCATTTTTAAAATTAACTTTTAGATTTAACTTGTCTTGATATGACTGAACCAGCAAAGCTAGAGTGCTAGACTATATGTAGTTCTAGAATTAGTTGAAGTTGCTTTGGTATTTAATGCTATTGCTGCAGTATAATTAATAATTGTTTCCACCACATACATGTACTCCATCAAGAGCTCTTTGGGGCTCACAATACAGCATACAGGGCTCAACTTTAAAGGTGCCAGGGACACTACATGTAGCTTGGGCCCTCATAATGTATCCAGACCCCTAAATGTTGAACATTATACATAGGGCTTTAAAGCTTATCTGCCGTAGTTTATAGGAGGGATTAGACTGCCTTGCAAGGTCACGGGACAGGTGGTTATCTCATCAACTCGGCTCTCAGTTAACATAAGAAAAAGAGGATCATGGGGGAGCAATGGTCACCGATTAGGCATTGTTTGTTATATAGAGGGCGCAAGTAGCTGCAAGTAGTGCAGTGGGCCTTTAAATACATACAACACAATCCAGCCCCTTTTCAATAAGGTTAGCCTGGAGCTCTACATTATGACCGAGGAGAGCACATAGTTACAACCCTCCCACCTCCGCCACCTCCCCCCTCCAAGTGGTGAAAAAATAGAAAGAAAGAAAAAGTGATAAAGGAGAGAAAGGGAAAGAGAGAGGAGGGAATGAGATGAGAAAAGATGCCTAGATCAAAAAGATGACAAAGCAATTATTTTTAACAGGTGTATTGCATGTTTGTTTGAAAGCTCACTCATGTTTACTTGACTGATAAAGCATGAGTGTTTACTTTTAGTGCTTGCATGTTTGTTCAATTTCATGCATGTTTGTTTCATTTTTAGTGTGTAAACATACTACATGTACTGTATGTATATTGCTTCAGATCATCTGAAAACACAGCAGCCCTACACTCTTCAAATAAAGAAGAATGCAGAGCCAGACAAGAACTATTCACTTTTGACATAGCTTAAAGATAAAGACCAGTATTGGAAATGCCCCAATTTCAAAAAATGAAATAGAAGCTCTTATTACCAATCATGTGAAAGAATATGTTTTGAATAATACATGATGATAAAAATGTTGACAGGAAACCGCCTACTAATTGATATATTTGGTAAATTAGTGTATCTCTTGCCTGTTGAGAGATACAAATGCACGTGTCGCGCACGTGTGTGTAGTCCCATATACATCTTTCTGTGTACAGTGATTCTAACTTTATGAAGACTTGGCCAAATTTCTTATCATTTTGATGATTCCAGAACCTTGCAGTACGTCTATGCTAGATGATCAACCTTTTCTGATTGATTTCACAATGTTTCTTTCACAATGCAATCGCATGGTCTTTAGTTTTAAGCTTTATATACCTCTGGGTTTTTTTTATGTACTGCACATTCCATGACTGAAAATCATTAACAATAGGGTATCATTTTAAAGAGGAAAAAAACAGTTTCTAATAATACTAGACATAGCAGCGATGATTATATGCCATGAAAAGTGAGATACATTTATTAATATTAGATCAAACTCGATTTTTCGACTAAAAAATTGAGGGGTTTTATTTAGAACTTTAGATCCAAGCATAAAGCTAGTCATTTAATAAATACAAATTGTCCCCATGCTATATTTAGATCTATAACTTCAATTATAGACCTTTATTCTAGCTATAGATCTAGGCAAGCCTCCATCACTTAACTTATCAGTATCAAATAAAAATATTATTTCAATAATTAAGAGCTAAATAAAGTCTAGACCCCTAACTTAGTTTTTTTTTTAGCTAGGGCTTAGGCACAAATAAGACTTTGACTAGACTAGTAAGAATCTTAATTTGGGGAACAAGACAAACACAGGATATCCTACACTCCCGTATAGATAATGATGATGATGATGATGATTACCAAATTATCAGTACCACATCACATCATTCATTATTCAGGCACATTTCAGCATGCTCAGGCAAAAATTTAAAAAAATACATCAACCTCTCAACTCCTAATAATAATAGATAGAATCTAGATCTATTATCTAGACCCTATTCTCGATCATCAATTCATAAATCAGACATAGGACGACAAGTTTATGTGGCAAAGTGAATTAAAACCTAGTCTAGGTTAGGACTAAGGTACGGAACTTAACTAGGCATAGGCCTAGACTTTAATACACGGGAAACAACTCAACGATAGGGCACGCGGGCAGCAGGCCTTGCTAACAGTAACACCAAGGCCGCGGCCCCGCACTCCGGGCGGCGGCACAGATGGAGTTCTCGTAGGTCTACGCCTACGGTACGAGTACGAGCGACATCGGTTTTCAAAAAATGGCATTAAATATGTAATTATTTTAAAGACATACCGTATCTTACCTATTATTGGGCGAAGCGGTAGAGCATATGTGCATATTGCTGACCCTAAAATGTACAGTAACGGTAAACTAAGGACAAAAATATTCATAGTGAAAAGAGAGATACGCGATGTCGTCTGCAACAGGCCCCATGCACTCGTACTCTCTAGCGAAAGTTGAACAACAAATGCTCTCGTCACGTGATATGGACATGTGATGATCGTGATGAAAGCAACGAACTCTTAACCTTGGATTTCGATGGATGAAAGACGCCTCAAACACCAGATAGAAAGTGCCTACCGCGCGCGCGTGCGCATTTGTTGAGTTGTTCAACGTTGCGTTATATGGCAATCAGTCAAATTTCGACTACAGTATTTGTTTTTTGTTTTTTCTTGGTATTTCATGGGCGTTTCGGACTATTGTCAGCAACTTTTTTTTTTAAAGTATGAACTTTAATTGTTATAGATTAATTTTCCTCGATCTCTCTTTCATCTTTTTTTATGTCCCTGCATTTTTGTCAGCTAGGGTTTTTATTGAAATTTTTATACCAAATCATATATGATCCGTGCAACAATTAACCCAAACTTCAAAGTCGTATCCCAGCAGAAGCTGTGCCTGATTGAATCAGCCACAAGCTATTATAAATAAATCACCCCTCTGATTAGTATCATGAGCATATCTGTATGTACTTCCAGTGCCATCTATACAACTCATCATCTCTCTGATCCGGCTCTCTCTCTCTCTCCCCCCCCCCCCCCCTCATGCAGTTTCTCCTTTTCTTCCTCAGTACCCCCCCCCCCCCCCCCCCTCCTCCTCTCTCTCTCTCTCTCTCTATTTCTTTGCCCCCCCCCCCTCATTCTCTCCTTTTTCCTCCTAGTTTCATTATTTATCCCTTAGTATGCCCCTCCCCCTCCCCCTCTCTCTCTCTCTCTCTCTCTCTCTCTCTCTCTCTCTCATTTCTCAAACACATATTCTTTTACACAGGGTTTTTTTCTCTAAAGAAAATTTTCTTTAAACTAACAGAAATGTGTCACCACCTGCACTACTAGCATGAATAATTGTATTTTACACAAATGATGTAACAAGCTAATCAATAATCACCTCTGTGTAACATTTTCTTTTATTATCCAGGAATAAAGTTAATATTTTCACAATGAAATTTAAATATTGGACAGGGTAACTTAAAAAGCATTTTCAAAAGTTGAGTGTATGACACTTTTTTGGTCATGTGCATGTAAAAATAAAATAAAATAAAGGAATTAAAACATTTGCTAACATCTGTGTTGTTTTTACTCGGCTTCATATTTAACTTCATATTTGGTTTGATCAAAGATCTAGTGGAGCTTTTTTACTTTCTACAATTATTTACAATAAAATATTTGCTTTGGTTTGGGAGTGCAATGAATGCGACAAAATTCCTTTTGTCAATTTCTCGTGTCATGGTCCTACATATTTTGATTCAATGAGACATTTGACCTTTGGCATTTGACCCTTGATATAAACTAAAGAAATTAATCTTAAAACATGATCTAAATCAAAAATTGTCTTACTGTCGGACATATATCCCTTGATGCAGTTTAAGATTATGATGCATTTAATGCACAATGGAACCTTTTACACTTTCAACAGGCATTCAACTGAATTCTGCATTATGGAATGCATTGCATTATTTTATATTACTTGAATAAATAACGATGCAATGATAGAACAAAGCCTCCATTACATATAATATATAAATACAATAGCCTGTATATATTTTGGATACAAGTAACAAAAAATTGGTTTACATCATCCAGCTTTACACTTCTTTTTCATGTTAGCACCTCCCTTTGAGGGCAATTCCACGGTAACGGAAGGACACTCAGACAAGATTTTTGAACTTCAGGTTCATACTAAAAGAAATGTTTTATTAGTATGTATTAAACTATGGGGAACAAAATGTGTTTCAGTCAAGTGGAAAGCTTCATCAACTTCACAAAGTTTGGATAAACACTAATTAACTGGAAAAACCATGTCCATTTTTATGTCCTTCCGTTACCGAGATAATTAATATGCACATTCTTAAACTAATTAACTATAATGACAATTTTTTGGGGAGAATTAAAGGCACTTATATAGGTATTATATCTGTACTGTTTCACATCTTATACTAATAAAACAGTTCTTTTAGTATGAACCTGAAGTTCAAAAATCTTGTCTGAGTGTCCTTCCGTTACCGTGGAATTGCCCTTGATCAAAACCTATTTAGATCTAGATACCGGTAACATATTAATACATGTGGTAGGACAAAGATATTTTTATGGTAGTGTATTGTATAAAACTTCAAACATTGTACATGATTAAAAGAATTAAAAGACATTGTCGCTATTATACAAAATTGCTGTCATCTGTGCATATTGTAAAAACTAAGCAAAGGTGCCTAGCAGATTAAAAGATGATTTAGTGTGGTAGATTTAGTGTGGTATTAAAACGTTTAACCGTCAGTTTACCAACCCCAACACACCAAACCCCATTATTTTGCTTAGGTATGACTGACCATTATAATAAACATTTAAATTCAATTTGGATCATATGAGACTGAAGCCACTATGGCAGACAGTAGTATTGAAAAAGTACTAAAATGTTGGGTGGTTTTTCTGCAAGAACTGTCTGCTACTTTGGGTCAAGTCCTACATACCGGTAATTGAATTTTATTAGTACATTATATTTTTGGTTAAACTTTCACCGCCAGGTTTTACATGACGGTTATACAGAAATCAAAATAAATGAGATGTAACAGCACAACTCAATTTAGTGTTTATAACTAGAAAGAGAACTGGGGTATCAATCTTCAATGCAAGTGGCTCATATTTCATCCATCTTACAGGCCACATATGATACTAGCTATTTTGAATTATGAGATTTTGATTTCGATTGTCAGAAACATTTTTCATTTGCTGTCAACCATTTTTCATCTTAATGATGGTTACATCTCCATTTTAAATATGAGCCAAAAGACACACATGGTTCACACATAGACGGTTTGAACATGCAACAGATCTCCCCATGGGTTTCACATATTTTGATCATCCTAACGTATAAACATTTTGGCTTCACTCAGTAAAGCATGACCATGATCCAGACAGTATTAACACCACATATTAGTCAGTGTCCATGTGTGTTGCATCATAATTCACCGACACCAGATTGGGTTAAATTACCAAATAATGTTTATGTGCATGCAAAGGGCTCTGAAGCAGCAAACCCGTTGTCGCAACATAAAAATACTCTGACATGCCTTCGTATCTCAAGGGTAAGGGAAATGTAATATCATGATGACAAATCTTTAAGGTGGTAGGCTAGGGCACAGTGCATTACACAAGACTTGTCAATAAAGTGAAGTCCAATCTTTGTGAGTCACAACACCTGTTAATTGGTAAACACCAGAATGGTGTCAAATTCCCTATAATAACCCACTACATGTACTATGACCATTTAAAGTCAGTGGTTACAGAAGGTCTCCATGCTGCAGAGGTTCAAAGTAGAGAACATTGTACAGTTGTTGTCATAGAATTGTGAAGAATTTTTTTTTGCTAAATATCAATTTTCTACATAAAAGATATAATTGGATAATTTAAGATACAACACAGAGTGAAAATGTTAATTGTTTGTACTTGACCCCAGTGCTCACTGTACAATAGGACTGTGGTCCACTTCCTGAATCGTGGCACTATCATTAGTTACGACTTTGAAAAAAAAGTCTTCCTGATTTAGGTTCCTCACTGTAATGATTAGCAAAGTCATGCAGCATACAGTGGGCTTTCCATTATGCAAAGAAATGCCTGATTTATAAGCAGCAAATCGTAGTGACATTAGACCACTCATAGTCATAACTGTCCTACATCATGCAATGTCGAGTTTGCTAATAGTACAACCAATAGGAATATCAATCAGTAAGAATTCATAATGTTGAAATTACATTTCCAACATTACTTTTTTTTTTTCAAAGTCAAGATCAGTGTTGGATCGTATAGTGAGCAGCAGGATTCGCAATCAAATGTTTATACAATTTAAAATTTCTTCTTTTTTTCAGTCATGATCACTATTGGATAGTAAAGTAAGCAGGAGACTGTTCAATCAAAACGTTACAAGGTCATTCTTTGGAAAATGTTACCCTAGAGACATGATCCATTCTGCATTATCTTCATTTTCGGTAGCATGAACACCTCAATATAATCTATAGCCATGCTCTATAATTTCGTATATAGTCCGACTAATACCGGTTTGAAGTTCTTACATTACATCCAAAAGTAAAAATTACATCTAACACTTTCGATGTCTAGAGTTCAGACATCTTCCTCAGACGTGAATTGTCAGTATAAACTCTAGACATCAAAACTGTTACAGGTTATCTTTACTTTTTGGATGTGACATAAGAACTTTAAACCAGTATTACAACCATCGTGAAGAAACTCTTTCATAATTTAGATTGCAAATGTTTTAGAGTCCACAGCCACACGTTTCGTCGCTCATATATATCCCTGAATCTGAAGTATAAATATCTATAAGTCTGCAATCTCAAGGCAATAGGTCAAAAGTCAGCGCAAAGGTCAGCGCACACTACTTCAATTCTCCCGTGATTTAGCCGGAATCTAGCTGCTTCGTCGTCCCTGCCTGTTCAGCATTGCTGCCCTCTGTGTCAAGGTTTAAAGCATTGCCAGCGGCGGTTGTAGCCGTCAGCAAGCCCTTCTCTCTCTGCTCTGCCTCCCACCGATCTGACTTGAGCTTCTTGGTTGCGAAGAGCAAGTGGTGGCCTTGGAAAAAGCAAAATCAAAGACGAAATTGTTTTAATTATTAATTGAAATGATTTGGCAGTTTTATTAAGATTTTGTTGCAGCCACTGGCCCAAATATGACAGATTTACAACATTGATTTAAGAAGCTGCCTACTTTCTTGGGGATCAAAGAAAATTCACCCTGATTTTTACCCCCGATTTCAATGGGTGTTTTTATCTCAAATTCCTTGATGTTACACTGACTTTAAAAAAAACATGTGTGCAATGATTATTATTGAGTGCATGTATAGACAAATATTTAATTTTATAGAAAATTAACATTTAAGAATTTGATAGTACAGACCAAATGGGAGAGCTCCTGGAAATGTATGCGACAAAGTTGCCAATTAGCATTTGATCATTTAAACATTAACAAATCATTACTATTTTCATCACATTTTCCTGAACCCTTTTACCAATCTATTTCCCTCATTTTTTGTTTCGTTTCAAAGATTAAAACCAACTTGATAAAAGGGTGGGCTTCCCCCCTTTAAACTCACCAGGACAATCGGCTACTGCTTTATGTGCTGTATGTTTACAGCAAGCTCTACATTCACTGAACACACACTTTAGACCCCTGGGATTGGGACACTTAGCACACTTCTCGTACTGCCTGACTGCTGCTCGGGAAGAAAAAAAGTTTGATCAGATAAACAAGTCATACATTCATCGTACAAAAGAATAGATGAATTTTAACTGGCTGGGACTTTAAAGAGAAGGTTGAGTTCTGGGAAGAGGTGAAAAAAATTTGTGAGCATTATCATTCTTTTATAATACAAGTGTGGAAGAACATCAAATAAAAAATGCTCCCTGAAAACATGGCTCTTCAAATGCCTTAATATTCTAAATATGGCATGTAACATCATTAAAATCGGGGCAGATTTTTATGCCACATGTTCGTGTAAGTCCCATATCATCTTTTTGTGAAGAGTGCTTGTAACTTTACCAAGACTGGGCCAAATTTCTTATCATTTTTATGATTCCAGAACCTTGCAGTACACACCAATAGTTATATGCTAGATGATCAACTTTTCTGATCGATTCCACAACGTTTCTTTCACAATGCAATCGCAAGACCAGAACTCAACTTTATCTTTAAAGCAGATTTCATGTAGCATGAAATATCGGGTATACACGTATAACCAAGATAGTCACCCAAATCTTTTACAAGTGTAAATCAGACCTACTGGAAAAGCAGAAAGTTAAAGCGTTATCACTAGGAGCATGCTTTCAGTCATAAGCAGCAGACACAGAGATCTTGATGTTTTGTTAAATATTTGACATCTTGTCGGAAGTAAATGATTTACACCTATTCAAAGAGGCACAAAGTTTCTTTTTTTACTGTAGATGTTCGGTTATCTTTACAGTAGATGACAAAACCGGCTCAGACCAAAGTCTTTACGGCAGTAACTGAGAATTGGAATAATATCGTGAAGCAATTCCAAGGAGTCTTTTTCGACTGAGTCATAATTTAATTTTACAAACTAATGATAATGCAATCACAAGCTATTTTTGCATACATAATGATCCCCATGACCTTAAAATCTAAATCAGTTCATCGGTTCTGCAAGATACATACATGACCCAAGTTTGGCGGGAATCTATCTATCAGTTCTTGAGATAACGCAATCACAAGAACAGGACGTACGGACAGACAGACAAACTGAAAACATAATGCCTCCGGCTACTTCACTGCAGAGGCATAACAAAATACCCAGAAGAGAAAAGAAGTTCAGAATGCTAAATAGACTTCCAAGATTTTCCTTTGAAAGCATTTGTCTGAACCCTAGTAGTCATCTACTGTAAAGATCACGAAATGCAGACACAATCAACTCTTACGTCTATGGAATATAACGCTGGGATTGCGCACTCTCTTCTTAATCTGACTCTTTGACAGGCCTTCGTTGTTCAAATCGTCGATGATCATCGAGAGAGGGCGCTTTCGATTCTTCTCTGCCCGCTTAGCCTCAGCCTCTTTTGGACTATATAAGAAAGAGAAGAAGAGTATTAAAAATAACTCCTAGTGGGGTTTATCTTCAGCATAGTTATCTATTCATACGCACTTACATTTTTATGAATTTGGCTAAGAATTTTTTTTTAATCGTAATCTTCTAAGAACTAAATGAAGAAGCAAGAGTACATAAACAAATATACTTTAATTGCCATATGGCTCATCGATTTCCTATAATTTAAAATTTGTGTAATTTTTTGCTATGTTATCTGATTTTGAAAACACTGATGCATGCAATATAAATAAATTCTCTCTTTTAAGTCTTGTCACAAAATAATATTGTTTGATTGACTGTTGTCTGTAGACGAAATCATGGATTTGGACAGAGAGTGATCCGACATATGTTCTATTTACCATTGCTCCAGGCCATATTTCATGTACGGTTTAGGTTTAGGTTTAGATTTAGGTTTCGGATTAGGGTTACATAAAGTGTTGGGTCAAGTGCTGAAGGTCAGAATTTTGGATAGTCTAGAACATTCGACACAGAGCGATTGTTGCAGGAGCAAGAGATGTACAACAGGACATAGAGAGGACCTCACCTGGGCCTGAAATAAGGCTGGCAGAGCCAATGGGGCAGCTTGCCGTCTTCTGGTTTCGTAGGAGCATCAGGCTTGGCAGCATCTTCCTCACAGCGACCCCGGAGTGTTTTGCAGATCTCCTCACAGTCACCTATTGACTTTGCCCTGGCAAGGTCTATCCTCAGATCAATGTGAACCATCAGGCTGCAGAGAGTGGGAGAAAGGAGGATTAGAAAGTCAAAGTTCAAGTAGGAAAATCCAAACAACTATGGGTGGTATTCTCATAAGTTAAGCCGGGACTAAGTCCAGACTAAACAAGAATTTGGGTTCACACTTCTATGGGATGCTAGGTGTCATCTTCCTCCTTCAATATTCATGACAAAGATAATTTACCAAAGACTTTGTTGAAATTCAGTTCCTACTCATATTATCTTATCTTCCCATTTCATTGCAAAATTAATTTTTTAGACGCTTTTCAATGAAGGATTAAAATAATCTGTACAGGGTAAATGAGTTGGCAACAGGCACTCCATAAAAGTGTGGACCAACTTAGTACACGCTTCCGGAATACCACCCCATATGTTTACTGTAAAACATGAAACTTATTGCACAAATTTAGTGTCGTCTCAATTGTGATTCAATAATTTCATGGCATGAAACTGTTGTGAATCTGAAGCACTGGTGCAATTCTTGAACATTTCAATGCACACAAAAGTTTGGGGCTTTCTGGTTTTCATTGCAACTTTATAGCAAGGTCCCTGATTCGGGTCATCTAGTAAATGTAAATAAATGAAATCCTGCTTACAATGACGTTGGTGTTTCTTTTACTCTAGTGCAGCAGTGAATGTCCCACATTAGTTTAAAGTTTACCAATCACCAAAATATGTTTTGCTCTTGCTGCATTGAGGGGTTCCATGTAGCTATATTATGAGCTTCAAATATTACTTCTACAAAGAGATATTGCAATTTAAATAAATTCTCAGTGAACAGTAAAAGGTTTTGTTGAGCAGACTAGTTAACACACGTGTATGTACTATGATAGACTAGGGCGTGCACATAGCCCTAGGCCGACTTGGGTTCCATGCTAGCATTCTACGCTGGTTATATTGGTTGTTTTTCTTCACAATCCTTAACCGTTTAGCTATAGAATGCCAGGTCAAGTTGTTAGAGGTTGATTTTATACATTCTAGCTATACACAAATTATTTTTTTCAGGTAATTGATACACTTTAAAGGCATCGTTTAACCCTAAATCTGAGATGCACGGCCCTACGTGTTATCAGTGTCTGTGATATCGTGTAATATAAAAGCCCTAAAAAAATTGCGTTTCAAAATGATCAAGAATTGCCTCAAAAAATCTTTGAGTGACCGGTTTTACCATACTCGTTTTCCCCAATAGACTGTAGTGTTATGAAAACCGTTGGCTAATGCAAAATTTGATTTCGATTTTCAATCATGAATATCTTGATAATCAGACAGGCGATCAGCTTGTAAAAGTCATGGGATTCCTGACTGACCTAAAGGTTTATAATTATCATTGCAGCATGAGCTAAATCAAGGATTTTTTTTAAAGGATCTAAGACAATGGTACAGCAGGCCTTAAATTAATCGACGGCCATCGACGGCCAGGCCGTCGATGCCCCTATGACTGGCCGCGGTGCCCTCCCAAAAAAAGATAAATTCACGGCCAAAAAGGCCGTGCCCTTTTTTTCAAACTGGCCGACGTGCCTTTTTTTCCAACTGGACGTGCCCTTTTTTTTAAATTTGCGCACATAAAACCACCAATTGCGCCCATAATCATCTAAAACTAGACGGCAAGGCGCAAGTGTTTTCCGTGAAAATGCGCCCATAAATTATTAGAACAGTAAAAATACACGAATCACGAACAGTCTGCCGCCCACGAGCTCTCTTCTAGCTTCGTATTTAGTGCTTTAATAAGGCGCAAGTGCCGTGAAAATGCGCCCTTTGTTATTATATGGGCAATGCGCTAGCGCACGTACGTACGTTCATGCGATCGCATGATATGCATATGGTGCATGCTGTTGACGCACGCACGTACGTACGTACAAATCGAAGGCCAGGATCAAGAAAACAAATCGTCAAATGGAGAAATATACAAGCATTCAAATAGTCATTAGAGATCTGTCGAGGTTTGTTTGTAGATCTAGGTCTAGTTTATTATTTTATCTCAAATTATCTTATTAATAAGTTAAGAACACCTACGATGTTCTCGATCGTAGTTACTCTCATTTTGCCACCAGGCGACCTCGCTTCAAAAAGCTACCCCGCCAGCTTCCCAAGACGAACGTTTCGAGTCCCGGTAAAATTACGTGCTGCGAATCTCCGAGGGTGCATCGGTTTCGCTGGCAAACTTCCAGCCCGACAGCTTCCCACCAAAAGTGGCGAGAGTGTGTGTGCGAGGAACGATTTTGGTTTCGTGAATGCACGTTACGCAACTGAGCTGAGCGTGTCACTTTCAGCTGTCGAATGTCTATAAGGACATTTTTACATCTTATTTCATTAGTTAGGCCTATCTAAGTTAGACCTTTCTATACAACAGTTAAAAAGATAATTTCTTCAAATTTGCTCCTACTACCGAGAGAGTGGCGGAAGGTTTGTGTGTGAGGTGCGATTTTGATTTGGGATACCCGGCCCGGTAAACTTGCCAAGTCCTTGGCAAGTTTACCGGGCCGGGTATCCCAAATCAAAATCGGATAAATAAATTGTCAATTTCACAAAAATCGAAAGTCAGAATCTGACTTTTGATTTTTGTGAAATTGACAATTTATTTATTCATTTGCTCATCAATATTTTTAGTTACTTTAAAATACTGTTTAATGTGCAAGTTTGATGTTCTTAATCAATCTTTCCTGTTCATATTGTTCAGATTAAAAAGTTATTAAATTGATCGTTCGATCTATTCACATTATGAAATTAACATTTGTAGACTCTCTTTGAACTTATGATTAGAAAAGGGGCCTATCTGTTTTCGGAAAATTGCCCCTTGCTCTGGTAAATTCCCGTGGCAAAGGGCAACTTAAAAAAAAAATTGCCCCTTGCTCCTGGCTGCTAAATCTAAGGCTTGCGGGCCGCCGCCTTGTTTGTATGTACCGTAGACCTCTATACATTCTGTGAAGAAGCTGGTGCTAAAAGTCATGGGAAATTGATCCCGCACAAGTTTCATAAAATACACATGACATCTAACAAAAATAGAATCAATTTTTTTGGCCTCATACTCGATGCCCTTTTTGTAAAATATTTTGGCCTCGATGCCCTTTTTGTAAAAATATTTTGGCCTTGGTGCCCTTAAAAATATGAGGTACTCAAGGCCAAACTGGCCTTGCCCTAAAAATGACGAAATTTAAGGCCTGGTACAGGATCCCTTTAAGCCTGTGAGTGGTTATGGTAATACCTGTGATGCAAGATTTTAAAGAGATGTGCTCTGACAGCAGAAAGTGGAGTAGGGTAGGTCTTGACAAGGTCAATGTATTCATCAGTGATGTCCCAGACCTTGGGGTGGGTTCCTTCAAAGAGGGCGGGGTTGTGGAGGTTCCCCTCGGCAGTCATCACCCCGTCCACGCCCGTCTCCTCCATGCATCGATGCACGTCCTGGAGGGACTGGATGTTGCCGTTGGCAAAGACAGGGATCTTGACGGCAGCTCTGCAGGGAAAAGAGAACTGGGAGCTTTAAAGAGAAGGTTGAGTTCTGGGAAGAGGTTAAAAATAATTTGTGAGAGTTACCGTTGTTATCAAGTGTGGAAGAACATCAGATAAAACATATTCCCTGAAAAGCATGGCTCTTCAAATGCCTTTATATTCTTAATATGGCTTGTAACAGCATAACAATCGGGACAGATTTTCATGCCACATGTTCGTCTAATCCCACATTCATCTTTCTGTGTACAGTGCTTGTAGCTTTACCAAGACTAGGCCAAATTTCTGATCATTTTGATTATTCCGGAACCTTGCAGTACACACCAATATTTCCATGTACATGTGCTAGATGATCAACCTTTTGTGATCGATTCCACACTGTTTCTGTCACATTGCAATCGCAAGACCACAACGCAACTTTAGCTTTAATACCTCAGTCACACAAAGAAGACCAACCCTGGACCGACAACAGACCAAACCAAACGAATGGTCAAGAATTGGTCACTTTGGATTCTGTACGGCGGTGTGACTAAGATGTAACTTCCTGACCTGGATTGAAGCTCGTTTCCTTAGGGGGTTATAAATTGATCATGTCAGTCTAGTTTAATGCACATCTGTATGGTGTCTCATGGAAGTAACAAATTCTATTCAGAGAAGTTGTTTAACAATACAACACCGCTGGCCTCCATGTAATCCTTTGACTATAGGAACCAGATGCTTCATGTAGTAAGACTTTGGGAATTACTGAATTCTTAAGTAAATAGTTTGAGTGGGTGGGTTATCTATTCAATAGGCATTGTTTGTTGAAAAAAGATATCAACAAAATTTCAAGTGGAAATATACCCCGATTCCCAAAATGAAGTGAAATAAACTAAAAAGCAAATAATACTATATTGGCTATATGTATATACGATTTTACTAAAATACAATGTGCAGCTACCCTTGCGAACATGTATTTAGAGTTTACAGACTATGGAAAGAGAGTGGGACCAATATCTATGACTTTGCAAATGGTTAAGGATGGCCATTCTCAAAACAAGAAACTTTCCATGTATTGCAAAAATTCTATGTCGCATCACTTATTATTCAATTATTTTAAGGTATGAAACTTTCATGAATCTAAACTGCTCTCAAAATTCACAAACATTTCATGCAGGATTTAAGTTAATTTCATATCATATGAACCACTAAGCCAATTGCAGTCCCTAATCTCTGTCATGAGCTAGTGAAGTATTAAAGTACAGTCAAACCTGGTTTAGTGACCACCTGTCTACAAAGACCACATTTTTTGTTTCCCTTAAAAATGGTTTCTCATTGAAACATGTACTAAAGAAACCTGTAAATAAAAACCACCTGTCGGTAAAGACCACCTTCCTTGTCTCCCTTGGGTGGTCTTTATAGACAGGTTTCAGTGTAAATCCAAATAGGGACCCATACATGCTACAGAGCTAGTCTTCCTTACTTGACGGCCTTGATGGCAGACCAATCAGCCATTCCCGTCACGGGCCCTCTCATGTCCCTTGTCCTCCCGTGGACCGTGAGCAGTTGACAGCCAGCCTTCTCAAGCATCTGAGCATAGCGCACTGTCTTCTCCACGCTCGGGAAGATGCGGATCTTGCACGTGATGGGTACTGAAAGCTTCTCGTGGGCAAGGCTCACTGGAGGATAGATGAGAATGTGTAGAAAGAGAGTTTGAAAGGAAAATTTGGCTGTCCTACTTTGGCTGGGAGGGATTAGACCACACAGCGTGGTCAATGACGGATGGCTATCTCATCAACTCAGCTCTCAATTAACATTAAAAAAAGAGGATCATGGGGGACCAATGGTCACCAATTAGGCATTGTTTTCTATATACCGGTAGAGGGAGCAAGTAGCAAGTAGGACAGTGGGGCTTTAAAAAATAGTCCCCATTTTTTTTCTTCAACACACAAAATTACTATTAAAAAAAAAATCCAAATCCAAACTCAGGAGGGTCTTTTCCTTTTAGAGGACCTATAAGAATATGGTATCCATAATATGTTTTGAGTAGTGCCCCACTGGAGAAGGTACTTAGGAGAAAAATAGCAATCCACTATATTTTTGTTCAAGACAAACAGGAGACTTGTCCATGACTATGTCATAATCCATTTACCAATTTGCCAATTTGAGATTCACATAGATTTTTAGTGATCTCATATTTTACACATGACTCTTATGATTTGTCCAATTCATGTCAAACATATGTCAAACATTTGTCATTCTGTTCAACATGTTCAACATAACTTATTACAAAGGTTGGATGGCCATTTGAAGGGCTGATCAAAGCCCAAAGATAAGCTATGCATGTATAATGCAACAATAATGATAATGCTGAAAATGGTGACGCCTGAATGATAAAATCCTTAGGGTTCTATCAATCAACATTATGGACACTAATTGCATGGCTCTTCATGTCCCCTTTCTAACACAAGACTAACTAGATGGAACTTCGACTGCGCGCAGTCGAAAATGATGCCTCTGTCATAGAGCAATTTTACAAACCTAAACAGAAGATTTTTCAAATTCAAGTTCAATTGTAATCCATTAACAGGTTCTCAGAATATCCTGATTACAAGCAATTTCTCATATACATAAATGACCCTTTGATCTTTGACCTCATGACCCTAAAATCTACTCAGTTCATTGGCACTGCAAGATGTCCCGAGTTAAATAGTAATCCATCTGTCAGTTCTAATGAGAATGCGTTCACAAGCTATTTTTGCATACATAATGAGCCCATGACTTTTGACCTCTTGACCAAAAAATCTACTCAATTCATTAGCTCTGCAAGATACATACATGATCTAAGTTTGGCAGGAGTCCATTAATCTGTTCTAATGATAATGCGATCACAAGCTATTTTTGCATACATAATGAGCCGCATGACCTTTGACCTTGACCTCATGACCCCAAAATCTAATCAGTTCATCGGCTCTACAAGTAACATACATGATCTAAGTTTGGCAGGAATCCATCAATCGGTTCTTGAGATAACGCGATCACAAGCTGTTTTTGCATACATAATGAGCCCTGTGACCTTTGACCTTTGACCTTGTGACCCCAAAATCTAATTAGTTCATCGGCTCTGCAAGATACTTACATGACCAAAGTTTGGCAGGAATCCATCAATCGGTTCTTCAGAACGCGATCACGAGCTGTTTTTGCATACATAATAAGCCATGTGACCTTTGACCTCGTGACCCCAAAATCTGATAAGTTCATCGGCTCTGCAAGATACATACATGACCAAAGTTTTGCAGGAATCCATCAATCGGTTCTTCAGATAACGCGATCACGAGCTGTTCTTGCATACATAATGAGCCATGTGACCTTTGACCTCGTGACCCCAAAATCTTATCAGTTCATCGGCTCTACAAGTAACATATATGATCTAAGTTTGGCAAGAATCCATCAATCGGTTCTTGAGATAACGCGATCACAAGCTGTTTTGCATACATAATGAGCCCTGTGACCTTTGACCTTTGACCTCATGACCCCAAAATCTTATCAGTTCATCGGCTATGCAAGATACATACATGACCCAAGTTTGGCAGGAATCCATCAATCGGTTCTTCAGATAACGTGATCACAAGCTGTTTTTGCAGACATAATGAACCATGTGACCTTTGACCTTTGACCTCGAGACCCCAAAATCACATTAGTTCATTGGCTCTGCAAGATACATAAATGACCAAAGTTTGGCAGAAATCCATTGGTCGGTTCTTCAGATAACGCGATCACAAGAACGGGACGTACGGACATATAGACATACGTACGGACGGACGGACAGACAACCCGAAAACATAATGCCTCCGGCTACTTCGTAACGGAGGCTTAAAAATGCATAAGTTGTAACTTATTTTTGTATTTCTTTGTCAAAATCTGTCTTTTACAGTCTCTTACCTATTTTACTGATCAGTTCCCATTTGTCCTGAAGATACGCTCCATACTGACCTGGTGAATGCGAGAGTAAAATGAAATATAGATGAATTATTGATAATAGTTGGTTCACATTCAGCACTTATTTCTGGTGTGCCTGGACATTCCTGGGGCTCCAATAGACTAATGTTACCCCAGCTTCAGTAACGCCTGGCTGGAATGCTCCCCAGGGAAGTATTGAATCCAATGACGGGATAATAGTATATCTGTAAATTGCTTAGAGACATCATAGATGTGATAAGTGTTATATAAAAGCAGAGTATTATTATTATTATTATTATTAATCAAAACCATCATTAACAGATCATATGAATAGATGAATAATTTAATCTCATTTTGTTGCAGGTATTAAAATAGGCCCATGTGCATACAAAGTCCGTATTTACTACATATCTTTACTAACTGTACTAACTAAAACAAGAATCAAAAAAGTTTGGGATTAACAGGTAGATTCTAGCAGATTTGGCTGCATTATCATAATACATGTAACTTCCAGTGAAAAATACATGTAAAGACTATTAGAGGGAGACAGATAAACAGGTGATATTTATACAGGTTCCTTTCACAGTCATACATATTGAAATGGGAAATTTGATGCAAGGGAAACAAACAAACAGTAAGGTCTTTATAGATTGGTGGTCTTTCTGTCCAGGTTAATATCACTTTAATAAGCAGATTTTACTGTACCTCTCTTTGCAATGGACTGTGGACATCCTAGGTTGAGATCGATGGCATCACAGTGATCCTGAGCTAGCATGGCAGCTTCTAAAAACACCTCTGGATTATTGCCACAGAACTTTATGGAGAATGCAATGATACAAACAAATTATAATGATAATAATATTAATAATAATAATAATGATAATAATATCAATAATGATGATGATAATAATAATAGTGACTCTTGTAATCATTGTAATAATAGGTTTTCTAATCACTTTACATTGAAATTATCATTAACCGTCATTGTATTCACATGCTAGTGCACATGCTCTGCTCCTTGGGGAGAATTCATGTTCAAGGCCCATAGGTATAATTTGTTGGTAAACTCTTGTCAACTCTTCAATATTTGTTTAACTTCAATTGATAAATACTACAACATTTTATGTATCAAATTTGCTCACAGCCAATTAAATTCAACAATTTCAGTAGCTTATACAACAGTTACAGTAACTTGTTATTGATTTCAAGTTTCATAAAACTGGGACTAGAACAGCTAAACGTAGATCTTTACTGCAAGAAACTTTCATGAAGTGCAAAAAGAGTGTTGAGTCAATTGTGATAAATTTATCTATAGTAGGAAAATGAATTACTCTTTTGATTTGGACAACTTACAACAAAATTATTCTCCTACCGTATATGACAGAATTGTTTCAACCATTTCTTTTATCAACAAAATCAATGAATCTTGATATGAATAAATAAATACTGATCATTCATTTTCTGGTATCACTTCTTATACTCAACATAATTAAGACATATGATTCATAGATTTATACAGACTGTTTACTTACAGGACTCATTACACAATGCTGATAAGGAAATTAAGTGAAGGATAAAATTTATCATTTCTATGAACATGAATGTTTATTTTTAGGGGTTATAAATATAATAGTCTATCTTCCTTTATTTCCTTTACTAGTGTATTAACATAGCTAACCTGAACAATGAGGGGGCTGTCTTCCTCACACGATGCCAACGCTTCTTTCCTGTAGCGCGGGTTTTTCGTGAAGACGGAGGAATGGAACATGGGTGTGTAGCATAATTCTGCCTTGTGTCGTCTGCTCAATATTCGCCATGGTAGCTCACTCTGTTCCACCATAGGAGCGACGATGAAGCGAGGTTTGCCCAGGGTTTTCTCCCAGAACTCATAGCCCTCCAGCTTTGGCATGATGTTTGATAGGATTATTCTGCATCAAGTAAAAAAAAACAGTATAAAAATTCTTTAAATTGCTTCACCAAAGATATTTTTTACACATGTGTGTGTGTGTGTGTGGGTTTTTACAGACGTGTATCAATCAGATATGATTATTTACGTCTGGGGACTGACCTTTAAACGTCACCATCCAAAAGACGTGACTCAGTTTCGACCCTGCGTCGTCTTATCGTCTTATTGTATACCCGTAGACTGTATCTTCAACGTACGATGGCATAGGCGATCGTTCAGTCTCTATATCCGGAGGTCTAGTGGAGCCAGACGTAGTCTCAGTGGAACAACCGACGATATAGAGACTGAAGCTTTCGGTCTAGGGGGGGGGGGCTTCGCTGGGAGACTACCGGTAGCTTAAATTTTAAAAAGGATACATCCTTCACCAGGGTCACTGAAAAGGGATTTGTGTTACACGTCACAAACAGGTTCCATATTAAACCATTCAAGTGTTCCAAGAAAAAGTTAAGCAAACTTTGTCCTTGGATGTTATTTATAATTTTATAATTTATAAGCACGAGCGAGCTCTCCAAATTGGAGTCCATTAATACAGTCTAGACTGTAGACAGTCGATAGTAGACTCATCGCGAGCGGTTTCATTGGAATTAATCAAGAAATTCCCCTCCCTCTGCTCCCTATAGACAGCTAGTGCTAGAGTGTAAATAAAAAAATACGGACGCCGGCATCCCCCACCACCACCACCACGACAGAATCTTACAAAGAACTTCGTAGGTTTACCATGAAAAACATACATTACGTAGGGTCTAATAAGGTACACGCATTACATGCAGCTACAGCTCGGCTAGCGCGCTAGCCACGGTCACGGAACGGCGAGCCGCGACGGCGGAGCTGCTTGCAGCTCGCGAGGTCTGACTGCATGCATGCACTGTATAGACTGTCAGCTAGCCATATCAAACGCGCCGGTGTTGTGCATGCAAGCAATTACAGTGTCAATGTCTCCAGTGTGCGGCACACAGTACAAATTTCTTTACCTTTTTCAGCGATATCAGATATTTTCCAAAATAAAAATGATCCAGAGTCGATACTAAATATTTCTGCCAAGTTAAGTCCCAAAAATCATGTATCAAGCTTGATGATCTGCGCAGCATGCACACTTACAAAGCTAACACCTTCATGTATCAAGACAATTTGCCTTGTCTTGATTCCGTAGTACTCGATCTCGGCAACGGAGATCAGCGCGCCGTGTGAAGGGAGCGTACTCCAAACACACGTTCTAACTGAACTCGATATAATTATGTACAGGTGTGCTGCAAACTTGTCTACCACAATCTGCTCGCGTGCTTCGTTTCGGGACTAGCCACTCTTCGCTAGTTATTACTCTTTGCTTGTACTTTGCGTACTTTGCTGGTATTTCATAATGTCCAGATGTCCGTGGGCGTGCTGGCGCCTGATGATGAAATCGATTGACATGGCATATTATAGCAATATCATTCTTTTTATATATTTTATGATGAATAATTGTCTTCGGGGATAATTTTCCAAATTTCGAAAGGTTTTTTAAAAGAACGTATAAAGATTCTTACGATATCCAAATAAAAATTGAGTATTTCTCGATGCCCCCCCCCCCCCCCACTCCCCCACACGAACGCTGTGTGAAGTAATGTTGGTGTGTTTGGTGTGTTGCATTGTAATGTTGACATTGCGGTCACATATTCCCTCCGCCACCAAGATCCACATGTATACAGGAAAATAACGTGCGGGGGATGGATAATGCAGGATGTAAGCGAATGGATTAATTTCTTACCAAATTTACAAAACGCTTGTAGCGTCAATGGTACTCGTAGCGCATATCGACATACAACGTCACAATGTAAAAATGCGTCACAAGTAACTTTCAACCAGTCAGAAGCGCATATATCGACAACGTCACAATGCATATGCGTGTAACAGGTAACTTTCAACCAATCAGCAGGCAATGAATTGCGTGTCGTGATGTAACAATGCTTTGACCCTGACCTCTATCAGCTTCGTTTCCGAGATATACTAGTAGAGCATATCGACAACGTCACAATGCATAGGCGCGTCACGAGTAACATTCAACCAATCAGAAGGCAATGAATTGCGTGTCGTGATGTAACAATGCTTTGACCCTGACCTATATCAGCTTCGTTTCAGAGATATACTAGTAGCGCATATCGACAACGTCACAATGCATATGTGCGTCACGAGTAACATTCAACCAATCAGAAGGCAATGAATTGCGTGCCGTGACGTAACAATGCTTTGACCCTGACCTCTATCAGCTTCGTTTCCGAGATACTAGTAGAGCATATCGACAACGTCACAATGCATAGGCGCGTCACGAGTAACATTCAACCAATCAGAAGGCAATGAATTGCGTGTCGTGATGTAACAATGCTTTGACCCTGACCTATATCAGCTTCGTTTCAGAGATATAAAACATTGCGTTCCTAACCAAATCTTACCATTATATATCCGTATACTATACTTGACAACTACGAACGTAAAATGGGGAATCATCTTACGAAGGTGAGTCCCGTACGTTGTGCTGCTGTCGTTCACAAAAAGGTAGAGTGTCGGACGTATTTGTCTCTTAAAAAGTACTAACTAGTACTATAAGGCTAGAATTATAAAATTAATAATAATAATAACTAGAATTTAATTCGTCACGAGGACGAATAAGGTGGTCTGCCTTCAAGTTATATAGACATGTAAACAATGATGATCATCATGATGATCATGATGATGATGATCTTGATAGTAATTGTGATGACGAATATGATGATGATGATGATCATGATGATGTTGATGATTATCATCAACAGACCATGATGACAGACTGAAAAAAATGAGAGAACATTGAGATAGTATATAGTCTCAGCTACAACATACTCAAAAATCAACAAAAATCAAGCCGAAATAACGGCGATATTGCTCGCAAAAGACAAGAATGTAGAATCCAGATTTGAGAAAAAGTCATCTCCCATAAGGATTACACGCAAAAAGTAATGGATCAAGTGATAATAGGGTAATAATAAAGTAAATATGGTTGTTTATTACATTATTTGCGATTGTATGTGTTTTAATATTCAAAGGAGATGGTACAGTGAAAGGTCAAAAAGAAAAAAAAGTGAAGAAAAAAAATTGTTGGAGACGCCCGGACTCGAACCAGGGACCTCGAGGTCGGAAGTCAAGTGCGTTGCCGATATACCAAAACATTTCCTATAGAGATTACACGTAAACGGAAAATGTAATTCTCAAATCCCACTTTGTAAGTGAAATATGAGCATGATCCCGGCATCTGATCGAAAAATAAAAGGCACACTGGTGATAGCTTATTGTCTCAGCTACAACATACTCAAAGCTCAGCGTAAACAAAGATAAAACGACGGAGATATTGCTCGCGAAAGACGAGAATGTAGAAACCAGTTTTGAGAAAAAGTCATGTCCCATAGAGAATACACGCAAAATGTGAAAAATTGACATGCCTCCTTTAATCGCAAAAATACGCCATGATGCCTTTGTCAAAATGAAATATCGTGGTGACTGCATTTGTAGAGAATATTCTAAGGTAGAACATATCAAAATTTGAAAGAAAATTGATCAATATTTGCAGAGATACAATCAATTTTCCAAAAATCTGCTGACGTCATAATATGAAAATTGAAATTTTGAGTTCGGAGGCCATTATGATGACGTCATGAGTTAATTGAGGGTCAAATGAAACATGAAATCATATCTCCAACTCATAATCTATTTAAATATGAAAGAAATTGGGGGGTATCTATCCATCCTGAAGAGTTACAATGAATTTTGTATAGGCATGTTTTTGCACATGTATGTTATGTATTACAAGAGCTCGCACGCACGGTAATTATCTTAAACGGACGCTCATTCCGTTATTAATGGGCAGAAAAAGTTGAACAAGGTATCAAAATGCTTGAAAAAATGTGCCAAATATGATGACAGAAAAAATTTGGCGATTCTATGTTGGAAGATGCAATTATGCGCGAAAACGCGCGCGCATGTCCGTGCGCGCGTTTTTTTGCAAAATGCTTAAAATGGCCTGAAACGTATGCAAAATTAATTTGGAACGAATTTGACCATTTTAAAATTTTAATGCGCGCGTACGTGCGCGTCGAGGTGCGCGCGCAAATTTTTTTGACATTTTTCGTTGACCTTTGACCTGAAGTTGATGTATACTAAATATGGTTGATTTTTGATGACTCGTTATCGAGATATGATAATGACCTGATTTTTACAAAATGGCGCCTGGATGACGTCACGATGACCCCATGAACTTGAAAAAGGTTTTAGGAACTTGATATCATAGGGCTTGATGACTGACAAAAATTTGAAGGAAATTGACTATGTCGATTTCGAGTAAACGTGTGCACAAAAAAGTGTACGGAAGAAATAAAAATAAAGAAAGAAAGAAAGAAAGAAAGAAAGAAAGAATAAAGAAAATTCTAGCGAAATCAATAGGTGATCTGTCATCGACAGACCACCTAATAATGACTAGAAATTTAATTCGTCACGAAGACGAATAAGGTGGTCTGTCTATGTCTTATGATAGATTTGAGAATGGGAGAAGTTATATAGACATGTAAACAATGATGATCATGATGAACATGAAGATGATCATGATAGTAAAGGTGATGATGATCATGATAATAAAAATGTTATATGATGATAAAAACGATAATGTTAATGATGATGATGATAATGATCATGATCATGGTGATGTTGATGATCATCATCTTCAGACCATGATGATGATGATGATGATAATGATCATGATCATGGTGATGTTGATGATCATCATCTTCAGACCATGATGATGATGATGATGGTGACATTGATGATGATGATGATAATGATGATATTGATGATGATGATGACGATGATTAGTATGAACATGATCCTGACAACTGATTGAAAAAATGAGGAAATATTTAGATAGCAAATAGTCTCAGCTATAACAAACTAAAATTTGGGAGA